TTGGATTGTGCAAGTATGGAGAAAGAAATCGATGCTAATCAAAATTGGTTGGATCCAGTAGACCCGAATCGGAGTAGCTAGTTCTGGGAGGAAAGTGCAGTCCTTACTTTATTCGTAGAGGGTAATGCTCTTTTAGAAGGCAATTGATGGCAGCTCAAGGGAAATCATCTTCATCTTCACAGATGCTCGTATAAGAGCTCGGTTTGTCTGGGGGCCTCACCGCTGCTGAACCAAAGGACTGGTGTCGGCATGACTAATAGGATTCCAACGTCGTTCAATTTGGGGTTTCCACTTCTTATTTGACCGCCGTACTAATGGGCTATCCGAAGGAGGAATTGCGGAGAGGGAAAGAGGCACAGGATGATACGCCTACGTTGAATGTATGCCTTGATTAAGAGAATCCCTTGCATGTGCATGATCTTGTGTGGTCGACATGGAAATGCCCTGCTCATCTTTGGCTTGCTACAGCTGTGATAACAGCAGCAACCAAGTAGGACAGCATCCTCCTCTTTTTAACGATGCCACTTTCATCCTCAGTAGATGATCGTACGCACGGCGAATTCTGGGAAGGGATCTTCGCTTCTCTGGGCCTCTATATTACCTTCTTCGAAATTCCCACAGCAGGCGCTGGGGCGAACAACCTTCCTTCTCCCAGAATAATATTCACCTGCCCAACTGATGAAGAAGCCCATGAAGCGCCAGTAAGGCTGCTGAGAGTTTGCGGCTGCCTGCGTCAAGAATGCGTGCTGGCGACTTTTGGAGCATGACTAGACGCACTCCGTGTATACAACGCGACCGACAGGTAGCTCTATTTCTTTCAGGACTATCTGCATGCAAGCCCAATACAGTAGAAGTGCAGGCGGTTGGGGGGAAAGGGCCAATGCGGACAGGGAGGACGCGGCTCAGCTCGAGGGGTGGCATACCACGAAGTGCTTTAGGGGGGCAAAGGGTAGGGTACAAGGCACAAGAGAAGAGGCCGGGGGAGGTATTACAGGGCGTGCGGGGCCCTTTAATATCGGCAGCTCTTTAACTATTATGCAAAAGGAACAAAAAATGCTTGCGCTGGACGAGAATAGCCAAGAGGCGGGAGGCAAAGACGCAGTGGCGACAGCCGCCGCGGCGGCTGAGCGGCTTGCTGCTCAAGCGCGTCGTCTGTTTGCCCTTTTCTGCGTCCGCGCAAATATTGTAAGGCTGATCACCCCAGGCAAGGCGCAGATGGCCATTCTACGTGCATCGGCTGATGAACTTGGGGTGCTTTTTAAACCCCAAAATTCAGGTGGCTGCCTTTGAAAGGGAAGGGAGGGGCCTACTGACGGCAGAGGCGCTGAAGCAAGGTGAGCTGCTGATGCGCCTGCCTGCAGTTTGCCCTCCTCAATGTCTACATGTCCCTTCTGCACCCTACGTTTCCGGCATTAGCGCAGCTACTGCTAGAGCTCCCTATGGAGTGCCTTCAGCACCAGAAACACCAGCAGGGGGAGCTCGAGGAAGTACAGCCGCTTGTTGATTGCGATGTCCTTCTTTGCGTGTTTCTCTTGTTCCTTCCTCTTGTTCCTTCATGGGTGTGGAGGAGACGGCAGGGCCCTCCTATGCTTTTTGCCGCCTGCAGACGCTGCTGATACAGCTGCCACAGCAGCTGCTCTCCACGCCTCACCAGCTGCTGCTACTCTGCTGCTGCGGCAGCCGAGAACGAGCTGTTGCTGCTGAGCGATCCTGATCGCACGGCTCAGTTCTTGAGAGATGCACCACTAACAGACGGTGTGAAACAGGCCCTCACCAAGCGCATCATGATGGCACAGCAGCGGCTTCTGCTGTTACAGGAAGCCTTCCCTCCGCCCGAAGGCCTGCAGCAGTCTGGCGTCCTTGCAGCTTGCAGAGCGGGAGCAGTGGCAGTAATGACGAAAGCAACAACGTTCGTGCCTTAGAGGACAGTGCCATTGGCAGCTGATACTTCGCCAAAGGACGCAGTAGCTGCAGCAGCAGATGCGCGTGTGTCCTCAGGTTTTCCCGTCACTGGCCTGCAGGAGCACGAGCTATTGCGGAGATTTGTGGGTCACCCAAATTATAGAAACTTTCTTTGGGCGCACCTTGTCTTGGATTCGCGCGACTTTTTGCTCGTCACATGCCCACAGCCGCCTCTCAGGGAGGTACGTCATCATCGGCTTGACACTAAGCAACTTCGGAGAGGAGCAGAGGACACCACATTAGTCGCAGAAGGGGGAGAGCGAGATTCACAGGAGGCCCTCTCTGTGCCACTCCTTGCAGATGTGAACGAAGTGGTCGCAAGCAAAGAGGCCCATGCGGTAGTCTTGCCCATGGGAGCTCTTCAGCATACAAAGAAAAATGTGAACGAAACGAAAGGGCGGTTCTACGTGCGCATTCCACAACGGTGTGCCTCGTTGGCGCCCCCTGGGGAGCTTCTGAACCACCATTTCAATGGTCAGGTGCTGTCGCCTGTCTTTGAGGAAGATGGCCTCTGGCTCAGCCTCCGCGTAGCCTGCGACCTACCCGCAGGCGCTCAAGTGTACTCTCACTATGGGCCTCTACAACCCTGGCAGTTCCTCTCCTACTTCTGATTCTGGCCCTCTTGCTTTCACCATTTGGAGCCGCCGCAGCAGAAAGAGCTGTACGGGGCGACGCGGGCAGCAGCCGAAAAAAAACGAATGGCAGCTCTTGAGGGAGAGTTAAGGTACGTCCAGATGCGAAAATGAACCGTCCCTCGTCTACCTCCTCAAGCATTTGGCTATAGCAGACACGCTGCACCGTTCATCTATTATTAGTACTAAGTAATGAGTGACCCGCCACACCTGTGAGGACTTCTTGTAGGAGCTGCACGGGCTGGAATCAAGGCCAGCGTGTCTTGAATTAAGGGCCTTTTGCTCGCATGTGTGCAGGCAACCAGATGTATTTCCTGACGCTGGAAGTTGAAGTTTCCCCCGAAAATTTTGAGTTCGACCTTAAGAATGGGCTGAGAGAATTGCATGCGCTGCCTTACAGCGGCGTCTTCTGCACTAGGTCGGAGTGAATCGCCTTAAAGTTTCTGGCCTCTCTTTTTGTGGGCTCGCACTCTGCTCTCGACAGCTTCATGTTCCCTGGTGTCCACGGAGATGCGACTGTAGCGGCTGCCTCTGTGGCAGCTGCAGCAGCTACAGCCGAGGCCAGTGAGAAGCTGTGGCGTTCAGCCTACGTCTTTGCAGCTTTGCGCAATGACCCGGCGGCAGCGCAAAAGATCCAGGAAATCACTTCTGGACTGTTAGAATCGGTATTCGACGCAGCTCGAGGACGTAAGCCTCAAAGCCATAGCTCTTATTCTGCGGTGTACGTTGTAGGATTTCAGGTCAAGGGCTGCAGGATGCACTAGTACAAGGAAAGCTACAGATGCCCTAGCCCTGCTTTTGAGAACATATCCGAAGTGCGCATACGTCGTTCTAAGACTGAGGTGTTGAGTTCTGTTCTCTTTCTCCTTGTGACTGCAGGTATCAGTCAGCTCGAAGCTTGGGGGCAGATGCTGATGCAGCACTAGCATGGTATCGCATCTGGGACGACAAGCTTCAAGTTTTCCTTCAAAACGAGCTTGCTCTCGTCGCCTCACAGATGCAAGCGCTTAGCAGAACATTGCCGGAACGTACAAAAGCCTGAAACAGTCAGCCTCTGCAACCAACCGTACGCTAACAAAGGAGGTTTTAGTTTTCCACGACCTTTTCGTATTGGGCTTGAGGACAAGACCCAATGAAGGTTGTAAAAGCTCTAGAGACAGCGCTTCTGTGCTCACCAAGGGCCATGTTGTTATTCGCGCGTCACTTAATGCTGGTGAGTGATACCGTTCATAAGTGCAGGGCGAGCCCGTGAATAGCCTTAGCGATGCCTCTCGCAAATCTGCCGGAACATCAGAAACGGCACTAGGGTTTGGTACCTGGTATCTCCCACAAGCAGCGTATGCAAGTGGGGCGTGCGCCTGTTGACACACAAGCTGGCTAACGGTGTGCCGTGAAGTCCTGCTAGTTTTACAATAAGTACGCAAAATGCTGCAAGTTCCACTAGCGATTGCACTAGAAAACCGATTTTGGGCGTCAATGTTCTTGCCTTTTCCCCGGCAAGCCTAGGAGAGAAATAGAAGGAAAACGAATGCGAGCAAGGAAGTGCGATACTTTCTAGACAGGTCGGTGCAAGTGTGTACACGAATTCTTATGAAAGCACCCGTGTGCTAGCTGCTTCTGTCTTGGTTGTCGAGCATGTTCATGCGATCCTGAAGTTGATGCAACTACTAATAAATATTGAGATTCGCATGACTGGTGGAGCTTCACACAGTGCGTCAGCGCTGGTGGGTATATGTCTCATGGGCTTAAATCCTGTTCTTCGCATTTGGAATTCATTTTTCTTGCGTTTTCTGGATTGCTGAGGGAAACACTGCAACATGTAAGGCGGCCCTTGCCTCTTATGGGTTGGTTGGTATCTATGAATGCCACTACATGCGGCGTTTAACTAGAGTATTCTGAGTACTTCACAATGTACACGGATGCCCTGTTTTTTGCACTAGTTTTTTCTGGACGTGATGATTCGATCAAACTGAAGATGTTATGATACGTGAGCCGGATTTCTGCTTACTTCATGTGACGAGAAAATCAAAACGCCACACCTAAAATTTAAGAGGTCTGTTTTGAAACAGCTGCCGTTTGTGCCGCCTCTGGGACTAGTACTGAAGTCGCTAGATACCACAGCGAACTACTGCCCTACAGCTTCGACTAATATTCGCATCTTTAACAAATATCACCAAGTAAAGGGATTAACAAGGTTCTGCAGCAAACTATCCTGTATGATAACAGGTGAACACATCGAACCTGCCAGCTGACTCGACGCCTCCGCACGTGCCACCCATTCGCCCGCCTCCCACTTTTCCTCATAATACTTAACTTAATCAGCTAAAAAAACACAACAGTTGCCTGAGTGCATCAGACGCTTTTGCTGCAAAGAATACCCAATGATACATTTGCTGAGGTATGATTCTACTTCTTGCGAGCTTCAGAAAGGAGGTTGTCCAACCCGAACGGATCCGACACATCCTGTGAAAACAAAGATCAAAACCACACCCATGGAATTCTGCCACTTTCCGCCTTTTGGTAATGCGTATAATGATGTACAGCCGCATTAGGACAAGGCGCATCATCCAAGCTCGCACGTTTCTTAACATTAGGTGCTAGTGGTATGCTAAGAACCAATATATTGAGGAATAGGAGCACAGATGAGTGCATTTGTATGGAGGAGCATTCACCTTCTCAAATTCTACTGGACCTGTCCGAGTGTACCGCGTCTTGTCCGCTCCAGCAAATGCCGCCAGCTCAGAGCCCTCCCTGATTCCACAAAACCACAATAGGAACAACCTCAATACTAAGCTCCCCCGCTCACCAACTGCCTCGTTATTAGGAATCCAGAAGTCCAGAGTAATTTCCTATTTACTCACTACAACCCTCAACCAACACATCCCTCAGCCGTATGGACGAAGCACGTACAAGCAACAGCAGAGGCTATTGCCAGGCTTAGCATAGGCAACCTGCATGATGGTCTGCAGATGCAGCTGACAAACCCCACAGCTGTTTAGGAACCTTCCCACAGCTTTATTCGCTCATTATTCTGTTGCCTTCATGAGTTGTATTCTCACCCAACGGAAGACGCAAACCGCTCGCGGCTGAACTGATAAATGCCAGCGCCTCCGCGCTGTGCAAAGAGCGGACGATCATACAGCGCATACGTGTCGTCCTCTCCACCCTTGTAGCCCTAAGGAGGGACAAACAAAATTCAGCAATGAGCCCAAAACTGATAGCAGGCCGAACAAGAGCAGCGTCAGCACCAAGTGAACGGCTGATTCGAGGCGAGTTCTGCCTCAAATTTGAATACATACAGCTATACCGAAGGGATACATACACGGGCAAAGGCTAAAAAGCAAGACACGCACAGAGTCTGTTCCCCCAGCCTGGTTGAAAAGGCGGCTGTCAAACATCGCATCCGTTCGCTGCTTCTTTGCATCCACCGGCAATCCCAAGGCCACAAGCTCGCTGATATCGCGCTGTGAATCATCTCGGCGCTTTCCTTTGCTCTTCTGAACATATAAAACAGATAAAATTACAACACTTTGAGAACTTAGTACGCAGCAGGCCCCCGCCAGGCCCCCCAAAAGACATGGACATCCGAGGAAAAAGGGTTAGCCGGATCAACACAAAGGGAGCAGTGCTGCTTAACAGTACCTCCAAACGGACAGCCCGCTCGATGTCTTTCTCTCTTTCCCTTGCCACCTGTTCTCTCTGCTGCCTCTCTGCCTCTTCCTCTGCGTCGCCGCCTGCTGGTCGTCGTGACTGCTGCAGCAGCTGGGCTCTGCACCACCAGCATCAAAACAACCACCCGTACATAGGCATGCATAGATACACACCAAAAGTAATTACTCATACATATCCATACATAGATATACACAAGTACATAAATATACACACATGCGTATGCACACATAGATATAAAATGTATACGTGTACATGCATCCATCCATACACATGCACACACGCGACAGCCGTGAACGACTGTTGCCGCTGACTACCGCTGCTGGCCTCCGCCCCCCCGTGCAAACGGGACCCAATGGAATCGCACAATTGTTCTTAAATAGCCACATCTCCACACACGCATGCAGCTACAAGCAAACACTGATGGGCAGATCTCTAATCACAAGAGGAGCCTGTGTAGACTCCTAGGAAGCATGGCCCAAGCATGGAAAAAAATTGAGGGCGCTGCCGCACCGTTCCGCTCTGGCTTGTGCAGCAAGCTGCCTGAGTTGTTGCTCCCTGAGCTCTTCCTCTCTGATTTTCTTCTGCTTCTTCACCTCGTTCCTCAGCCGAATTTCTTCCCTGGCTTGACGCTCTGCAATGTACAGAGCCTCAGATAGAGACGCAAACTTGTCGTTTACAGACACCTGCAACAGACACAGAAGGGCAGCGGACACAGCAGCACTTGGAGAATTCGTGTGCGTCCGGGGGGGCCTACAGGAGGCGCTTTGCCATCGGTTTCTGCACAGCACCTGTAAACAGGTGGCGACAAAAAAGGTGAAATGACAGAAAAGCGGCAAGGATCACACACAGCCTGCCGCATAACAGAGAAACAAAGGGCTTGCGCCGCGGGGAGCACAATCTTTTGAACAGACAACGACCGCGCGACTCCGCTGCCCTTCACTCCGGGCCCTTGCTCTTACATCCTGCAGATTGCGCCCATCAGCAGCGACACGCTTGTCGAGGGGAATTGTATATCCTTTCTGATTTTTCCAGTTGCTGACACACGGCGGGATCTTCCAGTCCTGCTGGTCCTGCAGCGTGAGCTTCCCTGGAAAAAACAGCCGCACGCCAAGCGCACAACACAGCCCAGGAGAGCCGTAGAGAACAAGATAGAGACCGTCACCTCCTCGTCTCCGTGTGAATTGCAGCAGCAATACCAGCAATGCGGGGGGCCGGGGGTAAGGCGATCCTAATCGAACAAGCCAGTGCGCAGGAGAGGCCAGCATCAGCGAGCGCTATAATCGGGATCAGGAGGCGTTTGTTTACGTGTGGGGGAATGAAGCACTGGGGGAGGAGGAGAGAAACGGGCAGCCGGCACGCGCTTATGCTTGAAGCGGGGGGGGTCTAGAGGGTCCACCGCAACATCTTCTAGACGAAGCAGCCGTTGGGCGCAGCCACTGTTGTGGCCTTCAACCTGCAGATACGGCGAAAACAGGCGCAAGAAACCCGTGCATTGCGACCGCATACTGCTTCAAAGGTAGACGCGCGGGGGAGACGCCGCACAAGGCGTGAAAGACGCGCAGCGGCACCAACGTCTATACACGGAAATGTCAGAATCCTCTAAAAGGGCCGGCAGGCGTATTTTAATCACGCCAAGGCCTCGCTGCATCACGTGCCTCCCTACCAGCTTTGCCGGCGTATAGCGAACAAACTCAGCCTCCCTGTTTTGCGGCTGCGCGCGTCCAGCGTTGCTCTTTTTCTCCAGTTCTTTCTCTATGGCCAGCTTGGTTCGCATGAGCTCTTTCTCTTCTTCTTCCTTGGTAGGGAGCTCCCTGGCTTTTGCCGCTTCTGCCGCGGCTTCGGGGCCTTGCGACTGCAAGCCGTGAGCACTCTCCGGCCGCGTGTAGACAACAGCCTTCTGGGAGCCGTGGCGTACAGCCATGTCGTAAGCGAGGCGGCCGTCGGCTCCTACTTGCAGCGAAAGGGTGGTGCTTGACGGAGCGCTCTGCGTCGCAGCACCGCATGCAGGTGCAGCACGCGAGTGCAAACAAAGCCGCCACAAGCGCCGCCGCGAGGGGACGGCAAGGAGCGTGCGGCGTATTTTTCGAAAAGTAGACAGAGGAGAGACACGAGAAGGGCCTCCTCAAGCGCAACGAACGCCTTGCGCGAATGCACGAGACAGCCCCAAAAGAAAGCCAGAGGCACGCGGGGACGCCATCGCTGCTGCAGCCAAAGGCCTTCTAGCGAAGCCACAGCAAAGCACAGAGTAAAAGACGCCGTGAGGCCTCTAGCGCGGTACAAAGCCACAGCTGCCGGTAGTGGTGCTCCATACCCTACGCCTGCGTTTTTTTGCCGCAGTGCCTCCGTGCACTGCGGCAAAACGCGAGAGGGGAGGACGCATGACAGCCGAGCCACTTCGCATGAAACCAAAACTTACGCCTGCGTTCTTGCCCATTCCCAGGGGGAACTGAGCCACGAAGATCTCTGGGAAGGCCCCGCCGTCGCCGAAATCTTCTTCGCATCTCGGCACAAAGCCATCCCTACGAAGGTACGGAGGAACTGTTCTTGTGCTCGGGTGCTGTGTCTTCGGCTTGGCCACTTCCGCCGCGGAAGCTCCGGGGAGGCTGTAAGCAGCCAGCCTCGAATCGGCGACTGCCAATCCGGATATGCGCGGCGCCGGAAGCTTGCTGAGCAAATGCAGAGCACAAATGCAGAGTCACTCACACACACGTCCTGCCTACGAGACCTGAGAGCCGTCGATGCACAGAAGGACTCTCGGCTCAACGGAGAGGCGTGCCAGCGCAGGACGTGTGCATGCGCCACCGGACGGTAGGCTGCTGGGTGGCCTTTATCGGGCGAGGGACGGGTGCGACGGTGCGATCTGCGAGGCGGCGAGGCGCGAAACACCGACACAAACATACGTGAGAAAGTCTGTCATCCTGAAATGCAGTAACTATGACCGGCATCTAGGAGCAACCCGCTTGCCGCTGCCGCCGTCGTTGCCGCACAGCATCCAGCCAGTAAAGTCGTCTGGCGGAACCTGAACTGCGCCTTGGCCTCGGGAGGGGAAAGGCAAAGCAAAACAGCACAAAAAAGGCTTCTGGGGGGTCCTCCTCTTAGGCCTCCGTCAAATCTTTCAAAGCGCCGCCAATGTAGCCATACGCAAAAGGACCTCTCTTCTCGCAATTCACCAGGTCCACAAGTGTCTGCTGATATGTGCAGCTGCGTCTACAGATATATATAGGAATGGGAAGGGGAGCCAACTGAAACAACAAACCCACAGAGCAGCTTCCTGTAGGTCCTAAAAGCAAAGCCCCTGAATCTGTCGTGCATGCACTTGAGAGGAGGGGACCGCGAAAGTTCGCTGGGAATTTGCCGGGATCAGACGGCGATGGAAAAGCAAAGAAGAAATCAGACAACGATGGAAGGAAAGGGAAATAATAAAGAAACATACGTCTAAGCGCAGCTTAAAGAGGCGAGATACTCCTCATGCGCATGTGCCAACGCAAACATGGGCTGCAGCGAAGAAGTAAGGAACACGGTCATGGTCTGTCCACTGAATTCAGCTGTTCTTGCATTTAAAACAGTTGAAAGTGGGTATTTGGTCCCTTCGTGGTTTCTTCCGCTTTAAGTAAAACTATTAACGACGCTGAGCACACCCAACGTGGAGGCACTTGGACCGTAGAGTGTGGTGTGTTTGTGGCAGCCTCAACCTCTTAATCGCAGGTACTATTGAAGCTTATGCTTTTGAAAGTTCACACGTAAATCCGTAGGAAAAATACTTGCAACGGCGGCATACGTCGACCCCTTCCTGTCCATGGGTGCTCGGCTTCGTTGAGGTCCTGGTGTGCTTCATGGAGAAGCACGAACAGTTTTCGCTGGTTGCGCTGCCCATTACTGTAGAGTCAGAAGGCAGAAGCTAGGCCTTAGCAGTCTCAGAGCTTAAGCCTCTTTCTGGTAACTTGGCTTTCAGGGACAGAGGGGTTCCCACACCGGAAACACTAGACTAACTCTAACGATCAAGTTTCCGCCAGAAAGCTGCGCGATGCACGTATCTATTTAGCCCCAAAGGCGGCTTCCGGTTCTTCAGAGGAGCTTGGGGTATTCAGATTACCTTTTACTCTCTTGTAGCCCTCCAACTAAGGTAGTTTCAGTGGGGAGACACTTGCCGCCTGACTTAATATGAAGTCACCAAACAGGTATGGAGTGTTTATCAGAGAACTCCTTCCCTTATCAGTGCCCTTCATGGTTTCCCACACAATGGAAGTGGGGCAATTAGGTCTCGCGTAGCTGCCCCCTCAGGGCATTCCAAGCATTCACAGTTCAGTGCACGTAGCATCTAGCGCACGCTCAAAGAGCGCTACATCTTGTTGTATCAAGCGAACAGTAAGCTGCACGAAATAAGATTTCCGAGCAGCAAACAAACTACTGCACAGGTGTCTACAAATGCTTAGTTCAGTGAGACCAATGTAGTACTCTGCTGTAGCCACACACTTATGTGACCCTCTCCGCGGATGATCACTGGGAGGCTCGACCTTTCACGGTCTCCGAAGCAAGACCTCAAAGAAGGGTAAAGGCCACACCAAACTTCAGTAATAACAAAATTTCCTACTAAAAAAATCGTCTCCCTAAAGTCCTTCTGCCTTAGATTTCTTGGAAGGGCCCAAGCCATGCCTTGGTCTTTTTGCTACACCAGTTTTGTTCACCATGGATGGAGAAGAATTGAGCATCTACTGATTGCTTATCTTGTCGACTTTACAGTAGATTGGGCCCCATACGACAAGAGTCAATGTTGTTGGCTGGTGTGCTACAGAAACTGTGTGTAAACACTCGGCATAGCGAAGCAAGCTATACTTGAACACATTTTACTGGATTAGATGTATCTGGCGAAGAACTGGTAAAAGTTTACTAATTGGCTTGCGTGTTCGTAAATCTTTCCTACATCTACTGTTAGCTCGATGCAGCAAAACACAAGGTTGTTTGAGTATGCGTTAGATGCCATTGGCAGCTAGCTGCGAATTCTCAGAGTGCTTAGAGGGTGCAGCTACGCATAACCTAGCTTTCCCTCTTCCCTCCTGTAGGGAACTCTGGGGGACGCGGGCAGGGGAAGGAGCGAGTTTTTTGATGTACGCTCACTAATTTTCTTGTGAGTTTCTGTTAGGTGTGGAGTCAGGAAGTGATTGTTTTCCTACGGAGACTTGCGATGGAGCGGTGCAGTGTGCAAGACAGAGTATGGCAGGGAAAGCGTCTTCCTGCTGTTGCCCCCACCACACAGCACGGTAGGCAGCACCTTGGCTTCAAGCGCAATTTAGTCGCTCATAGGGGGCAAAATTGCGCTTGAAGCAGGGAATACTGCCAACATTGAAAGCCCTTCCTCACGGAATACCCCGTCCGTCTGGATCGGAGGGAACTTGCTGCCCCTTTAGCCCTATTTCTAGCACTTTGTTCCTTCCTCTTTGCCGCAGAATTATACGTGCACATTGGTAAGAGGAGAGTTTCAGCACAGGGTTGCTCAGTTTGAGACTCCTCTGGAAGCGCCTCTAACAGAGGGGCCTTCTGACAGCAAAGTCCGCATGTGCCTCCCATTTGCCTTAAGAATGACGCTCCTGGGCAGCTTGATTTTGCTGCCTATTCTCAAAGTACTAGGAGCGCCTGCAGCTATTCCAGCAGGGAGGCCGCTAGAGCGGAGGCCCCTCGGGGCCCCACAGTGCAGCCGACCACCGTCGTGGAAGGACAACCCCACCAGAATGAACCCGCAGCCACACAACGCACTTGTTCTCCTTCCCTCTGCTTTTCATCGGTACAGAAAAAGAAGTGGAAACACCTTCCTCCGAATTTCTGGCCCTTTCTCTCGTGTCCTTCGTTTTTGTGGTGTATGGCGCACGCTCCGCCTGACGGGGTGCCCAGTCGCAGTCTTTGAACCTTCCGCCTGAAGTCTGCGTCGCTACTTCCTTCGAGTCTGCGCACACGTTGGAGCACACCCCTACCGTGAGAGCCCCCTCCCACAGTCGAGACGCAGCAGCAAAAGCCGGCATGCTATAGGACAGCCGATTCTCTAAGCGGCATGCAGGGGGCCCCTGTGGGCGGAGCCGAGCCCCTGGGGCCCCCAGGGGCCTCCGGGGCCTCACGAAACCCTGCAGGCGGGTGTCTTAAGGAGGTCGTTGCTCTGGTGGCTGCGATTGTACGCCGCAGCTTTTCTCCCGAATCTCTTCAACAGGCAACCGACCGCTTGCGGCTCCTTAACCCCAGCGCAAGCTCCGCTCAGCGACGGGAGGGTTCTGCACACCTACTGAGGGCCCCAGTACCTCGCCACATGTGTTGTCTTGTGTGGAGTGCTGCCTCCACGGAAGCGCCAGCAGGAGCAGGCGCAGCGGGAGCAGGCGCAGCGGGAGCAGGCGCAGCGGCAGCATCCCTAGAACAACTCGAGGCAGCTCCAGCCTGCACAGCATTCAATGCCGCTATTCGGCAGCACCTCTTTGCCGCCTTCTCACTTGTACCTCCCGCTGCTTCCTCTGCTAGTCAGGATAGTGCTGCAGGCCCTCCCGCGGGAGACAAGCCTGGCCCCCCTGTGACTCTGCGAGCTGCACACTGGAGCAACAGCGGCTGCGGCTGCTTCAACTCAAAGGTCACGGTAGATGCCACACTTCTGCAGCGACGTCTAACACGCGAACTGCTTGAGCTGATGCTGCAGCTCCTTGACTTCCCAGCGCTGCTGCCGTGGCTCTTCGAGGCCTTCTGTGTCGTTGGAATTTCTCTGCACATCTTGCTAGTGCTGCACGCATCTGCTACTGCAAAGGCAGACGCAAACGAAGGAGCGCCTGCACGAACCCCAGCAGCTGTTCAGCCGCCATCTGCGGCTGCGCTGCGGTGGCCTTTAGGAGTTGAGGTCGTGTTAGGGCCTCACCGTCGAGACTGCATCAATGCTTCCAGCAACACCAAGAGCAACAACAACGGCACGGGAGCCGCTGTACTCTGGACGTTTGAGGGGTCTGCCTCTGCACAGCTGCCGCCAGTGCCTCGAAGTACTCTGGAAGCTGCAGCTGGTTTCGTCTGCACCTCTGCAGCGATTTTCTCAAATGCTGCTGTCGCAGCAGCAGCAATCGCCGAAGACGCGCCAAAAACAGCGGCAACACCCGCTGCTGTTGCAGAAGACTGGGCCTCCCTGCTTCTGCAGGCTTCTCTGCAATCGTGGCTCAGCAGTCTGCCGCTGATGTCACTTCTTGCTGCTAGTGCTGCCGATGCGGAAGCCTACGCTGCGATGAAAGCATATGTTTCTGCATCGGCAGGCGGCTCACCGGCCGCGTCCCCTGCTGCCGTTGCACTCTCTAGCTTGAGACAGCTTGCGGAGGCTTGTGGCATCGGTCGATGCTCCCTCTCAGGATTTGTCAGCCCCCCTAAAGGGCACTGGCAGCAGCAGCAGCAGCAGCTTCAGCGCCAGATTCAAGGGCCTAGCGCATTACCTTTGCTCTTTGCTGCAGCAACCGCACCGGCCGTTCCCCAAAACTGCTGCACACTGCAGCTGCGGCGCTTGCAGCGGGTGGCATCGCAAGGACTTGCTGCAGCTGGAAGCATGTGCATCGCAGCCCTCGCTGCAGCTGCAAATACACATCCCCGCAGATTTCTCCAGCAGCCGCACCAAGGGGAACAGGCACCTGTGTGGCTTGTGGCTACTGCAGCGGCGGAGGCGCAAAGCCTCGAGATCTCGTGCAGAGAGCAGAGCGGAAGCACGTCCTTGTACACTGCTGACGCTGCAGCTGCGTCTGCCACGGTTGCGACTGTTTCTGGCATGCACCCGCGGCCACATGAGCTGCAACAAGGGCTGCCACAAGAGCTGCAGCGACGGCTGCAGGAGTGTCCACTTAGCTCTTGTTGGGAGGCTGGAGTATCTTCTAGCGCTAATCTCCGGAGCGCCTTGTGCAGCTTGCTGTTGCAGGAATGCTCAGTGGCAGCAACGATGCTGGAATTTGAAGGGCGCCACCAAACCCACCAAAAACCCCACGCCTCCCAGCAGCAGCACCAGCAGCAGCAGAAAATATGTCTGTTGCTCGATGCGTGCATGCGAGCGCGCCTTTCTGCTCAGCTGATGCTGCGTCTCCTCAAGGGCAGTTCCCTGCGTTGCCATGCATTCTTTGACATTGGAGGGAGTAACCCTGTGGCCCTGCAGCAGCACCGACAGCAGCAGCCTTGCCAAACAATGTTTCCGTGGCATCTCCTGTCCAAAATCGCCGCAAGTTGGATGGCGCTGACGAGGATCATGGAAAGCTGTGAGGGGGCGCACCCTGCGAAATGTTCACTAGGTGGCGCCTTCCCCAGTGAACGCCGTCCTCATTTATCCCCTGGCCTGTTGTCTTCCGTCTCTTGGGAGGCTTCCTGCTGTTTGTTGAAGCACCCCCATGTTGCGCCTTCATGTGCGGATACACTCCGAGTCCTCGAGGCCTTCTTAGCAGCAGCCGTCCGAGCAGCGCCTTTTGAAGAGCTGAGGCAGCTACGCAAGACTTTTCTTGAGGGAACGCTTCCGGATGCTGCTCCGCCGCCTTCTGCTGTCGCTCTCCCCGCCGCTGCAGAACACACGGAGGAAAAAATCCACAGGGCGGGGGGGTTGTCCATATTTTTAAATCTGATTATTACTGCAGCAGAAGGGGCAGCGGAGCGCGATGGTGCTGCATCAGGCTCCCATCCCTTGACTTCGCGCCAGACGCACGAGCAGCAGGCGCAGTGGGTGCTGCAGGTTCGGCAAGAGCAACTTCTTTTGCAGCAAATGGCTCTTCGAATGATTGAGGAGACAGCCTTGGACTTCCCTTTGGCCTTCCACGCCCAATGCTGTGCGACACCTGACGCACCGCGTCTTCATCAGCAGCACCAACAGCAAACACCGGCGAAGGCTGACATTGGCATCACTGTCCTGTGGTTTGCCGCTGCAGCACTTGCAGGGAGCAGCCGAAACAGCATCTCCTCCCTACGCAGCAGTGAGGCACTGGCAGCCAGCGTTGCGGAAAATGAGAGGCAGCTGATTCAACGGTTGGTGCTGTGGAGCTACAGCAACCACCCGGCGCTCGCTTCCTTAGCCAGACGCTGCTGGATATGTCTCGCGTCCTTTGCAGCGGAGGCCTTCCCCCTTTCGCCGCAGCAGAGGCAGCAGCAGCAGCAGCAGCCACAACTGCGTGCTGCAGCAGCGCGGCTATGCGCAATGCTCTTTGCTGTTGCTACACACAGCAGGCCCTCAGGATTTGATTCATCAGCAGCGAATAATGCGGATGACGGACTGCTGCAACTGTGCATAGGAGAAACACTGCAGCTTGTCCCCTCCGAGCAGCAAGTACGACTCTTTCGTTGCTTTGCAGTTGCGGCGCATGAAGCTGTCGTTGCTGCGGCCCGTCAACGGGAGGAGCAGCAGCAACACCAGCAGACTGCACGCCGCTTTGCAGAGCAGCTACTGCAGCTGCCTCTCGCATATGGCGCTGAGGTGCTCAGTAGGCTCGGCTACGGGGAGCAGCAGCTCCCCAGCAGCAGCAGGAGCAAGAGCAGTCGTAGACACCATAAATCGCCTGTTTCGCTGCCGCTGTGGCTCAGCATGCTTGCACCCATGTCGGCTGCTGTGTTGCACTTTCCTCTTGGAAACGGGGGACCAAGCGCGACACCAGGGGCAGCACAGACGCTCGAGGCGCACTGCCGTTCTGTCCTGGAGGCGCTCTTGGATGTAACCCAGAGGACTACAGCAGCAGATGCCACTTTGCAGGAGCCTCCCCCAGTTTTGCAGCAGGATGCAGCAGCTAGGGCTGCTGCTGCTGAGCTGCTGCAGAAGCACCAGGAGCAGCAACGACCAGTAATGGCGAGGCATGTGGACTTAGAAAGAGCGGCAGTGGAGGCCGTGTGCGATACAGTCGCAACGTATGCACAACTTGCAGCACCGGCAGCAGAGACTGTGCTGCTGCCTTTTGTCGAAGAGCTCTCCCAATTCGTTGAGCATTATCTGTGCAGCCCCGAGATGGCTGCTGCAGCTCCCCGATTGTTCGCCTGCGCCATTGCGCTTTCTTGCTGCTGCTGTGGCTTCCCCCTCTACCAGCCAAATCAGTCCCAAGAGCAGCAAGTGGCGCACGAGCACAAACAGAAGGCAACGGCAGCTGCTGCGAGGCTGCAGCACGTTGTCCAAGCGGCTCTGCCCCCGATGCTGCTGCTTCACCCAATGCAAACTGCTGAAGCCCTTCTCAAATGTGAGGTTCTCTGGTTCAGCTGCCGCTTCTGCAGTTGTTGCTGAGATTTCCGGCAGCGGCATGCGTCGCTCGTGCTGTTTTGGCGTGTGGACGTGTATATCCGCAGGCCTGGAGAGGGGATGGGCTCCACATCTCGTTCAGGGCATTCGTGCAGCGCTGCAGCAAGGGAAGGCAGATTGCGAGATGTTGCAGCTCCTGCATTCTCTCGCTCAGATATCAGAGCAGCAATGTGCATCCCACAATGGGATATATGCATTGCAGCAGCAACTGCAAGTGGAGCTGAGCACCCAAGAGCAGGAGCACGTGGCATATATACTCAGACGCTCGCGCCTGCTGGACGGTGGCAGCACGCGAGTTCCTTGCGCCTTCCTCCAGCCCCTTTCCGCTAGTGCAGCAGTTGTGGCTGGTCCATTGGGAGCAACTGACGCACATGGCGCTGCCTCTATCACTCCTTCGAGTACCCCTGGTCTGGATCATGCCGTAGCCTCTGTTGTGTCGCAGAGGCTGCTACAGCTGCTGCCTCTCATGCCTTCTGCCTCTGCAGCGCAGGAGATCACAGGTAAGGACGCATGGGCCGCACAAAAGACGATGAGAGTTTCTCAGGAGGCAGCAGGGCGTGAGCGCTTCCACTAGGGTTGTTGCCGCAACCGTGGCGGACTGGATATTTCTGGGGTCCTTGTGCTGCAGACTGCCTTGGAATGCTCAGTGGGAGCTGACCCCAGGACTAGGAATGTGAACGGAGGTGGGGGGCAGCGGCAGCATGGCCTAGAGGGAACGAAAAATATGGCGCACCAGAGAGCTTCAAAAGCTACAATTGCAGGAGCGGTTGTACAATCCTATCGGCAAGCTGGTCTCGAGCAGCATTCAGGCGGACTGTCCTTCCTTCGCGGGCCACAAATGCAAATATCCTTCGGTTGAGACCGCAGAATAAGAATGAAGAGAATGGGTGAACCTTAGGTTTTTTGACGCAGCGTGTGTCTAGATGCAGCCACGATCGCGAGCTGATAGGGGTATAGTGGCGGCACACGGCACAATATATAGCAGCTCTGGTCCTGGGCCGTTTGCACCATATGTACGTATAAACGGCCCAGGAGCACGCTATGAAGTCTGGGCGGCACACGAGGAGCGAGGGCTGAGCAGGTAGGGGCAAACAGAGGGGGACACTAGGAGGTCTGTATCGAGAATATGGGAAGAGAGGCGCGCATATATGTATATACACAGAAATGAACACGCGAAGGAACACATATGATGGGTCGAAAAAGATGCAGAAGGGAAGGAGTACTGCTCCACTGGACCCCTTGCACAAGCCTCAGGCGCCTAACGCTGCTCCAGAGACGCAGATAAAGTGACGAGGGAAGTTGGGAGAGCTGCACAAAGTGCCAGCAACATGACAACAGAGAGGCAGTTAGTAGAGAAGGAGAGCTATCTAGGTCCGACGAAAACGGCAGCACGAAAGGAACGCGGAAGCTAAGTGGCCCCGCGTGGGCAGGAGAGTTGCACGCGTACGCATGCAAATACAACGGGGTAGGCCGGGATAACTAGAGGTGCCGCACGTGGCATTCTTGGAGACCCGTAGGCAGAGCAGGGGTGGGAGAAAGCAGAACAGACAGTGTAACAGTCGCCACAATGAGAAAACACAGGTGAAAAAAGGTCGAAAGGCAGAAGCACGACGTTTATGGAAGCTGGACTATGGGCGAGTGCACTGCGCAAGCGTTCTGTGTACTCTTGTACTACGTCAGGCTTGTAGGCGAAGGCCCAAACCGGTAAACACACGGAATAGAACTCCTTTTCTCCACACATAGACACACACAGACAATGCATCCGAGTGTGGGAAGGCGACAAAAGGATGCAAAGCTGGTTCAAGTGAGTTTTTGTTTCTCTCGTGCCGATTCGCGGTGCAATATCTTTGCTGTCCAGGACAAGCAGACGCAAGCACCAAGCGCTGTTAGATCATGCCACACAGTGCCACACAAACCGGCTGCCTTGATATGTGAGCGAAAGGGCATGAGTCTCCCTCGGGGACACAAGCACGCAGTAAGGAGCCCCCCTCTCTGAAGAGGGTGGACACAGTACCAGACGCGTACAAGTGGCTTCGACAGAGCACATACTCAGCCCCTTGGACTTCACAGAGTCAGGTGTATATCTTCATGCATGGCATTTCTTGTAGGGTGATTGGTCCTGCGCACCGCCGTTCGCATCGCGCGAAGCCGTGTCTTTTTCTGGTCTATGCGCTCTAATCGCTTGTCACAATACGTGAACACTTAGTTGGGAATAAGCAATGGCAAGTGTTGCTGAGCTCGCGGCGCTGGCCCCTATGAGCTTCCGCTACAAATCCTGATGCCGCACAGAAGGCATTGCACCAAATCACCGTGTCGTTTCGGCCAGTCTTGTTCAATTTGCAAGCAAAAGTAGGCATCCAAGAGGCCAAGTCAGAATGGCGTGATATGGGCGAGACAAAAGGGACTAGTAAAAGGTGGCGCCTCTAGTCGTTTGGCGCCTCCTTGCCAGAAGCCTCGCCTCCTCCGCCTCTCGTATCTAATGCCGGGCACCAATTCATACAAATAATCGACAAGCAACAGAGCCTAACCAGTTGGCTGCACTGCGTAGTTTGAGAACACGATAAGCAGGGACATTGTATTTATTGCTGGACTCCTAAGGCCCGTGTCCCATACTCTCTCTAGTCCTCTCTACACTTGCGCCAAGGGAAAGCATCCCCAGGCCTCATCCCTTTCCGAATAGCGTCGTCCTGTACAGAAGGGTATCAGCGTTCGACAATGCACTACCTACTTCTTCCCTGTAAATTCCTGCAACAGACACCGAAGCCCTAGGGCGATGACATCGCGTCTTCGGACACAAAAAGTACCCCGAATCTCCACGTGATCACAGAAAGCGGAGCTCCTAGAGGAGCGGTACAGGCCAGCACGTGAGAGGAAAGAACTGAAAACGGCAGTCAATCTCGTGCGGTTGCTTTCTCACGCGTCCTCGAAAGGCGGGCAGCCCTTGACGAGGTGCATCCCTGGTTGCATTGCGTGGTCTCCTCGTGAGGCCTTTTGGGTCCTCCTTCCGTCGCATCTGTTGTCGACGGTGAAAAGCATCAGATATGATGCCAACGTTTCTCCTGTACTCCGCCCGTTCGTCCATCGGCGCCGCACTGCTGCGTTCAGCTCCGTTCTCTGCCTCCCCCACGCTTGCACAGCCTCCATATCTCGACTGAGCAGTAGCTTCATTTTCAGATGTGTCTGTACAACGCTGTTTCCCCTTGGTCCCTCCAATGTTCCCCCAATCTTGTGCTCAGCACCTTCTCTCTAGCGCTGCACGCTGCTTGCTAGAGAATTCCACCCGCCAAGGGCTGAGCCTTGTGCTGCTGCCACCCCTGCAAGGGATGATCTTGACTCACCGAAAGGCGTTACAGCGAGTCTACGGCGCCTGCGGGCAAACCCCCGGCAGTGCTACTGCCCCCACAGGCTTTTCTCTGAGGAACCGTTTAGGGAAGCAGCATCCACCAGCGGCCTCTTTATGGGCCCTGCAGCCGCAAGGGGGAAGACGCCTAATGGGGGCGTAACACTCGCGTATCGCGAGCCAAACCATACGATCATCCACAAGAGTACCTGTTGCCGCCTCCTTCTCGGACGCTGGAGCTTCTGCAATAGCTACTGCTTCGCTTGGAGGACACTGCGAAGCCACAGGGAGTCCTCTGCCTTCCTCTTGGTTGTTCGGTCTCGCTGAAGGGCCCTCGAATGAAGCATCGGAAGGCAGCATGCGGGGAACAAAGCGAACGCTGTGTTGCTGCGCTAAATACAGCCCACAGCTATGGAGCGTGTAGCGCGCGCGCTCCTCCAGGAGCTCTAAACGACTGATCCAAGAAGACAGAGTGCTACAAACCTTGTGAGACACAAACCCGCCGGAGGGATAGAAACAGACTGGACTAGAGAGGGCAGTGTTTGGGGGCGATTCCGGCGACCCCTTACAGCGCAGCCAATGCTGTTGCTGGACTTCCCGAGTGCCGACTTGGGCCCGAAGTTTTACGAAGAGTTGGCGTGCTGCCGCGTCAAGCAGTAGATGATATGAAACGGTAACCACGGCCACAATGAAGAAAGATACAATCGCATCAAACACGGAGCGGAGCCCGCTAACAGAGCTCAAAATCACGACTACCAGACTAAGAAGTGCAGGCTGCAGCAAAAGAAGCGGCCGTTGCCACGTATATAGCAGCCAGAACACACACAATTCGGACAGGATCAGTCGGCTGTATCCAGGCACCCCATCCACATCCTCCGGGAGCGCAAGGCCTCCCAGAAACCGCAGCGTCAACATGGCAGTATCTCTGTAAGTAAAGCTGCCGCCACCACTGTTGCTGCTGCGTTGAGAGCTATACTCGAACCCGAAGGCCACAGAGATGAACAATTTCAGTATCAAACCCGCGCACAAGCACCCCCCAAAACGGAGCAACACGGCAGCGCGTAATCTGGGCTGCAAGCTCTTCCACCTATATAAACTCAGTACAACCAGGAGCACGTAGACTCCGTCGACTGCAGCCTGCGTGGGAAGCCACTGAGTTGCCGAGAGCTTGCTGGTTTCGCGCCCCTCCTCCTCCAGGGAAGCCCCCGCCGCTCCGCGGCTCTCTCGAAGCATGCAGCTCACCATTAGCTGTGAAAATGCAGCAATAGTCATACTGGCCAGCAGCAACAACAGGCCTGCAGACCATACCATCCTCCACGCCGTGGCTTTCGGGCAGGCAATGCCGTCTGTGGGGTCAACTGCAAAGACGGAAAGCCGAGGCGAGGGAGTCCACTTTGGATGTCTCCTTTGGTGCTCACGGGCGGCCCCCACGGAGCCACATGCGGCAGCATCGGAGCTGTAGCAGGACGAAACGTGGCCGTCGCAGGATGTGCTGGCAGAGGAGATTCTACAATCGCTCAGCTCCTCCACGTCCTTCGGGGAGGCGTCCTGTGCGTCCCCACAGTAGAATTCCCGGAGGAAGAATCTGGAAGCGAGAGAAGGCCGCGGGGTACCCACGAGCGCGCTCCCCATGGAGGCTCCTCTGGAAAAAGCCTCGGGATGCTGATGTCGTGCAACGGAAGCGGCAGGGAGCGGCGCTTCAGCAGCCTCAAGAGAGGCGCCGGCTCCGAAGTCGTTCAAGTTGAAGGTAGCATCTTCGGTTTCATCAGGGGACAAAGGGAGATCAGAGAAAGCCACGTCAACAAAGGCAAGGGAAGAGGCAGTCGAGGAGCTGCGCAGCATACGGCGGCTCCCCGGACCAGATCCACGCTCGGCCGTCATATCTAGTGACTGATCCCTAGACAGTTCGAACAGAGGACCAGAGGGCTATAAAAATCGAACAGATTCGCACAGAAAAGCAAACGGGAATACAGATCAGTGCGGCGCTGTGCCCGTCTGTGCAGCTAACTTTCTGTCCCTCGGGGAATCTTATGCTCGCAAACCTCGGCGTGGAGCTCTGCCCAAAAAGTGCGTTTACGAGCTTTCGCTGCAATGCCGCCGTGCATATAGACCGTAAAGCCACAGAATTAAGCTGGGAATGCCAAAAAGGTTAAAAATAGGGGAAGAAGGCGGGAATTGCGGACAAGAAACTCGCCAGCCTCGACGACGCGTGGAGCTACGGGGGAGGAGACTTCTCGGACTGCTCGGTAGAAAGGACTGAAGAGGTGCTGACTACATTAAACACCGTGTGCGGTGCCATAAGGAAAAGCTACAGTTGAAACAACAAGGAACAGACTGCCTTGTGAGAAGTGCGATACTCCCCCAAAGCGCGGAGGAACCCCGCGTCGAGAAGTACTACGTGAAAACGGGCTCTGCTGTGGCCTTGCCCTTAACAATGCCACAGAGTCTTCAGAAAAATGAGGAGGGCTAAAAAGGAACAACAAGAGGATGCATTCAGCCCCTCAGGCAACCAGCAGCCACGCTACGAGACGCGAAGGACTGTGGCGAGGGGCGCAGATGAGCCAAGAAACAAGTGTGCAAAGTTAGCAGTCCTAATTTTCAGGTTCTCCCTCAAAAGGTGCTTGCATCCATCAAATCCCTCTGGTAACTCCAGTTAACGTGTCTTCTGCTGTGAATAATAAAACAACAAGGGTACCTTATGCGCCCTGCCAGCAGCGCCCCTGGGTGCTGCTGTGTTTACCTTACCAGACACGTGCTGCTAGATCGCTTCCAGCCTACGTCTGTGCTGTTCCATGCTTGCTGCAAGGCATTAAAATTGCTGTTTATGCTGAATACATGCTAGAAAACAACGTGTGAAGAGAGGGATCGGCGCTTTGGTTTCTGCGGGTGTTACTAGTGCCTCGCTTGCTAGTCCATTGAACGAGATGCAGGCACCGCGTGGGCCTTGCCTTGGGGAGCTTTCTTCATTATTCCACATGGTTTCAAATGCTTTCCCATTTGGCTTAAGTATGCGACGTTTTAGAGCCAACTTGAGCCTCGAAAACCCCGAAGCCCATTGTCTATATAGCGTCCCCTCACTGTTCTGCACTTCAATAGCCGCGCATCTCACTTTGGACAAGGCAAGCCCGCCCCAACGCAGGCGCACATAGCCTCCGATGAGCATCAAAAAGTGCTTGCAGAGCTATGGCCACCCTACCAGTTCCTCACGTATATCATATGATGGGGCAGGAAACAGTGTGATTCGGGATTGATGGCATGGCGCAGTGGGGCAAGGCAATCTTAACAGTTTACGCTTCATTAGTAGTGTTAATGAGCTAAAAACCTTATTTGATGCAGAGAATTCTGTTGCTCGAAGCTTCGCACATCTAGGGCTGAACGCTCGGGGTGCTTAGACAGTGCAGCTACGCAAACCGTAGTTGTCCTTCTTCTCTCCTGTGATAAATTCGCAGGGGCATGTGCGGCGGAGGCTACAATTTTCGCTTGACACACTTCTTTAGTTGCATTCAGTACCTTACTAAGTGTCTCCCTGTGCATATCTTCGATGGACCAAAAAGTTGGCAGCACCCCAAATGCGAAGCTGCTGCTCCCCCCTCATACACTAGCTAGGAGCGCCGTGGGGTTTTAGGCTTCCCCCCAACAGTTTTATGGGTGCGATCAGGTAATTCGTAATTTGGTTATTAGTGTATCGCTAGCATCGGGATCAACAAAAACCATTCTCTAAAGATGGACGTAGACTGTGGAACAGCGCTATTTGGGACGGGTAAGGAGGGCCTCTTAGCCAGTGTGAACGCAGTAGCTCCACAGTTGTTAGAAAGGCATTATTGGCCAGTGGATAAAATGTTTACTGATGCATCAATGAGATTTTTATACCGACCACAAAAGTGTAAAGGCCATAAGGATGGGCAAGTACTTGAGAAGTTCGCTAGCCACCATGCATGTATCTCGCTTTTTATCTTCCAGAAACAAAGAGAAGTTAGTGCTCCGTTCGCCCTGCCTATTGGACTTAGATGCAGTTCACTGCCACAGCTCGGGTCGTCATACGAGCCCTGACTCGTCGGTGTGTGCCGAAATCGGCACACCAACAAGCTGTTGGTAGAATTGAAAAAGCTCAACGAGAAAATCGACCAGTATATCGAAATGCTGAGAAATATGCAGCTTTGGTTCTCAAAAGCTACAACGTAAAGAACAGATGCTTTATCAGTGTTTTTTCCGAGATCTACCCTAGGTGTCCCGTCAGGTGGGCGGACAGCTACTCAGCAATCAAGCAACACGCCGGTGAGGCTTCCATAAATACTTGACCACTTGAGGCTTGAGGATCCAATGATCAAGCTGCTGCCTGTTTGGCTGAGAAGGAAGAACAAGGTCTTGATTTAGAGCCACTGGATGTCGAGACTGCATGAACCGGCCCTACAGTACAATCGAAGGTGAATGCGAAAAGGTCAGAGGGATATTGCGATTCTTAGCAGGCCCAGACTTGCTAACAACGCACCTGCTTGTATTCTGGAGAAATGGGTAATATGAGTCCGAGCCTTAATGCCATGCGAAGAAGGAAAAGCTTTGAGAGTAGGATTGGGCCTAGTGGCAGCAGGTTGCTTGGCAAGTAGAGGAGGAGTATGTGAAAAGCGGAAAGCCTCTTAAGCAGGCTGCGGCGCAGTGAATGGCGCTAGAGAGAATAGGGCCGCACTTTGGCGACCCACCATGAGTAAGGTCTCTGCTGATATAGCTTAGCATTAGTTGTCAAGAAGTACTTAAGCCGATTGACATCGGATAAGGTGAATCTGCTTTCCAAACAGACGGTGCAGAAGTGCAATCTGCCTTCTCACCCCTTAGAGTCAGTATAGCATCTACATCCTTGTCAGCAGACTCAGAAAATATGCCCCCTTCATCCCGTGTTCCAGCTCCGTCACCCTTCAGGAAGTCGCTCAGCTATTCTCAACTCAAGTCTGGAAGGTTCAGGGAATCTCCATGAATATCCTTTCGAATAGGATCCGAAGATCGTCAGTGCGTTTTGGCGTGACCTGAAGACCCGCCAGCACGTCAAGCACAACTTGAACACTGCAAACCACCCTATGGGAGATGGACAGATTCTTGTGCTGAGTGGGTATATCATACACTAGCACACTCGTCTGCCCGTTGATCGGCAGCATCCTTTTTGCATAGTGAGTAGCATCGTTCGAATCCAGGCCTCCTGGTCCTTGTAGTCTGGGGTCAGCATTCACCCTTGAGAACAGAATAAATCAGAAGGCAGCTCGCTATTACGAGGAAAACAGGCACGCGATTAGGCTAAGCGGTTGTCGGTTTTGCCTTTCGATTGTGGAGCCTTGGTCCTAGTGGATCAGTAGGCTTTGCGACTCTTCCACGCGCAACATTAGCTAACCTGACAAAAAGTCTGCAACTATGTGGCTAGGACCTTTACCGTCCTACCGCGAATCAGTGCTCATTCTCTGCGTTGAATTGCCTTAAAGCAGGAGGCACCAGACTACGATCGGTATCAGCATTTCAAAAGAGCTTCAAAGCTCCCGAATCGTTCGTGGATTTTACTACACAGGCAAGTAAGACATATGAATGCGGAGGATCCCAGGGAGCCGTCCGGCCGGTAGAGTGTAGGTTTCGCGTGCCCTGGAAACAGTAGACGGGAGTTTCTGGTGAAGCGGGGTGGGGACCACTAGTCTGACGCTGGCGCAGGAGTCCTTGGGCTTCATTGTCTAAGTGAGATCAATGGCTATGTCACTTTTCACAAGAATATTATGCACAGAAAGAACTCCGCGCGTCCTTTAGTCCTTGTCCTTTCTCAGAGCATCCTCTGCCCTACATAGCTACCTTCAATGAGAGGTGCTGGCAGACGTTCCTGGCTATTATTGTGACACTACTCTCCACACTCAACCCTATACGCAGGTACTTATAGGCGTGGTGTTCTGCCTTCTTCCTGATGCTTCGTTACGGGCTTCGGAATCGACTCTTGTGCTTGAAACGAGTGCATTTGCATGCAGACATTGCCATAAAAGGCGCAGAGGCACTGCTGAGCTAGAATTTACTTTGTTTCTCCTTACAGCTCTCACTTCCTTGCTTCTCGTGGCAGGAGGAACACAAATTTTAGCTCTCCAACGACAACCAGCCATTCTGACGCCACAGCTATTTCGGTTTGCACCTTCGCTCACTGTTTGCTGGTGTGTCTGTCTTTCCTCCCATCGCTTTCACTACAGTGGTTTATGCGCACATCCTTTTCCATATGCACTAATTTTGCACTTTTATGTGCCTGGGGAGTGGCAATTAGGCGGGAACTCTACGGCTGTCCTACAACCAGATAGTCTTGACGCATATGTACGGGAGAAGAGCGCGTGTATATGAAATGAGGATGGAGGTGTAGCGGGCTCAGCAACAAGAAACACCTGCTACTGCTCTACTCCTATTTAACAGAGAACTAGATAGAACTCAAATATTTGGGTTTGGGTGTCTGGAGCTTTTACGGAGTACACATAGCTCGATACAGCAACACGCAATGCTGTTCATATGTGCGCTAGATACTATCTGCAACTAGCTGTGAATGCCCAGGGTGCTAGAAGGTGCAGCTGCGTGCATCCTAGCTGTCCCTCTCCCCAAACGTCGGAAACTCGAGGGGAGCAAGAAGGGAAAGGAGGGAGTTATGTTTAAAGGAACACTTAAAAACATTCAGTTAATGTTTGTATGAACCTGGAGTTAAGTGTCTCCCTGCGGAGCGTCTTTAGAGTGTTTGTAAATATGCTGCACTCGCACACACACAACTGCCTTGTGTGCGACTGCGTCCGAATGTCTAGGCTGTTCGTAGGCCGCATCAAGTTGCCCCCGGGCCCCTCCCTCTCCCCACAGTGTGGAAATCATGTAGGGTTCTAGAAAGGATCAGCGACACTTCTCTTTAAGGGCGGCATGTACCAATTCTCTTTAAGGGTCATAAGAAACAAACACATTCGAACGTGCGTGACATTTAATACAGTTCATTGGATGACCTCAAGCTTCACCATGGCGCTTGGCGCTACAGCTGGTCGCCAGAGCGCGATGTTTTAACCTTTACAAGGGCGTGTCTGCAAGCAAACAAACGGACTTATAAGTAGTCTATATGCTGCCTTGAGGTATAGTAATTAGCTTCTAAAGGACTTTAAGCTATAATTGCGGGGGTTCTGGGGGAGAGTCGTTTTCTGCTGGGAGTTCCTGTAAGGCAATGTAGAAGCTTCGAATAACCTTGTACTGCACGAGTTGTGTGCGTCAAATTTGCGGTCCCCCTGTTTGATATATACATAGCAGCGAGTAAGTTGCCACATGAGCTTTCAAGCCGGTCCCCCGAACGTCGTGTTTGGACTGTATTGACCTCCTCGCAAACACATGCATGCTTTTGCACGGAGGGAGGTGACGGAGCCTATGGGCAACACCCGCTGTGTCCGCTGTCTGTTTCTTCAACGGGAGCTGTCTAAAACTGTGCGCAGCGGCAGCGCTGCTACCTCCAACAGTAGAGATCCTGGAAAGCCCCCAATTCGAGGCCTCCCCAACAGACCATTCTTTGGCCCAACCCAGCACAAAGCATAATCGCAAGCTGGTGAGTGTCTTTCCAAAAGAGAAACCTTTCCTTACTTCGTTCCCTCACCCTGCATGATCTCCGTGCGAGAGGAGAGGGAGCAGACAGTTATGGTGTGTAGGCATTGCTACACCTTCTATGCACCAAGAGCAATCATTCACACCCACTTGCAAATATGGGCAGCCTTTGGACCAAAGGCACAGAAGATTAATTCTCATCTCAAGTAGCGAACTTGACGCTGCAAAGAGTAGCTACGGCTTGGCTGTTTGCATGTTAGTGGTGAAGTGCTTACGCAGTCTTAATCAAATACAACGGGCATTGGAGAAAGTGAAGTCTACCATAGCCCGCTACGCATTCCAAGTTGTGTTTTGCGGCGAGCTGCCAGAATTTATTTTCAGCGCACAAAGCCTGACGTTTCGAAGGGTTTCTGAGAAGCCGTGCTCAAGTGGACGACAAAACAGCTTCGACAAATTTCCCGTCAGGGATAGCCCCTTGGCGTTTTCCTCTTTCCACTGCCCTCATCTCCCCTTTTGTGGCCCCTATGAGTGCCTTTGCACTAGACGCTTAGTCAGTGTTTGCCATGACTGCATGTAGATATATGTAGTGTCTACGGCTCTGGCTCCAAGGTGCCATCCCCGCCAGCTGCTGCAGGGAAGAAGGACTCCACTTGTGATGGCTGGAAGGAGCGGCGGAAGCAAGGCTCAAAGGGATTCACGCTGCCTTGCAGTCCGGCAAATGCAAGTCCAGTCTGTTAGCATGCATCCGATGCACACAGACCGCCCTCCTGTACGCGTGGCGATGCATACACAAGTTTCTGCATGCGGGCATGTCACTGCAACGCCCCATGCCTCTTCCTTGGCAGTCCCGACAGACTGAGGACCGGCTAGCTATCCCAGAGTTCAGCCAGACCTCGTGCGCCTTTCAGGGAAGCGCGCGACGCACGAAGATGCCAAACCCGAGGGTTAAAAGCGGTTTACCCTTTCCTTGAGGCCTCGCAACATCCGCAAGAATCCTGTTGGCTTCGCTGCAGGAGCCTCGAGGCATGCCGAGAGCAGCAGCGTGTCTTCTGTTTTGTTGGTACTTCCGGCGCCCTTGCTAATGCAGTCGTTGTAGTCGATACAGCTGGTGACGCCAGCACTGGTATGGTTGCTGCCGTCGGTTGTACTGGCATCTTGTTTGGAGGCTCTAGCGACAGCGTCCCCTGCTGAGAGTGCTTCCGCCTCATGTGTAGTGTCTCTGTGCGCTTTAGGCCCCGCAGGCGTTGCATCATCCAGCACAGCAGCGTCCAGAACCGAAGCGGGAAGCTCTAAGGCCGTGGCTTCCGAACTGCTGCCGTCTGCTGCTCGCATTGCAGTAGGTGCTTGCGAGGCTGCCTGTAGTAGGAGTAGCGCGGGTGCCTCTGCCCTCGATTCAGTTTGACTTTCCACCGATGAACACTTCTCCCACTTACCCGAGGTAGCCACGCCTTCCAGAGTATCTACCGCGATGAATGCAGACTTGCTGCTAAACCCCCCGGCGACAGCTCCCGTGGCTTCTTCATTTGCCTGCTCCGGGTGCTGCAACGGTGGGGCTGCATGCACACGCGCTTCTCGTTGCACCAACACGGGAGCGGAAGCAGCGAGAGGGGGCCCTTGTCCGTCCACCTCACCAAAGGCCTCCTGCTGCCGCGCCAGTGGCTGCTGCAGCTCCTCCTCCTCGATGGGATCCAGAGCTTTCGGAACAAGTCCGGCAGCCTGCAACGCATCAAAGTAGGCGAGCATCTCATCTACTTCCGTTGACGCGTCCGCCGCTGCAGTCTGTGTCGGTGCCGCTGGAAGGAGAGGCAGCCAACAGCTGTTTTCAAGTTGCTTGGGGGAGGCTGCCGACGCAGAAACGGCTGTCACTGGCGGAGGCGCAGACGGCTCTTCCGCCTTCACAGGTGCTTCGGAAAGGATCGCCAGCGGCCGACTTGCTGTACAGCCGCCATCGTTTGTCCCTCCAGCAGTCATCGCAGCCGCAGAGGGGCCTGCTGAGCAGACACTGGCTGCTGGACGCCCCACAATATCGGCAGTTTCAGAAGAGACGGGCTCCTCGTAGGATCTGCTCAAGCGCTGTTGCCACCGCTGCCGGATCTTCTCGCGCCGGATCCTTCCCATTCGTTCGACCAAGGACTGCAGCGGCTGCTGCTCGTGGGTGCCCTGCTGCTGCTGCGCCGGAGACGTTTGCTGCAGCTGCTTCTGCTGCGTGTACAGCTCCTTCTCATGCTGCTGCTGTTGCCCTTGGGGCTGCTTTGTCCCTTGTTGCTGCTGCTGCATGTATGTGCTGAGCTGAAGCGGCCGCTCGAGTGCCTCTCTCTCTGGTTGCGGTGCTGACAAAAAAGGCATCTGTGCGCGCTGCGGCAACATGTCAGGAGCCTTCACCCCAGTTGAGGAAGGATGCCGTTGCTGTTGTTGCTGCTGGAGGCGCAGCTGCAACAGCTGCCGCCACTTGTGCTGCTGCAACTGCTCTGGCGTTTCGTCTTTATGACTGCAGGTGTCACCAGTGCCTCTGATGCTGCTGGTGCTGCTTCTGCGAGATGAGGCGCTGCGGCTGCGGAAAGCTAGCGGTTCACTGCGGGGCTGAACCTGCTGCTCCTGCAAATGCTGAGACAGCAGGGGCCTGCTGCTGCTGGAATTGCCGCTGCTGCTGCTGCACCTACTGAGACGCCTCGAGCTGCCGTTGCTGGTTCCCCTGCTATCAGAGCAACTGCTCCAGGATTCGTGCATACGTCGCTTGCCCTGCTGCTGCTGATGCTGCAGAAGCCCCTCCCGTCCGTCCTTCTTCCTGGCGTTCTTCCTGCTGCTGGTGCTGTAGTCGCTGCTGGGAGACTGTGTGCCTGGGCACTGCCCGTTTCTGCGGTGCCTTGAGAGCTTTCTTCTTTTGTTTGTCTCTTGGAGGCAACAACTGCAGTCTCTCAAGGACGGTGTGTGGACGTGCGTTTCCCCCCCGCTCATCACTCTCTTGATGTTGCCGCGAACGCTGCTGCCGAGGCTGCTGCGGCTATGGCTCTGGCTTCGGTTACGGCGGCTGTGGCTGCTTGTGACGGTCGGAAGAACGCGGCGCGTTTCCAAAGAAAGGAAATCAGGTGCATGCAGACGTGCAGCAGCGCCAGACGCAGCAGTAGGTGCTGCAGCTGCCGCTGTTGCTGCTCCTGCTGCGAGGTGGTCTGCAGCAGCAAGGTGCTTTAGGGGGTCCTTCCTGGGGCTACAGCAGTTCTCTCCTCTGATCAAAAATGGCTGCTGCAGCAGCTGAGAGTGCAGCTGTTGCTCCGCCCCCGACTGCAAAGCATCCTCCCGCTTCCCTTGCGAGGAGACAGACAGCGGCTGCTGAGGCTTTCGCCTGTGCGAATGCGACTTGCTTTGGCCCCTCTTAGAGCCGCGGCGGCTTCCTCGAAGCTTAGCATGGCGATGCTGACGGCATCTCGAGAATCGCCACTTGCTGCTGCTGCTCTGGCTCCTTGTATAGCTGGTGCTACTTTCACTGCGGCGCGCTGCGTGGCTATGACCCCTTTTCTTGTAGTGGCAGCGATGCGTAGAGATGCGGCTGCGTTTGCTTGCCCTCGCCGTCACTCCTCGGCTGCCCGTACGGCGGCTCCGCCTGTAGCGGTGCTCTGTACTGCTGCTGCTCTTGCTCTTGCTCCTGCTCTTGCTCTTGCTCCTCCTGCTGCTCCTGCTACTGCTCTCGCTGCTACTGCTCCTCCTGCTGCTCCTGCTACTGCCGCTCTCGCTCCTGCTGCTCTTGCTCCTGCTGCTACTGCTATCGCCGCTACTCCTCCTGCTGCTGCTACGCTTTTCGAGCAGCTTTCGTCTGCTGCGTTTCGCATGCTGGCCACAACACACAGAATTCCCCCACCAGCCCCAAGGACGTGCGCCTCCTTCGCGTCTGTTGACACAGCTGCTGGACGTTTGACTGCTCGCGCTCCCCCTGCGGCTGCCGTGAGTCACTCCGCTGGTCCTGCTGAAGCTGCTGCGTCGCTCGGCGCTGCTGCTGCTGGCTGCGCTGCCGATTTGCCAACCCGCCGAACGGAAGGACGAAGGCACCTGCTGCTGATGCACGCCGCTGCGGCTGGCGCTGCTCCTGCTCCCCAAGAAATGCCGAAAACACTGCAAGAAAACCTCCCCGTCAACTTGCACATCTGCGGCCAGGTTCAACAGCAGCCGAAGGCCCCTCTCCAGCAGCAACCCCATGTCGTCTCGCTGCAGCGCTCGCCCCTGCTGGTGTTGCCGCCCCTGTTCGCCTCCTAGCGGTGCCTCTTGGTACTCGGTGGGAGGAGCTTCTTCTGCAGGAAGAACCGGCTCTTGCTCCGTGGTGCGGTGCAGGTGCGTTCCAGACGGCGGTGAAGGCGCAGCAGGCAGCAACGCAGGAGAGCCTTCGACGGGGCATGCAGCAGCAGCAGCAGCAACACCCAAGGAAACAGCGGCATCCGCATGGCCCCTCACTCCCACAGAAATCCCCCCAGCCCCTTGCTGCTGTAGCAGTGCATGCGTCTGAGTCTGCAGGGGACGCCATGGAGGCCGCTCATACTGCGCTCCGAGAATCGACGCTGCGGCGCTCTGCTGCTGCTGCTGCTGCTGCTGCGGGTGCTGCTGCGGGTGCGGGTGCAGCAGCTGATAGGGCCAGTGCGGATGCGCCTGCAGTGGTAGCTGCTGCAGGGTCTGCCGTTGTTGCTGCTGCGGTGCTGCCTGCTGCAGCTGCTTGAGGGGCTGCTGTAGCTGCAGCAGAAACGGCTGTTGCTGCGGAGGCGCAAGGCCTGGCGGCCAGTCAGCTACGCCAGCAGCAGCAGCAGCAGCAGCACCAGCAGCAGATATTGCTGCAGATACAGGGGCAGCAACTTGCGGCAGCAGTCCGCCTGCTGATGCCGCTGGGTAGCTGTGCAGCAGCAGCTGCTGCTGCTGCAAAGGCATCGGAGTCTCGTAAAACAGATGACCAACAGAAGCGAGTTTCCGTTGCTGCCACTGGCGCATCTGTGAGTACTGCTGGTGCTGTTGCTGTTGCCGCTGGTGTGGTGGTGGTGGTGGTGGTGGTAGACGCAGGTATTGCTGCTGTTGTTGTTGTTGCTGTTGCTGGTGTTGCTGCTGGTGTTGCTGGTGCTGTTGTTGTTGCTGGTGCTGTTGCTGCTGGTGCTGTTGCTGCTGGTGTTGTTGCTGCTGGTGCTGTTGCTGCTGGTGTTGCTGCTGCTGGTGCTGTTGCCAAGAATTCGACTGCTGCTCCACCACAGGCCGGCCAGAGGGAATTTCTGAGGGCTGCGATTGGAGGGGATGCTGCAAGCTGGGGACGGCGTCACCTTGGTGGTGGCGAGCTACAACAGCAGGTGGCTGCTGTTGCCGCTGCAACTCAGGAGGCAGCACCAGCTCCTCTCCCTCTTCCAGCTGCTGCATCAGCAGCGCCTTGCATCGGCGAAGGTGCAGTGCATCCACAGGGCTCTTCTGCAGGCGGAAGCTTAGTCTGCCACCAGATTTGCCAGCGGGGATGCGGCTGCTGCCTGGCGTGTCTGGCTCCAGCAACAGGCCGGGTGGCTTGGTGAACTCTCCCGTCAGGGAGCTGCCGCAGCGCTGCTCGCTGCTTGCCGCTGTCAACGTCGGGGGATTTGCCAGTGCTGCGTATGGCCATTGAGACGTATGGTGCAACAGCTGCAGCAAGGAGGTCGTGGAGGAGTCTGCTTTCGAAGCTACCCGTGGTGTGTCAGCGGCTGCAAAAGCAGCCGAGGTAGACCCACAATGCGCCACACTTCCTCCTGCCGGCGTGACTTCTGCCGCTACCTCTGCAGGCTTCTTTGGAGAATGTACAGGTTGCAGGAAGGGCTTTGACAAGTACATGCCTTCACCTGGAACCGCTGCTGCTGCCTCTGCTGCTGCCGCTTCTGCTGCTGCGAAAGGCCTTCCTGCTGAGGCTGTTGCTGCTGGCGCAGGAGCTTTGTTTCGGAGTTTCTTCCGGAGGCGCTCCAGAACGGAGGCTCTGCGGCTTTCTCGTTGCTGCTGCTCGTGGTGCTGCAGCTGCGGGGACGCAGCAGCAGCAGCAGTTGCTCCTTTAGCAGTTGCTGCTCCTTCAGCAGTTGCTGCTCCTTCAGCAGTTGCTGCTCCTTCAGCAGCTGCTGCTTCGGCTGTGGCATCAGCGGCTTCCATCGCAACGTCCGGAGGCAGTTCACCGTCCTCAGGCTCCCCATCCACTGCTGCTGCCACGCCTTGAAGCCAAGTAGAGAGGGCGAATGGAGAGGTTTCGCTCTGCCGCTTGGTCGTCTTGTAGCGATGATTATTGTTGCCGCTGCTGACCTTGTTGCTGCTCTGATGCGCAACGCCTTCATGGTCGTCTTGAGAGGCGATCTCGCAGCAACTGCCGGCGCTGCTGCTGCTCAGCACGAGTGCTGCAGATGCGCCTGCACTTGCACTGCCCGCTGCAGCCGTCATGGAAGCTAAAGCCTCCGTCGGTTTCTCTCCTGCTGCTGCTCCAGCTTCAGCTGTATCTGTCGAAAGGCGTGTGGCTGCCGCTCTGGCTTCAGCTGTATCTGTCGAATGGCGTGTGGCTGCCGCTCTAGCTTCAGCTGTATCTGTCGAATGGCGTGTGGCTGCCGCTCTAGCTTCAGCTGTATCTGTCGAATGGCTCGTGGCTGCTGCTCCAGCTTCAGCTGTGTCTGTCGAATGGCTCGTGGCTGCTGCTCCAGCTTCAGCTGTGTCTGTCGAATGGCTCGTGGCTGCTGCTGCTACTTGCATGTGTTGCGACCCTCCTAGCTGCTCCTGTTGAGACACTGGAGAGCCCTCCTCGCCAGGCGAGTCACTTTCCCCTGCAGGGAGACGCAGCTGCACTGCCTGGGGGTGATGCGAATCCACGCAAAAACACATTGCCAGCTGCTCCGGGAAAAGGCGGCAGCGGCGCAGAAGAGCTCCTCTGCGAGCCAACGTCCACTCCTTGGGGGTTTCTCGCGCGCCTCCTGGCGATGTTGCTGCCGCCGCGCGCCGCTTGTTGGGGGAAGGCAGCGGCCCAGTGTCTTTTGGCAGTTTGAAGCCGCCACATACAAGCAGCAGCGACGCCATCCTTTCCGCCGCGCCAGTACCAGCGTCTGCAGAAGCTGCCTCTAGCCGCATGCTGCTGCAGCGCGGACGGTGCAGGCCGTCGGCTGGACTGCCCCTACGCCTCCGTAGCGGCGGCAGCAGCTGCTGCTGCTGCTGTAAATTCATATTTCCGCAAGAATGCGCTTCCCAGCTGCCGCGCTTCCGCCCTCTGCTTGAAGGACTCTCCATAGGACGGGTGGCAGAAGATGAAAAGTCAGCTTCCACGCGCGCCTTGCCCTCCGCCTCCTCTTCCTCCTGCTGCTGCTGCTGTTTCTCTTCTGCTCCCTCCGCCTTCTCCTCCTCCTCTTCCTCCTGCTGCTGCAGAACGGTGGGGTGGTCGTCGCCGGTATGTGGCAATTCAAGAGCAACAAGCGAAGGAAACATCAGGCACGGCAATCCACACGTGCTGCTGGTGCCTCCACAGCCTCCGCCAGAACCGCTGGTGCTGCGCGACGCAGAGCCGACTTCAGAAAGACTGCCTTGTTGCTGCAAAAGCTGCTGCTGCAGAGGCCCTTCAAATAACGGCCTTGCGACACTATCGCCTCCTCCGTAGAGGCACCGCCACTGCCCGTCACCCCAATACACGCCCTTGCTGCTGCTCTTCGCGCGCTGCTGTACAGACAGCCGAAATTCCCAGATGTCAGGCAAACCTTGTCCATCCACCCCCACGCCACCACACAAGAAGAAGCTCAACACCCCGTTCCAGCGCCGCAGCGCAGTCATCGAGTGCCTGCACACCAAAATCAACAGCCAGAGACTTGCGGGCTGTGCCGCACAGCACCAGAGGGCGAGGGGCGTGCGGTAGTATTTACGGGGTGATGCAGAGACGAAGGCGACAAAGTGCTACTAGCAGACGGGCAAAATAATACACACATACACACGTATACATATACATATACACATATACATATACGTATACATATACACATATATATATATATATATATATATATACATATACTTATACATATGCATATATACATGCAGACATATACACATACACATATACATGCAGACACATACATATCCGTATCCATACATAAACATATCCATATCCATACATATCCATATCCATGCATATCCATATCCATGCATATGCATATACATATCCACACACAAATACATAGATATACACACACATTTATACATGTCCACATATCCACATATACATATCCATACACATATACACACACACACACACACACACACACACACACACACACACACACACACACACACACCTATGTACACCTACACACCGCGCACGGGTAGAGAATCTGCACCAAGGAAACGCGCAGCAGTTCGGAAGCAGCAGCAACAGAGGAGGCGCAGCAGTGCAGAATGGCAAGGCTACCCGATGCGAGCCTCAGGCCGCGGTCCTGTGATATTCAGCTGTACAGTCTGCACGTCTAGCAGCGGCGTTGCGGTGTCTTCCGCTGTTGCTGTTGGCGGCTTCGCAGCAGAGGAGGCGTTTTTGCGAGGCGTCAGCAGCAGAGCCACCGTGGAGTCTGTCAGTGGGATGGCCGAGTTCTGATTGAATTTGAGGTTGTAAGTGTGACTATCGCGGTGCTGCTGATGGTTGTTGTTGTGGTTGTCGTGGCTGGGGTTGGGGTTGTGGTCCTTTTCCTCCTCCTCCTGAAGTTCCTCCGCTTCACTGGTGGGGGTGTCTTTGACACTGCCGCCATTGACGAGCAAGAGCTCGCTGTTGCTCAGTGCGTCGAGGCGGACTGCAGCGGCAGCCGCAGCAGACCGATTCAGCGCGCTGCCGCGATGCAGATGCTCCCCAAGTGCAATCCATGCCCACCCGTGTGAGCCCTTAGAGGGTGGTGTTGCAGCAGGGGGTTCAACTTCGGCCGCACTCGCTGCCGAAGAAAGCGGTGGCTCTGACGAGGCCTCTGCTGCGTGCAGCGAATCCAGTGGTACAGGCATCAATGCAAACACCTCGGTGTTGAAAAACCAACGCCCCACTGCGTCGCGCCACTGACCTCCGAAAAGAAGTATCCAAGGCACACGGCTCTGCAGCCCATGCAGAACTCTTTCCTCCTCGGTGAGAGCTCCTGCTTTTGCTCCTGCCGGTGCTGCACCAGTAGGAGCGAAGGCAACAGAAGGAGTATTTCTTACGGAAGTCTGCGTAAGGCGCATGGTCTCGCTGCCGCCGCCGCAAGAGACAGCGCACCATCCCACGAATTCCTTCGCATCGATGGCGGACCAGGGGCTTTTGGAGGCGTTGCTGCTGTTGCTGCCGGTGGATTTGCTGCCGAATTTGCTCCTGGATTCTGCAGCGTCGCTGCTGGCGGGAGCCAGGGGAGAGGGAGTGTCAGGACGCCTCCTGCTGAGCAGCAGCTCCCGGTGCACTGGTGCGAGCAGCAGCTGTGTCGCCATCGCCTTCGTCTGCTGCTGCTGCTCGCTTGGCGGTAGCAGTGTCACGAGCAGCAGCTGCGTCTGAGGTCCTAGAGGAGAAGACGTCGTGCCAAGTAGCAGCAGCGCTGCCAAGCAGTTCGGCGAGCACTTCACAGAAAGAGCATCCGCAGCCTTGTCGCCCTCACGAGCCTGGAGGAGGCGAGTCTTGGGTGCCGCCGCTGTGGGATTTCGCGCTGTCGCGGGGGTGTCTGTCCAGGAGAAGAAGTAGGGGGCCCTAGTGAGGCGCCTCACAGCCTTCAGACAGGCGTAGCCATCCTGCGCTGCTGTTGCAGCAGAGACTGTGGCCAGGGAGGCTTCGGTTGCAGCGCCGTCTGACGCCGGAAAGGGTAGAAGGCGGACCTTCAGCCCTTCGTCCAGCGTCTCTGCCAGGCTTTCATGACGCACGTGCATCCTGAGGCGGATGGCTTCGGCTCCATCGCGCGGCGACACGACCACGGAGAGCAGGGAGCCCTCTGGACCGCTCAGCACGTAGTACCAGGCAGTGCCTTTTTCGCTGCCTTCTGCTGCGGCTGCGCCAGCAGGCGAAGTGGCGGCAGCAACGGCAGAAGGCAGCGAAAGAGGCGGCGATACAGACGTGCTGGGGGCTGCAGTGCCTGCGTCCGTGGACGTGGAGAAGGAGAAGGGGGAGGAGGCTTCGGAGCTGGTCATCTTCGGCATTTCCGTCGATGTGTCGCGCCGCTCACCAGACCTGCTGCTGCATCTGCTGAAGAAGCCAAGAGCCGTCTTTCCGCCTCATATTTGCGGTGTGCTTCAGTGGGGTGGCAAAACACGCTGCAGGGTCGGTGGCGGCTCGGCCTGGTCTATGCAGCACACGGCGCTGGCCGTCCCACCCGACGCACGCGGCTTGCTGTTTCCGATGCTGTTCTGCGATCTCTGCTGCCAAGAGACGTTAAGGCACTCCGGTGCGTTTGAAACGAACGGAGAAAGAGGGTTTCAGGGGCCGCCCGTGGATGGTGCCTGCCCATGGCTGCGCTTGTGTGCCCCTGCAGCAGCCCAGCAGACAAAGACAACCCTCAGGCATATGGACGTCAACGCATCTTCCCCAAGAAATAGCACGAGCACGGTCGATAAACGCAGCTGCTGCACGAGGACGAGGAACAGCAGCAAGAGCAGCCGCAGCAGGAGCTGCCGCTGCTGTGGCGGCTGCAGCTCCGACTGCTTGCCCTAAATTCATTATAGACCACAATCAGTGTTTTCAAGTTCTCAGAACTGCGCAGTTTCTATTTTCTCTTGTACATCCAGGGGCTGACCAACGACTTCAGCGTTTTGGCCGGCGGGCGAGGCGCCGTTGTGCACGTCTGTCGGTGTCATGGTCGCAAGGAGTGCCTGTGTGCAAGTCTTCCACATATCTGCAAGGCGTTCACGAAAATATGCATTCCTTGTCTTTAGAAGAGGCAGTACTGCTCAAAAGGGTCCATCCTGAATAGAGGACGTTCTCCGTTGCTCCTCAGAGTAGAGACGCACCTCCTTGACGCCACTGTAACATATTGAAGACACTGAAGGCACGAGCACTTAAGCATATCCGTAGGCATATATGCGCATACACCGCCCTTTACAGATGCGTAGCTGTCGAGGGTGCCCTAGGGAGGCTTCTTCCCACTGCTGTATACATCCATTTTCGAGTGCCCCTTGTATTGGGCACAGCTGCAAGCAAACACTTCCTATTACAAAAACCTACATTTTATTCAGCATTGCTTACTAACTAGTCAATATCGACTGTCTCTTGGCATACCTTCTTGGCGTAGAGTACATGTAACGCGATAAAAGAAGACGAGTTGTTGTATGCATGCGCACTGGATTTGAGTTGCAACTGACTGTGCATGTTCGGAGTGGTTGGTTGGTCTAGGGGAGCCTTCGCTGTCTACACCCCCTCCATTTCGGGTCGCAAGCAGAGGAAGGCAAAAGCTTTTGTCGTTGAACTGAACAATTTCTAGTTAGCTGTTCTCCACTCATACACTTGCTAGGATAGTGTGGGGCTTCAGGCTTCCCCACAACAGTTTTAGGCTCTAATCAGGTCATTTGCAATTTGAGTTTCCGTGAATCGCTAGCATCGGGATCAACAAAAACCACCCTCTAGAGATGAGCGTAAACTGTGGAACAGCGCTATTTGGGACGGCTCAAGAAGGGCAGCTGGCCAGTGTGAACGTACTTGCTCCACAGCTACTAGAAAAGCATCATTGTTCAGCGGATGAAATGTTTACCGATTCATCAATGAGATTTTTATACCGACCACAAAAGTGTAATGGCCGGTTAGGCATGTATCTCGCTGTGTATTTTTCATGAGGAGAAGTTTGTGCTCTGTTCGCCCTGCCTATTGGAGTTAGATGCAGTTCACTGCCACAGCTCGAGTCGTCATACGAGCCCTGACTCGTCGGTGTGTGCCGAAATCGGCACACCAACAAGCTGTTGGAAGAATTGAAAAAGCTCAACGAGAAAATCGACCAGTATATCGAAATGCTTAGAAATATGCAGCTTTGGTTCTCAAAAGCTACAACATAAAGAACAGATGCTTTATCAGTGTTTTTTCCGAGATCTACCCTAGGTGTCCCGTCAGGTGGGCGGACAGCTACTCACCAATCAAGCAACACGCCGGTGAGGCTTCCATAAATACTTGACCACTTGAGGCTTGAGGATCCAATGATCAAGCTGCTGCCTGTTTGGCTGAGAAGGAAGAACAAGGTCTTGATTTAGAGCCACTGGATGTCGAGACTGCATGAACCGGCCGTACAGTACAATCGAAGGTGAATGCGAAAAGGCCAGAGGGATATTGCGATTCTTAGCAGGCCCAGACTGTTGCTAACAACGCACCTGCTTGTATTCTGGAGGAATGGGTAATATGAGTCCGAGCCTTAAGGCCATGCGAAGAAGGAAAAGCTTTGAGAGTAGGATTGGGCCTAGTGGCAGCAGGTTGCTTGGCAAGTAGAGGAGGAGTATGTGAAAAGCGGAAAGCCTCTTGAGCAGGCTGCGGCGCAGTGAATGGCGCTAGAGAGAATAGGGCCGCACTTTGGGGACCCACCATGAGTAGGGTCTCTGCTGATATAGCTTAGCATTAGAATCAAGAAGTACTTAAGCCGATTGACATCGGATAAGGTGAATCTGCTTTGCAAACAGACGGTGCAGAAGTGCAATCTGCCTTTTCACCCGTTAGCACAGTATCTAGAACGTACATTTTCTAACAGGCAGTGAAAATGGACGGATTGGCGAGCCTAAGGCGCATAGGTGCTGCTACATAACAAAGTTGGGTCTTATCATCATGGTCCGTTACTTCTTTGTTGGACCCGTGCAGTATGACCTGAGTACGCCATGAGTGTGGGACGCGCTCAAAGAGTCATAGCTGCTCCCTGTACGGGAACGGGTGCCGGAAAGTACTTGGCAAAACCGCCCCTGATTCATCAAACAATGCTCAATTCATCGATGGGAATAGGGGTGGGGTGGGTACGTCAATAAGATGGGGTAGAGGCTTCATGCTTACAGCCCCGCAGCAACACAAAAGGAGGCTTTTTCGGCATGCAGTCAGTCGTTTTGGCTTTGCAGCAGGAATTTAATTAGAAAAGTTGGTTGGCTATTGAGCCGAGGAACCGACGAAACGGGCAAATATCAATGAAGAGCTCACTGATGTGCTGAAAGCTGACAAGCTTCCAACAGACTGTCCAGCTGCAGGTCGTCCAGCGCAGTGTATTGAGCTAATCCACGGATCAGCTTCGAAGGTGTTTCGGAGGTTAGAAGCCCAACAGTGTAATAGACAGATTTATCGGCATGCGGATGATTTTTTGAAGGAAGGGAAGATGCAGGAATCGCCCAGCGCTGGAGCAATGGTCGGTATTGCTGCCTCAAGAGAAGGGAAGGTAATGCTCGTGCGTTTACTTTAGGCTCCGGAACACGATGAATCTGTGGCAGTGGCTCTCGATGCCTTACCTCAGCGAAGTACGTGAGAAATTGAGCAAGTTAACAGCTTGTTTGACATCTGGCTTCACAGGTGCTTTTTTCCAAGTCCCCATTCACTACAAAACAGAGACAACACGATATTCCGGGCTCGCACCCGAAAACCCTGTATGCGATGTACACTTCTGAATGCTACACCTGGAGTGCAGCACGGGCTTACCGGAGTAGTTATGAACCTAACAGGAAGAACTGGAGGACTGTCTACATGTACCTCGTCTTAGTCTTCAGCCAGAACATGTAGAGAGCACAAGCAGCACCTACGGTGTGTGGTTTAGCTGTCGCAGCACAAGCAGTGGAATGTGAAGGCCTACAAAAGTTTGTTTTCATGAAAATAATTGTATTTCGGGGGCACTGCATTTCGGGTGCAAGAATGAATCCGATCCGGCAGAAAGTTGAAGCAACCAGGGCGTGGTCCTTACCTTTACCTACCCCCAATTGTAGTGCTGTAATACAACAGTACATTCGTCTATCCATTGATCCACCACATTCCTTGCGTACATTGAGTAGAACCTCTTGAATCCAGGCCTTTTCTCGAGTGGTCCTGGGTCAATATTCACCCTCACGAGCAGAGGGGTTCAAAAAACAGCTGGCTAGTGCACAAGAAAGGAAGCGCAAAGACTAAGGGAGACAGGTACCTGATTATGATATGTGCCTGTGGGTTTTCTCCTAGATTGTGGAGCCTTGGTCTTGTTGGTTCGGCGGGCTTTATGAAGTGTAGCAGAAGGCGACCAGACGAAACGTTTGCGACTAGGTGTCTAGGACCATTTTCCATTTTATCACGAATCAATAATTGCTTTTACTGTCAAATTCCCTAAAGGTAGGTAGTGCCACAAGGCTATAAGTATTGGCCTCTTATAGAAGTGCCAGAAGTTGCCAGATTTTTCGACAAGTTTGCCACACGGGCGTGTGACCCGTGTGGAGGCGGAGGATTCACAGGAATCCGCATAGTAGGGCTATAGGAATGGAGAGCTGCCAGAACACACTACACAGAATCGTCTAATGGATTGGGGGGGTGGGGATCGCCAATTTAAGTGCTCCTCGAGGAGCAGCCCCTTGCTTTATTGTCTGTGAGAGAATTCGCTGCTCTGTTTGGATAGCAACAGTGGTCACCATGAACGGTATTCCTGGCGTCCCTTGGTAATTGACTTCCCTCAGGGCATGCTCTGCCTCTTAATCGCTACCTCCATGCATAGGTATTGCTTGAAAATTTGCTGGCTATTATTCTGAAGATATTCGGTGTAGTCAAGTTTATAAGCACAGACTTTCTCATTTTGTTGTCCCTACAGTCTTCATGCCCTTAGTATTTGTTTGAAATCGCCTTCGCTACATGGAACGGTTGTATTTTACCATGACGAAAGTGCTCTATGATGCACAATGGCACTGCTGAACTAAAAAAGGCAGTGTGCGTTTTGTTTCCCTCCATACACTTTATTTGTCCTGCGTTTTCTTATAGCATGAGACTCATATATTTCCGTGCTCCTGCGACTTGTAGCCATCGAGCTGCCGCGTTTGTGACAGTTTGATTTATCGTCCATTTTTGGCTTGTGCATGTGTCCTTCTTCCCTTCGATTCCTCTTTACCGAATGTTTAGTACTTTCCGCTTCTCATTTGCACTGTTCTCGGGTTTCTGGCCGCTAGGAGAGGAATGATACGTTGGCTTTCACGTACAGGTACGAAACATAAGGGCGTGCCTAGTGAATTACGGGAATACGGTGTAACAGGTTAAGTTAAAATCGAATACTTCTTTGCGTCGCTAGTTATTCTTGAAATATGAATTAGCAGAGGACTGACATTTGGCTTATCTATTCAGGATTGCAGAAATATTTTGACTCGATACAACAAGACGCAACGTTGCTTGTGTGTGCTTACTGCTAATTGCAGCTTTATGCGAGGCATCGGCATGCTTGGAGGATGAAGCTGCACGCACCCTGGCTGTTCTCACTCATCATGGTGGTAACTCTCAGAAGTGCGGGCAGGCCAAGACGGCAGTTTTTTTACTCAGCTGTTTATATTAAGTTTGTATTGAATCAGAAGTTTAGTTTCTCGCTACGGAGACCACAGTTGGGACACTAGAGAAAACACCTGGAAGGCTAGTCAATTCCTTACCAACTCTTCGTTAAGTATACTTTATATGATGCGCTGTACGCAGGATGAGGAGCAGCTGGGTACATATGCCTTTGCCCGCTGAGAAGCTCCTGCCCAAAAATCTTGAGGGGCACAGGCGCTGTATACACCCAGCTGCCCAGGGCTAACTGCGCCTTGCACATAGGCAGCTCTGCGCAACTGCATGAGATAGAATTCTACCTTGGGAGGGCACCAGCTGTAGCTACCCAGTCTGCCCAGTTCAGACATTTGCAGCTCGCCAAGTATAAAACAGCGTGCCAGAGGGAACGAGTGGGGTGTTGCCAATAGGTGATGCACACTGAATTGGACAGTCAGCAGCCCGCGCGGTGCTGGTCTTCTTTGCCGAGCTTGGCGCTTGGGAAATCATTGAGATGGTTGTGGGCTGTAAGTTCTAAATCTTAGTGAAGGCGCAAGTTTTCGGGAGCTCTCCAGTATGCGGGTGCCTTACAGCAATAGAAACAGACGATAACGACAGGAAAAGTGTGGAATACGAGCGAAAACCAAAGGTCCCACCGGGACTCGAACCCGGGTTAGTGGATTCAAAGTCCACGGTGCTAACCACTACACTATGGAACCGATGCGCAGCGCACGACCATTGGGAAAGCAATTTGGCCCAAAGCCAACGGAATAAAGAAGCAAGCAGGAACAATTGAATCCACATATAACTTCAAATGCGAGCGACAGAGGCAAGCTCTGAACGACAGACACCCTTCCCGTGGAAGCCTCAGCAGCTGCCGTGTGAGCATGCTTAAACGGTTCAGTGGCATGCGCGAATTCAGCAGTGTCGTCTTCCTCTTTCAGCCGACTCCAGAGTCTTCTAGTAGGAAAAGTGTTGACTTTTAAAAGCTTTTGGAGGCTTATATGTATATGTTTCCTATTTATATGTCGGTATGTCTGCGTGAACACATGGGGGCGAAAGGGCCCCCCGTATGACTCGGCCCCTCAGGACCGTAGAGCACGTGCAGCAAAGGCTTAGCCTAGCCAGGAGCACTCCTGATGCTCTGCGAGGAGCAGCCTTAGCAGCAGCGCGCCGTAGGACACCCATGCAGAGGTAGTGGCCGGGCTAGTAGTAGCAGCAGCAGCAATAAAAAATTCAGCACCACGCCTCAGCGCAAGTAGCGGGAGCAACAGGATGGCAGCAAATGCACTAGCTAAGGATTCGCGGAGTGCCCCTCCTCCTGAAGAACAGCGAGGGCCCCCTATTCACGCACTTCTGGAGCCCCCACTCGCCGCTGCGGTTACCTCGACGTCTTCGGAGCCGACCGCCTCTGAACCGAACGTACAGCCGGCTGGATCGGCAGCAGCACCCCTTCCGCGTTCCCCTATACCTGCCACAGTATCAGTTGCGAGGGCTCCGGCGGTTGAAGGCGCAGGATCTGCACCCGCACGAGCAGCTGCGACAGGGGCCCTTACTCCGTTGACAGACTTTGCAGCAGCAGCAAGGGCAGCAGCGGCGAGGGGTTTTGCGGAAAGCCCAGCGTTAAACCGTGTTCGACTAGAGGCGGAGTGCGAGTTCGTACAGGCTCTGGCGAATCCCCAGTATCTGCTATACTTGCAACGGGAGGGCTTCTTCGGGGATCCCCGATTTGTGAGCTATCTGGAGTACCTGCAGTACTGGCAGCAGCCTCCCTACATACAGCTCATCCAGTTTCCCATAGCCCTCAAGGTGCTTCAGTTGCTGCAGTCGCCAGCAACGCGGAAGGCCCTTGCGGGAGAAAACGCCGTGCTGCTCTTGCAACAAACGCTGCAGCTGCACTGGCTCACCTACGATACCGACGTCTATAGAGACGAGCCGCAGGGGCAGTAACACCTGCCAATGCTGGCTGTCACTGCTGTTTTTGCGAACTGCTCGCGCCGCCGCTGCTGCCGCCAAGACAGCAGCTGAGCCTCCGACAGACGCAGCAGGGTCCTAGCAGCTCTAGCCGAAGCCACAGCTGCAGCCTAGGCTCCAGCAGGAGCCACATTCAATTTTCTGCCTGGTCAAGAGTACCAGCGAGATCCGCAGCAGACCCTGGTGCTCGTGCAGCTCGGCTGCTCGTCGTGGAGATGGGGGAGCGAGCAGTGGCTTTTTTTCTGAATCCTCAGATTTTCTCTCGGAGGCTTCTTCACGCGTGCCCTGGAGCTCCCGCTTACGGGCTGCATGGTGGCGGCACTGCAGCAGTCGTTTTTGCGCCTTCTGCTCAAAGGAGGCGGCTTGCAGGCTTTCCCCTCTGGAGGTTTCTGCAGCCTCCTGCAACTGCACGCTGCTACGCAGCGGCAGCAGCGGCGAAGCAGCACCACCTTCCCCGAGGGCAGCAGAGTCAGCTTGGGCAGGGAGATGACTGCAGTCGACAGCAGGCGATCCACGAGCAGCTCCTGCAGCAACTGGGAGCGCTGCTGCAGGGGGTGTCTCAACAGCCACCGAACAAAACGCACAAGAAGCTGCGTCATTTGGGAAACCGTCCTCTAACGCCCCCTGTCTTGAGCGTGCCGCAGACGGCGCTGCTTCTGAAAGCCTTGCTGTCGCTGCCGCTGCTCGCTGCGTCTCCTTCCTTCAGGACTGAATTGCTGAAGGAGCATCCACTGCTGCATCTCGCGGTGCAGTCAGTAGCTGCCCATTGCGACTCTCTGCGGGCGTACCCTGCAAAAGACGCGCTGCTCTTGCTGCTCGTGATGCCTCCGGAGCAGCAACAGCAAAGGCTGCGGCAGCACAGACTCCTGGTTGCCCGTCTTGTGCAGCGCGTGCTGCTCATAGGCGGCGAATTGCAGCAGCAGCACCAGCAGCACCTGCTTATGCTTCCATTTTTGCTGTTGGCAAAGGACCCCTACTTCGCACAACAGGAGGGCCTTTGGCAGCAGCTGCTGCAGCAACAGCTCGCTGGGGCAGCGAACGGTTTGCTTCTGCTGCAGCCGCAGCAGCAACAGGAAGCCGCCATCTCGTGGGTGCTGCAGTGCTTGGCGACTGCAGCGCAGACTGCGGCGGCTGCTGCTGGCAGCAGCGACTGCAGCAGCAGCAGCCACCGTCTGCGAGACAGCTCCTTTCTGTACGACACGGTATCGCGCTATCTGGGCGTGGATTGGCTACTTGCAGCAAGCCCCACTGCTGTCGCTGCAGTGCTGCTGCAGCTCAGCAAGCTAGGTGCTCTGGAAGCTCCTTTCTTTGCTGCAGCCGTCGAAAGCTTGCTTTCTCATGCGGAGCTGCATCACGAGGAGCAGCTGCTGCATCTACTGCGGCTGCTCGTCATTTGCAAGAACTACTACAACAGCAGAATCGGACCGCAAGGAGCGGCGGCAGCAGCAGCCGAAGCCGCCGCTGCCGCTGCTGCTGCATGCGATAAAGGCGTGCTTGGCACCACGGAGCTGTCTCTGCACACAGCAGGAGGTCAACTGCTCTGTCACCCTGTGTATACAGAGCGATGCCGCATGCTGCTGCGCCTCCTGCGTTTACGAGTTTCGCTTAGGGTGCAAGCAGCAGCGGCTGGGGCAGCCATTGAGGAGGGGTTTGCGCTGAGTCGCTTGTTGCCGCCGTCCTCTGCCTTTCGATCCACACTGTTGCGCCGATGCTGCAGCGGGTTGTTGCTGGAGCTGCAGCAACCGCAGCAGTTTGCGAATGCGCTGCTGCTGCTCAGCAGCCTAGGAGTTGGTCATGGGTCGTCTGTTCGCTTTGCTGCGGCAGCCGCGGCAAGCCGCTTCCTCCCAGCACTTCAGCCGCAGCAGTTTGCTGCTTTGTTGTTGCAGATGCCCTTCGCCAACACGCTTGCGGCTGTGGTTGCTGCGCACAAGACCGCCAAGTCTGCTGCTGCCACGGCTGCAGTGCAGATGGTCACTGCCGCGCTCTTGCAGCAGCAGCAGCTTGGCTGGAGGGCTCAGAGCTCCTCCTCCTCAGCGCCAGCTCTTTCGCTGCCGGAAGCGGCAGCCTCAGCAGAGGCGCTACCATCAGGCGGCTATGATGGCGAGAGCGGCTCGGTTGCCTCATGTAAAGCTGTTGCCCCCGTGACAGCGGAGGCAGCGGCCCTTGCAGCTGCTGATGTTCAGGTGTCTCTACTGCACAAAATGCGGCAAATGGGCTTCCACCGCTTCTCTCCGGAAGCAGTGGCTGCGTGCTGCTGCGCTGCAGTCGCTGCTGGTGCACATGGCACTCCAGAAATCTCGATGGCAGGAAGCGGAGGCCTAGCAAGCCTCTCACTGCCGCAGCTGACTGTCGTTGCCGAGTGCTTCGCTCTCACGAGCTGCAGTCTGCCAGAGTCGCTTCTCGCTTCCATCCTGATGCGACTTCGCGCTTCGGGCGGTGCAGCTGCACCAGGAACGATTGCTGTGCTCTCTAGGCTTGCTGCAGCTGAGCTTGCGCCTCACTGCGGCAGTGCTGCTTCAGCCGCTTTAAAGGCCTCTCTGCCGCTGCCGGAGGGCCCTTTAGGAGATACAGTACAACCAACACCGGCTGGAAAGCTTGCCAACTTCCAAAGGTTGCCTCCAGCTGCAGCAGCGGCGGCAGCAGCAGCGGCAGCAGCAGCAGCCTCCACTGGCACAGACGTAACAGCAGCAGCGGCTGCGGCTGCCAGTGTTGCTGCTACGGCTGAGCAACTCCTGCAGCTGCTGTTGCGGCTTGGGGAGCGGCAGCAGATGGCAGCAGCGGAGGCTCTTGATCTGCTGTGGGCTGCTGCTGCGGGGGGGGCCGTCGCAGCTGCAGAGGACCTTCTTCTTCGCACGATTCGACTCTGGCAAGTCGCGCAACTCTGGGAATCGAGCTTTCCATGCATTCGCTACAGCACGCGCTGACGGAGTCCAGGCTCAGCTTCCTACGCATGCGCTGGGCAGTAGTAGCTGCAGGTGTTTGTGCGCTGTCTGTGTGCGCGCGCAGCATTTCAGGGTGGCACTCCTTGAGAGACGACAGAGCCGCATGCCTTCGACTGTATGAGGTCGTTTGTCTCCTTGCGGCGGATGCACCCGCAGCAGCAGCAGACGCCCTCAGCCTCCTGGCTGCCGCTAGCGCCTTGCCGGAGCTTCAGCAGCAAGTGCCTTGCGAGCTGCTCGACGCTCAGCAGGAGGTGTTGCCCCCGCAGCCTCCCCTGCAGAACGGCGAGGAGCAGCGGCTGCGATCACTGGGAGAAACCGAAGCAGACGCAACAGGGATCGAGGAGCAGCACCAGCAGCAGCAGCATTTTCTCTGTTCGTCACCGGTTGAAGCAGCTGCCCACTACCTCCGCTTCTCTTCTGACCACTCGCTGATGCAACTGCTCGCCGATGCTGCCCACACTCCCGAAGAGGATTTCTCGCCGCATGCCGCACAAATAGCAGCAGCACCAGCACCCCCAACGGGAGGATTCGATAGCCAGAGCATGCAGAACGAGTGGGGGCTTTCGGGTGATGGGGTTGCAGGAACTGCGCATGCGGCCATGCCCACATCCTCAGCGGCTACGATGCGCTTACCTGCAGCAACACTCGCTACAGCAGCCGCACCAGATCCTAAGGACTATCTGCTGCTCCGGCAGCCACTGGACGGGGGACCAGAGACTCTAGAAAAGGCTGCGAACTCCTCAATCCTTTCTGAGCTGCAGATGCGTAAGCGACCGAGTCTGCAACTGCATGCGTCACACGGAGCGGCGAGGGCAAGCGCGTGCGGCGGCTGAAAAAAGCTTTCTTCTGCCTACGTCTTGTGCGTATTTCGCGTGTTTGTTGTGTTCGTGTGTGCGTGTGCATGTCTTTATTCTGCAGTATGGCGCGCTGCTCACAAGCCTCCAAGGCGGCAGGTCCGTGTAAAGCCTGCCTGCAGTCTGTTGTCTGTCTTGCGTTTCATTCGGGGTGTTTCCTCTGGGAGTCGCTCTTCACCTTCTGGCTTTAGGTAGGGTGTGGGTCCTGGTCTTTGAAGGGGGACGTGCATGCTTTGAGGCTTGGTTTTCGTTGCAGCTGGAAGCTTGTGCTGCATTTGGCCGTCTCTTGGCGTCTCTTCCTGTCTCGGCATTCTTCCATCGCGCTGCAGCGGCAGCAGCAACTTCGAATGCTAATTTAGCAGCAGGAGGACCGCGGCGTCCCTGGGTTACCCTTCATGCTGATTCCAGAGGCAGCAGCAGCAGTAGGAGCAGGATGCTGGAGTGCTTGACGACAGGCGGCTTTTCTTTGCTGCCTACAGCAGGAGCTGAGGCGACACCGGACTGGGGTAGCGAGGCATGGGGTGTGGGGTTGCTCTTGGTGCAGGAAGAGCGAGACTTGTGCTATACTCCGCTGGTACTGCTGCAACGCCGCCACAGCGCCCTTTCTTTATCCCTCTCTTGCCGGTCCTCCATCCAGCACCAACAGCGGCAGCAGCTCCTGTTGCAGGAAATGCAGCGCCTAGGGCAGGCGCTTCATACGCATCAACATTTGTTCCAGCAGCAGCCCTTCAGGCTCAAACCGCGATTTGCGCTGCGGCTGAGGATTCTACGGGCGCTCATGGGCTGGCATGTTATCTGCATAAATGCATCACGGGTAAGCCCCAACGCGTAGATGGGAGACTTGGCGGCCGTTCCCTATGACGCATGTCATGTCCGTGCATCGCATCTGACGTTCTGATGATTCGCTGTGTGCTGCTCACAGGCAGCTGCGCTGCTGCAACCGGAGGCGGAGCCGCTGCTTTTGCAGCGGCTGGCAAGGGCGGCGCGAGAAGCCCCGCTTCCCTCCCCCCTTTCAGCTGTAGCAGCAGCACATTCAGTTGAAGCAGCGGTAGAAGGGGCTACCTGGGAGACAGCGCGCGATCCTAAGGCGTTGCGGGCGCTGGCTGCCATCCAGCTCCAGCGGGAACTCGCAGTTGTGTTGGGGGGCTAGCCCTAAGCACGACAAGCCAAGAGAAAATGCGCATATGGATACGCAGGCGCAACGTAGGAATCAGAATGGCAGGCATACCCAATGAGCAGAGCTGCAAAGAAGCGAGAAACAAGCAGGCAGAGAGTTGAAACGTAGAGTGCCTTAATGTCTAGCAGAGGCGATCCCTTTGTCCCCTCGTGCTGCTGCTGTTACTACGCCCACTGTGCGCCTCTTCTGCCCAGCGCACGGCTCAAGAAAAGTTGTGGAATTCGAAGGATAGATGCAGTTAAGCGTGCTTTCCAGCTCTGGCAGCCCTTTCCTGCAAGGGCAGAGGCGGTCCAGAATGAGGACGGGGGAGGGAAGGCAGAGCGGCGGAATGCCCTGGAAGATCCTAGCACTTCTTTAGGCAGCAACAAGGACTGCGCTCCCAGTGGGTGTCAGCCTTGGCGACAATTCAATTACATGGTTATATTTGTACCAGGCAAATGCGCCACCTGGAACGAAGGGGATAGACACACAGTGTACTCATCCCCTCGCGGCCTGGTAGTGGACCCTTCCCCCACATGTCAGGTGTTTCTCCCAACTTAGAGCTAAGTTTCATCGTGGAGATCCGCCCCCTGTCTGTCCGGCGTGCCTTTTGGGGGTGGATATTGAAACTTTTCATCGAAGGCCTTTGTAGAGGGACACGTAACTTCAGACTGAAAAAATGCTTCGAATGAAGTTCTTGAGTGCTGGCAGAAAGAGCTCTCCCCTCCCACAAAAAGAGCACCTTAGAGCAACCAGCATGATGAGGCACGTCTAAGGTGGGCGTAGTTGCGCACTCACTGCATCTTGAGCATTAATAGCTTGTTGCACATAATGTCTGGCGCACAAACACACAGCATAGCCCCTTCTGGTGTGAGGGTCATGCTACGCTAGAGCAAGTAATAAATATTATCAGCCTAACCAATGCGTCAAGCCTAGACTGATTTTAGTTAGGATACAGCAAGTGCAGCAGAAAGTTTTCGAGTTTAGCTTGGGACGCTACACTAGGGACTGCTTGTGTCGGGATCATGCGCCACTGCTGCAAGCACCCATTGGACGTGTGAGCAGCAGTACTGCTTTTTGTAAGGCACTGCTCGCCGTGCCAGTTTCGTTGCGACGCATTTCCCTAGACCCCACGCAGCTAGCTATCCCTTGCTGGGTAAGTGGGAATTGCGGAGAGCACGGCATGAGTTGGTGACTATTTAGTCATTATCTGGAAGTTAAGTGCTGCATAGACACACTCTACTTCGGTGTGAAGTCTAGCTTATGTCTTCAGAAGGCAGGAATTCCTCCCTTTATTAGAGCTCTCGGCAGGCAAGGGTGGTCGACAGGGACGTGGAGGAGTCAAATTTGGAGTCAAATGCCCCCAGAGCACCGCCTTTTTGATCCACTGTATCCATGAATGAGTTATTAGGTGGCCTTAAAGACAGCACTGTACACACAATCGGGTGGAAAATGGTCAATCTGGAATTTGGACGTACCTAGGCTTCGCCCTACGATGGGGTGCGGTAGGCACAGTACGCGTTGTGGGCGGGCTTCTGGCGAAACCGGCTATGTGCGGCGTTACTGAATTTTCGCTTGCTTTGTGTATTGATGTATTTTTCGAAGAGGTGTGGGTGCAGGTGCAGATGAACTAAGAAAAGGAGCTGGACAAAGGCAGGTGTAATGTTGCTCACGTAGGCTGTGGGGGGATTCATTGGCGCCGTAAGGACAGAGACGCTGCAGTATGTCTCCTCGACCCATTCCATTACTTTTGGCTACAAATAGCCTCTATTTTAGCAGCGTCTTTATTGGTCGAAGCGTATCGTGGACTACCTGCGTTTCCTTTGAGGCAGTTGGTTGCAAGTGAAGGCATTACCACTGGCCTATAGTACCGGTCCCTCGAACCTCCCATTTCAGTTCAAGCTGCAGGGAATCTCGCGCCCTCTCTGCGAGCGCCCTTTGAATTCCGTACAAATTTTCTTCTCCTAGTTTTCTTTAACCTTGGGTACGCACAACTGCACAACGTGCAGGAGAAACCTCTCTCCGTGGACCGCAATGATCGCGCTATCTGCCGCCCTCAACCACAAGAGCACATCCCGGTGACTCGGAGCTCTCCGCTGCTTGATGTCGCCTCAAAGTGGCTCTAATAAAGTATTACTTGGACGGTTACTTTGCCTAATGCCACCTTCCCACGTGGCACATGTAACCCTCCTCTTTTGGCCTCCATCTCGCACCGCCGTACCTCGACTCGTTTTCCCTTGCACGCTCACGAGATGGATGTCTGTGGCACCTCTTTGTTATCTTTCCTTCCTTCTACTTAAATTTACCTTTGCTGTCTTCTTCTTCATCGTAATTCTTGCTTACTCTCGGCTTCGCCGCGCTGGATTCTGTGTGGGTGGTCACGAGTGAGCACCGCGATCGCTCTCTAGCTAACTCCCACCCTATCCGCTCGTCTCTCCCTTCTTCCCGCCGTTTCTCCCTCTTTAGCTTGGAGCCTTAAATTATTCGATTTCTAAGGAGTGGCGCTGTGTCTGGCTGTGCATTGGAAGCGTCACCTTTTGCCTCGTCTGTGTTGTGTCGTGCCACACCACACGACGCACGCGGGTAACGGAGGCCAGCCATGATCGCAAGGGTGTAAGAGCTGCATCGCTTCCGAGGCTTCTGCTACGCAAAAGCCGTGAGCTGTGCATCCTTGGGGTCCCTCTGTGTGTATACACACACACACACACACACTCGCGCGCCCGTGTCAGCTGCTTCTGAAGGATACACTTCGGCCTGGCCCCACCGACACACACAGCGCCCTAGCAAATGCATCTGCGTCACTGATGTGCTTCTGCACGAGGCTTACACATCAGATCAGCTTATGACTGTTCCGTCCTCGGGAGCGCAGCACCGTCCACCCAAGGCACGGACGCCCTAGCGGCGATAGATGGTCTGGACTTGGAGGCCGTCCACAAGCAACCCGTTCGACGGCTTTTTTGTGGCTTCCCAGATGGGGGCTCATAGTCTGCCGGGATCTCCTTCCCCATACGCCTCGCTCGTCCCCCCTACAGGGTCTTCTCCCCGCTCGGAAGGCCCTCTATGTGCCCCCCCCATGGGGACACCCAGTGGCTTCTTCGATTTCGATTTCACGAAGAGGAGGGGGGTTTTGAGGCTTTCGAGTTGCCCTGCAGCTGGCTGCGAGGGAGCCACAGGGGTGCCATGGGAAACACACCCTGCCAGTGGGCCGTATCCTGAATGCCCCTTGTGCGCGGGCTCTGAAGAGGGACGCCTCTCTTCTCCCGCCACTCACATGTCTCGGTACCACCACCGAGTTCCTGTGGGAGGAGGATTGCCTCTGTGGAAGCGCCGGACGGAACGAAGAGCCCTTTCATCGAAACGCGCTGAGACACTTGTGTGCCCCTCTTCTCCACGCTTGGGGCCGCTGCCCCCACCCGACCTGCTTGCGGGGAAAGCGGAAGGGGAGATCGAATTGCTCCCCGAGTTGAAGAATGCGCTTGATGACACAGCGAGGCCTTGGGCCCACAGCTTCTCGGCGGCACCCCGTCGAGACACCTCCCCCGTTTGCCAAGAAAAGCCCCCCATGAGGGGGCTTTCGAAACAACTGATTGATGCTCTGGAGCGATGCGATACTACTTGAGAGCCCTCGCAGAAGCAACCAGCAACACAAAAGGGCAAATGTCGATGCCCTAACAGCAATGGCATGATATCCACATACCTGCAGATGCACCTATACTTATCTTCTGAGGGTCAGGAGAAACTACAGCACTGTCGGCAGTGGCCTGCAGTACCAGGTCCTGTCTTGCGGGACCGCCCACTTGAATATCAAGAGACCGGACTGCTACCATTCCTTGTGCTTCCGCTCTCTTCGTTTGCCCCCCATATGTATGCCTTCATGCCTGAGTTTGACTTTGATGCAGCCACTGACCGCTGCTAGGTTTTGCAGCTCTACAATGCAGCGCTCGCCAAGAACTGCAGCACCTGCGGCCTCACCAGCGGGTAAAATCCCAGCAGCAACAGCAGAACATGTAAGGCAACTTTCTGCAGGTCGGTGGAAGGTCGCACGATATAGGAGCGCATTAGGAAACATCCTTCTCATTCAATCTTTTCCTTGTCCCTAGAATTTGCTACTCTGATACCGAGATGCATGGTTTTACCACGACAGGCCCCTGTTCAGCCTGTCCAAGGCCTAAAAGAGGTTCGCCCCTCGTGCAGGCCGCAAGCGACGAGGTTGCAGCCGAAGCAGCAGCGAAAGCCGCACTTGCCACCGCTTGCTTCTGCTGCACCGTGTGCGGCAAATTCAGCAGGTAGATGCACCATCAGCAGCACTCCCTGGCAGCAAACAACTGCCACATATGCGCTGAATGCAAAGTGAGATGCATCATCAGCGGGAACCTGTTCGTTTGTAGCACATGAAGTTGCAGCATCCAGTGCACCGGCAGTTTTACCGCAACGGTATCAGCACCACGTTTAGCAGTCACCAGTTTTGCATCTCAGTTTTTGTCTGCATGACGAAGGGAACAGAGAAAGAAGGTGTATCTACGTGTTGCAGCCCAGGCTCTGGCTATTTGACACCGGTTTACTCTTCCTTTGGACGCGCCATTAGACCACTCGTGTCCGCCCATCGTGCTATTCATAAGACCAAAGTGTTTGATGCTCTAATGATTCTAGTAACGGGCAGTATCCGGAAGCAAAAACCAACGCAGGGGCCCTATAATGGCAAAAATATGCATTTGTGAAGACAGGAAAAGAGAGTATAGTACACGAGAACCTTATTGACAGTATTATTTTCTCTCTGCCAGCCCCTGTGTACGTATCGATGTCCCACTACGATATAACCTCTCGGGCTTCCTGAGACAGGCACACATGCGAGAGCGAAGCAGGCAAAGAGAGGCGACAGACACCAACGGAGCAGCTCGACAACCATTAGAGCGCCACCCAGAGAAACTGCTGTGATTCGAGATCAGTGGAAGGTGTGAAGCCGCACGAAAAAGGCATCTCCGTCTTGCCGAAATATGGACTGACGGCGAGACACTTGAAAAAGGATTTGCCCCGTTAGACAGCTGAAAGGCTGCTCCTCCCTAAATAGAGATACGTACTTCTGTGTGTTAGGTTTGGGTTAGTAGCGGGCACAACGAAAAGGGGAATGAGGACAGATAATTAGCACACAGACATAATACTGCTGGCGGCGGGAACATGAAATGAGAAAGAATGACGCGGATTGGTGGATGAAGGATCAGCAGTAGTAATGCAGGCTAAACGAGTGGCTCTGCTGCACCCTTGGATACACAGATACAAATAATAACCGAATGACGGAGTTCTACTGCTGAATCCCCGTGACATGGCTTAGCCAAAGGGTTGTTGAAAAAGCGGTGTTGATGCGAGTTCAACGCGTAGATACTGCGCTGCACTTTCCTCTACGTGTACATTTGTTAGCGGATGGACTCTCCACACCAATTAATTTAAGCGTGAATACGCACTGGATCTTCGATAACACTACTGAGTAAATGTATAGGAGTCCAGATAAAACGTGACAGCAGTAGTGTCGCTTCGCAGAGGCACCACTGACCTGCCTCTACATCGTCTCCAAAACAATTAGTTTCTAAGCAAGGCGAGTAGGGGAGGACTAGTGAGGCTTCATGGAGGATGCCATGATGCGACGGGAGAGGGCCTCCAAGGAGCTGATGGCCTGAGAAACGGGGGCAACACATCCATCCACACAAATGTACAGGCGGCGTTTACAACGGCAAGGTAAAGCAGATACTGGACTCATGCCCTATGCTGCGACGGAGCGAAAGATACAGAGTAGATGTGGAACTGCGGTTTTGCTGCCGCTGGAACTGTCTTTGCTTACGCTGTTGGTTCTTTCGGAGCTGTTAGAGCTTTCGCGGAAGAGAGGAGAGGACTGCGATCCGCACAGGGAGACAGGAGAATATGGAGATGGCAGACGCGACGCTCCCATTGCAGGTTCCACTTCTGCTGATGGGGCTCTCTTGCTCTCATCAGCTGAGCAAAGAGAAGAATTGGAAATATATCGCTCATGACACGGCTCTTCTATTCGGATTGGAGGCAATGACACCCCAGCATGTTGCGCGCTGCTGCTGCTGTTGCTGCTGTTTCTTCCAGCAAACGAGGGCTTGGAAGTAGCAGAGCCAGTCGAGAGTCCGTGTGTCTCTTTGGACCTTGTGACTGCTGCTTTTACTGCTGCTTCGGAAGGTACAGGCAAACCTGCAGCTATTCCAGAAGTCCTGGCGTCACTTCCATCAGTAGCAGCAGCAGCTCTGGTGGCTGTTGCTGCTGCCGTCCGCTGAAAGGCATAGGGCTTTGCGTGGGCTCTTTCTGAGATACGATTAATGCGGAGAGCCAAATCGGCTTGCTGCTGCTCCACGTCTGCCCGAAGGTATATTTCATCCTCTCCCTCAAGTTTCTGGTGGTGGTGCTTTGTAGTAGAAGCGTGGCGAGAGGGACGATTCCCGGCTGAGTCTCTTTGGAGCATTCCAGCAGCAGCAGAAGGCCCTCCTGCATTGTCGTCCGTTCCCAGAGCTGCTGTGGTCGGGCTAGACGCCGTTTTATGCTGCTGGTGCTGAAAATTATCCGAATCTCTGAGATATTGCAAAGCAAGGGGATCGACTTGGGAGGCCACAGCGTCAGCGGACACCGTAGCCTGACAGGCTCGATCGGTAGTCTGCTTCGCTGCCTTCTGCTGCAGCATAAAAAGCTGCTGCGCCAAAGAATCTCTGGCGGAGACTTCCATATCCTTTTCGTGCCGCAACTCGGCTATCTCTTCTTGCTGTTGCTGCTTCTGCCTCTGCAGCTCGTCCGTCTCCCTTCGCAGAGCAAAGATCTGCTGCTGCTGCGCATGCTGCTGCTGCACATGCTGCTGCTCTGCCTCCGCAAGACGGGCCATGACTCTGTCGAGGCGCTCTTTGTGCCTAAAACCAACATAGCCATGCGGACGCAACAATACGTGATGCCCCACCAACGTGTTTACTAGGCGCTTGTGCCCCTTGGGGAAAGTGCAAGGGCCTCCCGGTTACGGCCTACGTTTGTATGAGGGCCTCGCGGTCTCTTGCTGAGTGATCGCGTGCATCTTGGAGCCTCTGACTAAAGACCTGCTCGGCATCCTTCAGCCTTGCAGCAAAGGCTTGTGCGGAAGAATGCAGCGTCTCCTCAGCTGCAGCAGCCGCTGCTGATGACTCGGCTGCAGAGTTGCGCTGTTGTTCCATTAAGGCCCTTTCATATTCAGCTCGAATTTCACAGATCGTGGCCTCGTGTGCAGCTCGCAGCTGCTGCAGCTCGTTTGCGTGCTGCAGCTGCAGTAGCTGTATTTCCTGAAAGCAGAGGCACAGACTAGGCAAAAACCACATGAAATAGATAAGCAACTTTTATAACAGCCAGTGCCTGCCCGTCGCCTCCTAGGCCATGCATCGCATGCGTCCCCCCTTTGTGCTCGTATCTCTTGCTCAGACACTAGTAACGTTCTAGCTAACCATCATCCACATAGACTTTAACCCCAAGTGTGGAAATGCACTTTGCTGTGATTATTGATGGCCTCATCAAGAGCCCTTTCTGCCTCCGCCGTCTCGGTTCTGGACTTTTCCCGCTCCTGTTCCCTGTGTCGCTTCTCGTGTACTCTTTGTTTGTCCTTAAGAGTCTGCAACTCCAACGCGTGAGAAGCTCTCAGCCTTTCCAGTGCCTTGTTGTGCTCTGTGCGCATGCCATACCCTAGACCATAAATCGGAAGCCATTGAACGAAGTCGGGAAGAAATATCTTCAGGAGCCATAATGCCCCGCGCACAGAGCGAATATAGAAATTCCTTTGTAAAGTTTAGTGAAGTCATTGAAAGGGCACTTAAGTGAAAGGCTTAGCAGGCGGTTCAAACAGTTAGGCAGACGGAAAACGAGAAAAACGTCCGAAAATACCTTCCATAGCATGTTGAAGTGCTGTATCAGCCCTGTACTTTTCTTCCTTCAGGAGCTTTTCGGCCTCATTCTCGTGCTTTCTGAGTTCCGCCTTATGCTCGCTCTCATGCATTTGCAGCACCAACTCATGTTGTCGCGCCTCCTGCTGCAACTGTTCTCTAAACGTCTTTCTCAGCACCTCCTCTTCCTCAATAAATCTTTGTTTTAGCTCCTGCAAAGCGCTATCCTGCTGACGCTGCTGTTGCTGCAGCTGAGCCTTGAGAGCAGCAATTTCTCTAACGAGCGACTCAGCGTTTTGGTGGAAAACAACTGCGCAAACGCAGAAAATTAAAGGCCGTTCCACGTCGGTCGTAGTGCACAGCCGGCATGGGGAAGGATTCAACATGTGCAGGCGCAAACCGTACAGCCTAAACTCAACAAGAGCAAAGAGATGTCAATTGGCTACTCCAAAGGCGGGAAGCAATGCCAAAGAAGCATCCTTGTGCACCTGTTGTCGATGCTTCAGCAGCAGTCCTTTCCTGCCTAGTTTTCGCGTCATTGACTCTGTTGAGCTCTGCCTCCAATGCTCTCAGGGCTTTAGAGGCCTCCAGTTGAGCTTCTGCAAGCTGTATCTTGTGCTGATTCTCCAGCCCCTAAAATTGAGTCTCGCAATGGGACATTTATAAGGGAGGCATTCTGACAAGCAGTATGCCCAGAGGGTGATCGACAATAGCAGATCCACGGAGCGGCACCGCATGCAGCCTGTTTGTGCAACGTAGGACTTCAAGCCAGCAGATGCAGCCAATCAGTTAATACATAGACCAAGCCACTGGGAGAATTTCAAGGCTCTGACCGGCAAGGACAAGGCCGCAAGCATCGAGAGAACAACGGCCTTCAGAAGGGCTGCGGCCGACTCGGTCACCAGATAAACCACGCGAAGGAAGGCAGAATGGATGCAGGCAGGACACTTGAGGAATCAGCAAGAAACGGTAAGCTGGGAGAAAGAAAGAGAGCCTTTCAAGAATAAAGGCGGCCTCGTGCGGCTTACGCTAATCTGGCTCTCGTGGGCAAGCTCCAGCTGCATGATGGCGTCTGCGTGTGCCACGCGCTCCTTGTGCAGCTCATTTTGAAAGTGCATCTCCTGAATCCGACGCTCCGTTTCTTTGGCTTCCAACAGTGCCCTGTCTGCGCCGGCGGCAGCGGGCAGCGCCACCCGCAGCTGCGTCGCTTCCTCTTGCTGCTGCTGTAGCCGCTGCACCTGCTGCTGAAGCTGGCCAAGAGCATTTTCCAAGGCCGCTGCTTGCTGCTTCTGCACGCAGGTTACCACCACCCCAAGGACAATTGCGTAGGGTGTACAGGTATAAGAGGAAGAAAGAGACAAGTGCACAGTTGATACGGTACAAAGCAGCGAGGGGTGGGGGATTCAACGTGGTCAGGTGAAGCATGAAAGAACTCGAGACATGTGGGTTGGAGGATTCTTCAAAGCGTGCATGTATACAATCAGGAGCCTCTGCTGTAGAACACACGCGCGGTATGCCGTCAAAAACGGTTACGGCTTGCGTTAAAGTTCAGCGGATGGCACAATTCCCATATTGCTTCTGATACAGCAAAGGCCAAAGCACGTTGCTCACCAGTCCTTCGTTTTCTGTTTCGAGAAGATGTTTCTCTTTTAGTTGTTGCTGAAGGTCCGATGCCAGGGACTTCGCTTCACCCTTTAAAGACCACGCCATTTGTTGTGCATCTGCGGGCATCTGCAAAGCCGATTCTACAGCCTTCAGAACAGAAGAGGCTTCTTGAATGCGGGCCTAAAACATGCACAAGCACATTTTTGTGACGACAAGTGAATTGTGAAACCTAGGGCCCTGCCGGTGGGCGGGCAAAGGCATAATTGCAGCTGTGCACAGAGGAAATGAAAAATCCCGACGACTCAGAGTTAACGAGAAAGCCTGCCGCTAAAGGGCTGTCAATAGGACAGAGGCCAATGCGCGGAGCACACACGATACAGGTACAGACCGGCAGATAGGCGGCCAGTCCGATGAAATGCCGGACTGGTCAAAACCCAGATCTGCCTACATGCATCGACATGGGTAAGAGGGGGGAGAGGCGCGAGCTGAATATGGCAAGTGAAGATGACGCGCCATATATGGCACCACCCACAAAAAACAAGCCAACTCTGCAAATGGTGTTGCAATACCTCGACCCTCGCAATATCTGATACTTCTCCCGTAGACGGCAATCTGTGCAGTAAATCATTTTGTCCTATCTGGCGCTCTGCATAGACACCGCCTATGTGAAGCGATAGCCTCTGAGCTGTCTCTGCGATGCCCTGCAGGATGCTTTCAAGGTACTGAAGTTGGAGATGTGCCGCCTCGCCGGTCTGTGCCGACCGAGGCCGGGGTGTTGTTGCTGTTGCCTCCGTAGTGGTGCGCCGCTGCAACATCTCAACCTGCCGCAACCCTTCGAACGCAGACGAAAGAAGACTGTCCAACTCCGAGAGCAGCTGGCTGCTCGGGGTGACGCTACGCTCCGTCATCGCTCCCTGCGAGTGCCCCTTGTGTGTGTCTTGCAGAGACCCCTCCGCATACGCATTTGTAGCATTGCTGCTGCCCCCGCTGCGGCTTGTACGGCTGCCAGTTTTGCTTTTGCACTTTTCCAAAGCAAATAGGGATGCTGCCTTTCTACTGCGGAGGGACCGCAGCAGCCTCATACGACTGCCGTGCGTAAGCTTGCGCCTGACTACAAAGCGAGAAGGAGCCCTGGATATCATAGCCCGTTCGATAGTTTCTGCTTGCTGCTTCAGAAGGGCCTCCAGCTCCTGCATGGACCCCGGAGAGCAACGGGCCTCCGTAAGATGTTCACGGGCAACGCTAAGGGACTGCGCCAGCTGCAGATGCATACATCCCGCAGCGCTTGATAGCAGAAAGACTTAAGCGAGGCCTCTCAGAGACCGCAATCGCCCTCCAGAAAGCAGCCTAGCCGCAGTGTGTGGCAACGGAAACCCCTCTTGTTGTCTATATACCCTCCATGGGGTAGCACACGGGGGTGTGAAGGTTCTCTTGCCTACAGCCATATTGTCTTGTCTGAGCTGCTGGATCTCGTGCTGCTTCTCCTCCGCGTAGACAGAAAGCCTCTCCACTTCCGCCTCCAAATTATGCAGGTGTTTCGTAGCCTCTGCTTCTCGGTCCCTCTCCTTCTGGTCACAGATCCAACACACACACACAGACACACGCCAGTGCCAATGAAGCTCCACCGTAAAGTGGTTGGTGCTATTGGCTTCCCCGCGCAACTGTTGCGCATATCGTCGTGGCGCTTATTGTCGGTGCGCTTATTACCACTGTGCTTTCCAGCTCGCGCTGCGTGGCCTGGAGCTTCTGTCGCAGATTCCGTACTTCCGCAGCAAGGGCCATTCCCTCAGCAGCTGCTTGGTTTGCTTGCTTCTCTGCGGCGCGGGCCGCCTCTTCTGCCGCCGCTGCCGCTGCAGCTTCTACGGCTTCCTTCTCCTTACGTAGCTCATCGAACTTCCACGGCGTCTCGCAAATCTGCTCAAACCCGCAGATTTCCAATGCAAAGCAAAGCACGTGCATGTCGGCCGGTCGCTACGTAGCAAAAGTATTAGCAACGGGAAAGCAACAGCCAAATGCGGCTGACGCAGGGTCGGCGATGACATGCATATCACAATGCCAACCGTAGCAGCAAAGATCGCATGAATACCAGCGCACCTGCTTGACAACTCGTAAGGTCTCGTGTTGTATGGCCCTAAGCGCTTGGGAGATGAATGCCTTCTCCCGATCGAACTTATCTTTGAGTTGTTGCACGACCTTCCCCGTTGCCTTCTCCGGTAAATAAAAACCCCTCAAAGGTGCCTGCAGTTACACAAAAAGGCTCAGACACCCTTACCTCTAGGCCCTGTATACAGGACAGTACCAGAAAGCACTTCGCCACGCGCAGGACTTGCTGAGGGTGTTTGGTCGTGTAGGAAGCACTCCACTATATTATGTGCTAGCACCCGCCGGCCTTAGGCCAAGCGCTTGTGCTGTTTCATAGCATACCTGGAGAGCCTTCCATGCCTGCAGGTTGAGCCGAAGCCACTCGCTAAGCGCCGGAAGGGTGACGGTCCCTACAGCCCGCATCCCGATAAGCTTTTCCTCAAGCTCTAACCTCATCTGGCTAGCCGGCCTTAAGCCGCTGTTTTCCTTGTCTGCCCCATTGTCCGCGAGCTTGCGGCAGCTAGCTGCCAAATCAGCTAGCTGTCCTCCTGTAGGACCACTTGAGGTCCCCTTGCGTGGGGTTGCTGAAGCAGGACTTGGCAGCAACAAGGGATCTAGTGCCAACTGACAGTGCGACTGTGAGGAGCCAGCAGTCGCTGCCGCTGCCGCCGCTGCAGCTGAGGCAGATGCATCTGTCGCGCGCTGCTGAGCAGCGCGCAGGTGTGCCTGCATGCCCCGTAAAGGCACACACACACACAGATCCGATATCCTTTACCCCAAGCTCTATGTAACTAGGGCTTCCACTGATCCAGCTCTTCAAGCATCAACCTAATCGCAGAACCGACATACACCTCCCTAAGGCTTGTGTGTGCTGCTACTGACTTGCAGCTTGATGATGGTCTGCTCCTTCTGAGCAAGCTGACTCGCTGCCTCCTTCTCTTTGGCCTCGAGCTGTTGACTGCGGGTCTTCGCTTTAGCAAGCTGCAGCTCAAACCGAGCCTTCTCTCGCAACCGCTGTTGTTGCTGCTTCACCGCCTCTGCAGTTCGCTCTGTAAGCGCCTCCGCCATCGCGCCAAGGTCCATGCCCCCTAAAATACCATCCACAAACTCCCGAGACACGCAGAGTCACGCTTCGGGTTCTATGCATAGAAATACAAGCCGTTGTTGTGGATGGAAGCAACAGGCAAGGACTGCTATATGGCGCGTTGCGTGCTCCTCAGCAAGGGCTAACGCTTTATTGCGACTAAAGGGGCGCTGGAGCAGCTGGAGTCAACGGCCACCGCGCACGTACCTACGATAGTATTAGCTGCGAGGTGGTATCGCTGCATGCCCAGAAGCAGGCCTTCCACCTCCTTATTCAGCTCGGCCGCTGCAAAGCCCAAATTCTTGGCCAAGCCCTCAGAGGCAGAAGATATATCAGGGGCGGTGCTGACGGACCACAGGTCGCTTTCCTGCACAAACGCGCGCACACTTCGAATTTGTCGAGTGTCATGCTGTGTGGGCTCAAAATCCGTCGTCATGAGAAAAGGCAGTCAATGCATAACAGGACGCGTGGTTCCTAGTTGTGGCGGCAGCAAAGAGGGACCCTCTTGCTCGCGTCTCCGCCGCTTCAAAGGAGTGAGCAGACACAGCGGCAGCAGCTGCTGTCACGCGATCCACCGGAAAGACTGCCGTCCGTTTGAAAGCCGATCTCAGGCAGAGTGCTCTGTGCTCACAGAGCGCTGGGAACGGCACACAGCACAGCGCCCCTATCTTACCCTGCCTAGGTTGGTCTCAACCTCTGTGAACTCTGTCGTGCACTGTCTTGAAAGAGGGGGGCCCCCTCTGGGCACCCCCCCCGGAGAGGGCCCCCTACTATGGGTCTTCTGTTGCATGGTGCCGCAGGAGGCTCAGCAAAGCCCAAGCGCTTTGGCCCGTCAGCCGGAGGACGAGACCTTCTGCGGAGAGAAAGGAAGCAAGAAGGACGCTAAGGAAGGGTCCGCATGTCTTCGGAGTGAGCCAACGCGCAGAGTGTTGCAAGGCCTGTGTTTCGGCAAACGCAATGGTCTGGTTCGGCCGCCCATGGGATTTAGGGTGTCCGCTACAAAAAGGGTCCTACACCCTATATAAATTGCCTTGCTCTACATTCTATGCCTTAGGAATAGCATTAGATGCGCACATACGTGCGTCAGAGCCTAAATTGGAAGGGCCCCCACCCAGCCCTGCGGTCGGCACGGCCTGGCGACGGCGGCCCCAGCAACCCGCTGGGGATTTTTTGCTGTAGCGATTAAAAGCGTCAGCAGACAGCCCTAGAGATTGAAACCTAAGGAAATTGAAATTGAGCTGGCATTTCACTGGTGTTAGCTTTCTCAGTGGGCTGCCTATGGCGTCTTGGACCTCATAAGCCGAGAGTCCTCAAGTGGCCTCTCGATGTGGTGTCTCTGAACGCAACCGAGACTCAGAGCCCGCCTGCGCCAAGGGGGCCCTCTTCTCAGCCTGGACCCTGAACCCTCGTTGAGAAAAGCCGTTCAATCTTTTTTGTGCTATCTATTCGGTTTTTGATTGGTTAGAAGCCAGGGTGTCCAGGCTGCTGTGTAGGGTTTGTCTAGATTCTAGGTGTATGATGCGTTTCCTGCCCCGCTAATATACAAAATGCGACAGGGAATAGGGTCAGCCTTCCCGCGGACCTCCCCTCTGCTTTTTCTAGGTTTCGGGTGCTTCTTGATTCTTGTCTCTGCTTTGAGTCCCCCCTCTCCGGCGAGGTCACCCCTCGCGCCCGAGATAGGGCTGTCCCCAGAAGGACCGGTGAAGGCCTCCCGCAGCTTGGAAAACCCTCCGAGGAGCGTCTCTATCAACTCTTTGGTGCTACCCTGGGCCCCTTTCGGAGTTTCGCGAGTTTTAGGGGCCTTCATGCAAGTAGGAAGCTCAAAAGAGGCTCCGGAAGAGGGTGAAGAACAGGCCGAGTCCGACCGTGAAGCCGGGGAATCCTCTCAGGAGGATTCTGCTAGCGAAAAGGGGGGCGGCGGTAAGAAATCGGGGGCCCGCCGTGCTTCATATGACGATGCAGGTGAGGGCAGCCAAGCGGAAGGAGACTACGAAGAGGAAAGCGCATCGGAAACAGGCAGGCCGGAAGGTCCAAAGGCATCAGCGGGGGCTCCTGAAGGCACCTCTGGAGATGAAAGCCTAAGCAAAGCGACTCCACAGGAGGCCACTTCCTCTGCTGGCATCTTGCCTCCTGCAGTGCTCCCTTCCGGTCCCCCCTCGGCCTCGGATTTTTTGCCACAACTCTCATATGCAGACGGCGATGAGCTCTGTCACTCCATTTCTTGCAGCAAAGTCGCATCCGGTGCCAGCCCCTCTCTCCCAGTCAAAGGCGAGCCACCCCCTGCCTAAACGTGAACCCAAAGCCTTGCTCGATACCCGTAGCCCTTGTCAGTCGCAAAGGCCCCACTTGGAGGCACATCAAGTCAGATGAGGGCAGGGATTGAGACACCCAAGGCTGGGACTTTTATGAGCTAGGGCTGAGGGTCTGGGGTTTTGTGGGCATCCAGGTTGCAAGAAGGCGGTGAAATGCAAAGGCTGCAAAGAAGGTGGTGCCCCTGAGGCCAAATGTCTTGACTGGAAGCCTTCACGACAGCCCGAAATCCTCCTGCGAAGCGGGACGTACTACGGGCTCAAGGTCAGCAAGAGCTAGCGACAAAGTCTTTTCCTGCCGCCGGCTTCTCGTTTTGTGTTAGCCCTGCAGCAGTGGCCACAGCAGCTATCCCACAATTGAGTGGCTGTATTGCGCCAAGTGGTGGTCTTTCCCGTGGCTTTCTGCTTTGCTATTTACAGCGCATCTCGCGTTCCGGATCCTTAGATCTGGCGATAAAGTGGGATCACGAGAATACTGAAATTGATTTTTCTGGGTGCCTTCTCGACGTCAAACAGGCGACTCTGGCTTCGAGGGAGCTCAACGAGACGGGTACTGTCAATTGAATTCCAGCCAAGGACTCACGTCTTTCGTTGCCTTTGCTGCGCACTTTTGTATCCGTAGAAATGGGCGGTGCTTACTGGTATGCCTGTGGAGGGGGGAAGGGGCCAACGGACGTGGGTTTTCCAAATCGATGCGTTGCGCCTTTAGGCAATGTGCGTGCATTTGCTTTTCACCGAATGGCACAGCTGACCCTTGCCATTGCCCGCATCCCCGAGGAGGGAGCTGAATCTCACTCTATTCCTAAGCTTTCGTTTGGGCTTAAGATGAACAATGGGACGGGAATTGCAAGGGCCTTCTCAACTACAGCGAAACCCGTCGTTACCCCCGCATGCTTTCAATCGGATCAAAGGAGCAGCGTCCTCACACTGGATGGGCAGGAAGCCGCGTTTGTGGTTGGGTCAGTCTCCCACAGTCAATCTAGCTCAGAAATAGATCAAAACAGACACTTTTAGAACAGGACTCATAAAAGGGAAGGCCTTAAGTCCTCTCAGGGACAATCGCTGATGTACGCCTGCATGTGTGTCCATAGGCCTCTCATGGCGCAACATAAAAAAGATGTGTGCGCCTATACGTATGTATGACCATGTACATATGTACGCATAATCATCATATTCTGGGTTTTTTAGTGTAGGACTACAACTGCTTCTGCCCGTGGAACAGCCTTTGATCTGTGGGGCGTCTTCTGTGCGTCTCTGTAGGTGGTTCTCGGTCCCCAAACACAAGACTTTTCCCCTCTATCCCCGTAACTTTACGATTCGTCTCTTCTGTCACTCTAGCTCAGACTGCTCTCTGTCTCAGCTCGCTATCTGTGCCAGACTGTCGTGCCCTATAGCCTCTCCAGAAGTAGAGAAGGAAGTGCTAGCGGCAGAAGAAGCTATGCAGCACCCAGTAGGAGAACTGCCTCCCGTCGTGCCTGGTACTTCTACCCTTGGCACCAGTCTGGCTGGAGGGAATGCTATGGCGCTTCAAGCGGGAACGTCATTGCTAGCCCCGCAGCAGCTGCTACAGCAACAGTCGCAGGGCATTCGGCAGCTTCAATTCAGGAGCAGGTATGGATTCATGCCATACTGGAGGGCCGCAGCACCAGCCATCACTGTTAGTTGGGGTGTTATCAGCCTTACAATTGCAGCATATCTGTTCACCGTGACAACGTGACTCAGGACTGCAGCTACGCTCTTTCTGTGCAGTGGACATGTATTTATTAAGAATGATCAATAAAGAGATGGGAGTTGCGCGAAATGTTGAACTGGTAGCCTGAGGTGTTGAAAGGATAGCATGCAACTGTTGCAGAGACCTGCAGCATAAGGAGGCGAGAGAGAAGAGCGGCATGCAAAAAGAACTTAAATGCCAGAAAATACGGAGAAGGCAGACCGCGGCTGTCACCAGTCCACATGCCACCTGTGGAGTAAACTCCTCCGCCGCATGAAGAGAAACAGGCCATAGATGCAGAGAGGATTGCAATATTAAAAATGTATGGCACATAGGGGAGACTCAGGAAACTCTCTGAGTTGCGTTTGTCATTAGAGTCTGTGCCTGGGCACCAAATTTCTTTGCGCTATTAAGGACCTCAATCTGAGCAGGGTACGCCAGATATAGCTGTATATCTGAAAGGATGTTGGAATAGTGTTACCTGTCGCTTATAGATGTCTCGCAGCTCTGCGTAGTCGACCGCTGTGTCAAGGAAGATTCACGAGATGATCGATTGCTTAGGGTTTAGGCTAGCAGGCAACATGGGATTGAATTACCTGCGACTTTAAAGCTTTCTGTGGAGCCGCCGAATGCAGGGCAATCACACGCAATGAATGAAGCAGCGGTTCCTTGTGTTTCGTCAATACCACTTACGTTCCAGTTCGGGGTCCGGTGCCTGCACGAATTGGAGAAAGCCCGGCAACACAAGGTATTCGTAAGCTCTATCGATTGCTAATGGAAAAATATCATACCGCTCCACTCTTTTGTATCGCAGAAACAAAAAATTCCGAGAAGGGCTTCAGGGCGCTCGTTAATCTCTTAATCCGATCGTGCAACTTGCCGGCGGCAGTCACATCGATCACCACAAAGCCGTAGACCTGTCAGCGCAACCAGAGAATATAAATAGATTTATGTCCCAAATTGGAGAAAGAGTCACAGACAAATACAGCAAAGGTGCATGATTCGATTTACGAAGGCTCGACGCGCTAGCATTCTCCGCATCAGAATTGGCGTACCTGGCCTTTGGCGAGGTAACCGGGAAGTGCCAGCTGCAAAGAAAATTCAGTACGAAAAATTAATTTGAATCGTGCACAGTGAACTTCATGTGAGTATTGCCAAGTATAAGCGCGTGGTCACTTGCCTTTTTTGCCAGTTCATTCACAGCATCTGCAATGGCCTTCATTTGATTCGAAAGATTCTCGATGGAAGGGGTGGCATCGGACAGAATATCCAGATTCTGAAATATCAGTATGGTTATCTGCGTAGGAATAACTCTGGAGGCACACGTAATTCGCCGAACCTGATCTGGATCATCGGTTAGTTGCGGATATGTGAGAGCATCGACGCTTTGTTCTGCGAAGAAATAGAAACCGATCACAAAAAACTCATTTGAATGGAGAGGGGTCGGGAAGGGGGGAGGCGGGTACGAGCGTTTTTTCAGAAAAGAAAGTATGCGTGAAAAACCCTGCAGAGGCCCCCGTTGCGCGCCAATCAACACGCGCAACAGTCTAAAACTTCGTCAGAAGCTCGAATTTCTGTGCCCACCTGCTGCTGTCGTGGCATCTGCAAGGGATTGCATGAGATCTTGCTGCAGTAAAGAGTGGAGGAGACATGTTCTCTAGGCAGTACCGTTCACACCAAAGTCATCTCACGATATCTTTGTTCATGGTCATCTGGCTTTCAGAGGCTGTTTTCAGGGTGTTGACAGTGGCTGTGGATTGCCTGTGGGGGCTCGCAATTTATGGTGTACAGTGTAGGCTACGACTTCCACAATACAGCACCCACGCGTCCAGCTGATCAGTAGTTTTTTCCTGTCCACAGAGACTAGCGTTTGGATAATACGGGGTCAACATAAAAAGGCTCCTCACTAATTCTGTTTGCAAGGCCTCGAGGTCTCGTTTTACAGAGGCAGCGGCGTCCAGTGAGTCTGCAGAAGAGGCGTAGGCTTAAGGGCCTTTGCACTGATGGATGCATGGGATTGCTTACAGAAGCCAGCGCTGGCTGCGTTCGCCTAGCAAGGGGAATTTACAAGTTTGCGAGATAAGGTGTGCAGGATATGGAGTTGTACAAACCTTTTTTTCCAAGCTTTCCTGGGGATAGGGCCGGTTGGGGTACAATTAAAACATGGAGTTAACTCCGATCGCTAATTTGAAGTACCTGTCTTGTTTTTAACATCTTCATATAGTTTTCGACAATATTCGTGCAACCAGGGGGCTGCCTGTGAAAGTGTGGTATCCGGCTTGTGAATTTGGGCTAAACCCATGGATTAAAGGGTTACCGAGCTGCGTTTTCACTTCTCGTGCTCTCCATGAGGTAAGGTATAACAATATTACGGCAGATGGATTTAAACGTGGGGTCCTTGACAACTGCAAACCTTATATTCGGAGCCCTAAGCCACAAGACACACTCCCTTACTAGTTGGATATTTTTTGCAGTATGCCGAGAAACCTCCATCTAAGCAGAACTCCTTCTTGTATCCTGCAAAGATTGAGAGCTCACGACGCTTATAAACTGCACTTACGAGGGCGGCAAACAGGGAGCCTACCCTCTGCAAACGAGCAGCTAAGTTATCTGCAAGGGGCAACAGTGCGAGACTCACCCAAAACCTTGACAGCAATAAGCTGACAGGCATTGAAGCTCTCCTGTGAAGTGGCGGATAAGTATGGAACTGCCTCTGAGTCATCACCTTAAAGCTCAGGGAAAACCTCACCGCGATGCGGCGGCAGTCTGTAATATCGCCCCTGCCAAACCCTTGCGTGTCGAAACTCGTAGCTTGTTCCTGATTTCCCGAGCCTACAACATAGGCGAAGATGCATTTAGCAGCATTAAGAAGCCAGAGAGTCGCGGGTCTGGCGTTATCGGTTGCTACGCGCAGCAGTATCCATACCCTTGTCTGTGCGGAGGTGGGAACTCTGGCAAAAGGCTTCCGGGTCGAGAATGGTGTTTGATGTTTTGTTGAAAGAAGTGCAGGTGGAATGGGTAGCGGAAAGCACTGAGGTCTGCTGGCAAGTTTTAATGAGAGAGAAGAAGAGCGAGAGAGATTGGGAACAACTTTGCGTCGCCTCGTATTCAGTGAATTGCAAAGTGCAGAGAGGAGCAGCAAGCTCTCTGTAGCAGCTCTGATTTCGATATACTTAGTAGTTTGGGCACCTTAGTGTAAAAAAAACTCAACGTACGAGGTCGAGCTTATTAAATGCAAGGAGTGTTGCCTGATGAGTGGCCGTTTGGTCATGAACTCGCATTGCAGTTAATGCAGATTCAAGAAGAATGGGACAAACCTCTCCTATGCCCCTAACAACCTTGCACTCCTTCAGTAACAAACATGGCGTTGGGCAAGTGGAATTCAAGGTTTTGGCGTTGGTTTCAAGCACAGAGCATCAACGAACCTCAGGCAACTTGTATTTCAAGAAGCGATCACCGTAGCTGCTGATCCCCGTGCTGATGTAGTGGCACACCGATTCCTAAAGCAGAACGTTGTATAAATGGGATTGATTTATGGCTGAGAATATCGTAGTACCACATTTCCCATGGGGGATGTCGGCTCGGTGGCCATGGCTAACGGAAAACTGGACAGAAGGAGAAATACTTTTCTCCTCATGCTGTTCGCCATAAAAGTTGGAATAAGAGCAGTTCCAAAGAGGTGAGAAGAGTGAACTGCTTGCAAGAGCAATGGCTTGTTGTGCTGTCAAAGAACCTTCTGCTTCAACTACTGTGCCTACATGGACCTGCCATTACACCTGAACTGCACACTTTTCAGAATACGCAGCATCAAATGTACTTCGAACCTAAAGTTTCTATAGACACAACCTGTTCGTTTAAAGATTTTTTGGTCTTTATAATTAATGTGATTCGGCACACTTGTCCGACTGCGTGCGGCGAGGAACGGCTGGAGTTGGTGGGTGACCTGCACGGTTACATGGTGTAAGAGAACATAGCGTGTATCCTGAAAAACCATGTCTCATCCATTAAAATTGCATGAATCAACACATATAATTATGTTCAAGGGTGTCCATACATGCATCTTTTCTGCTCTATGCATCCACCTCTGGATGCGGTATCCTTCCTATATTTGCCTTGGGACTGGGCCATTGTTCTCGATCGTTTGGACTCCACACCATCACCATCAAGCTTGTTTTTCTGCCTGCTGTTTTAAAGCTAGTCCATCATTTATATTCTTATGCCTGCAGTGCGCTACCGAGCACGTTTTAGGGGAATCTTTAATAAACCCCCCGTGAGGCCGCATTCAAACCGAGGGAACCCTCGTTGAATCATACGAAAGTGCACCTTCTTAGGCACTCCACCTTTGCTAGTCGTACCAGCGATACCCGCAGTTGCATTTGCATAAACGAGAGGAGCAGCTGCAGAGCCACGTGCTTGCCGCCAGATGTTTCCTTCTTCACCCTGAACGTGGCAGCAGCAAGGCACGTGTCTGCTGCAGTCCTTTTTGTCGCAGCGGTGGCTGCTGAGAAGGCTGTTGCTCCTACTCTTCAGACAATGAATCCTGTTGACGAGCCGCCAACTGCTGACGGGGATGAGTGCAATGCTCTGAAGGCTACAGGTCTCAAGGCTCAGGTAGGGCTCGACACAGTTAGTGTAGTGCTAGAACCGAGCAGAAGCTAACAAGAGCGAACAATCTCTGCTCTCCTCTTGCGCTTCGAATGCTCTATCCGCTCCTTTTAAAGGATGGGACACACCGCTGCATCTGCTTCGATATATGACACGAACTGTGTGATCCTTGGCACACCTACATCTCCACAGATGAGAAGCGCCGGATGCCTATTAGTGATGCCCAGAGCAAGCACACCTGCTTCGCTCTGCTCCCTACACAAAACAAAACCGAACTGCATTAGAGTTGCTCTTCCTGCAAAGCCTTCGCCCCCGTGGCGCCCCTCTCTTCCCCTCATCTCTTCCTTGAGTCGGTGCTTTTCCCTTCTTGTGTCTCACATCCGTCTCTATCTACGCCCAGCTGTTTATCGCCCCTCCCTCTTTTAGCTCTCCCCTCTGTATTAATGTCTTGCTCGCTCCCACGATATATATACGCCCCTTCCGGCATAGGCATATGATCTACCGCTGTTTCCTAGCTAGGTTGTGTGTCTCTGCGTTTGCTTGCTCCTAGTTTCCTTTCTTTATGGCTCACTTTTGCTTGCACTCCAGGTCAAAGGTCTAGCGGAGAAGCTGGCAGCCGCAATAGCTAATCCCCCGCCCCCTTCTGATGACTGCCTCGTTCGTGAGGTGCCTGATCCCGACGCGCAGCAGCTGCCGCTACTAATGGAGCAGCTAAAGAATATGATGAAACAGGAAATCGAAAAGTTGCAGCAGGATTTCCAGCTTCAAGCTCAACTGCAGGTAAGGGAAAACAACCGATTCAAGGCCTTACTAGCCGACACCAAGGCTGAAACGGATGCCATCCATGCACAAATGCTCTTAACCCAAAGGCAAATCGAAAAACTAGAAGAAGAAATAGGAACAGGATAGTCCATTCTACAGAAGACAAAGAGTTATTACCGCCCCTGCCGCGTCTCCAGGGCGCCCTCCTCTGCTCCCCCGTTATCCGGTGCTACGCGCTGCGCGTAGACGCATTCTACCAAAAGCTCCAGGAGCTTTGATTTCCAGGAAAACAAAAACACGAGATACGCTCGCCCAGCAAGATGGAGGAGAACCCTCCCCCGAATTCAGGCAGGTCCTGCCGACTTACCCCGTACCCGACCACACCGCATGCCATGAAAGCGGGGGGAGGAAGGGAATCTAATCAGTTTCACTCCACGAGTCCACGCCTGGAACGGTACTCACAAAGAAAAAGCTTCGGAGAGGGTATGGTCGGTGATTTCACTCAAATCCACGATCTCCATACCGCGTCCAAGTGCTGCTGCAGCAGAGCGTTATAGGCGGAAGCCTCCAGCTGCTGCGTCAAGGATCCAGAGGGGTCCAAAAGATGCAGTAACAGAGCTGCAAGCTCATGGGGGCACTGAAACGCAAAGCACAAGCCCCCTAGAGTATCCGCGAGGTCAAACACAAGTCAAGAAACTCTAACAGAGCCCTGCAGAGTGCAAATACTTGCAATAGGAAAAAAGCGGCTGCGCATTCCTCAGCTCACGGTGAAGGCATCGCCAAGCTCCAGCACTCGATCTCGATAAAACGGACCTGCATGCACCACTTCACACACGCACGACCCTATGTGACAAGCGCGGAGAGCATAGAGCCACAAAAGAGTCAAGAAATGCCTAAACTCTTAGCAAGGAAAGTCTCCGGAGAGGAAGTATTTGCGCACAAGAGCAAAAGCGCGGCAGCACAACAAAACGATTCTGAGGTGCTGCTTTGGCGGGCTGGTGCTGCTGTTGTTGTTCCATGCCTTCGACGCCTATCCCCTCGTGTTCCTCGGTGTGCTGCCGTTGCAGGGCTTGCTGCTGCTGCTCCTTGAAAGCTGCCTCATTGTAGGTGAAAGCCTCGCTGACTTCTCTGGGCTTCCGCTTGGCAACTCCAGCACGCAAATGACTGTGCGACACCAAACAATAGCTGCTGTTACCTGCACTTCGGTCCCCGCTGCTGCTGCCCCCGCTAAGAGGTGATGGCGCAGTAGCCGCTGGCGGTGCAGCAGCGTACTTTTGAATTTGCTTTTTTTCAAGGATGAGCAGCGCCTCTGAGAGCATCAACCGAGGGGCTAGGCGATCTAGAAGAGGATAGAATAGCGGGAAGCACTCCGAAGCTGCAAAGCAGCACCAGCAGCGCACCAAAAGAATCGATAGTCATATGCGTAGCGCCAGTGCAATCGCATCGCCAGCTTGATGTGCTTAAGAGTGTAAACACTCTCGAAGCAAAGCGCTTTGGGGAGGGAGGTCGGGAGGGGGGCGTGGTTCACAAAAATCTTCACGAAATAGAGCAGTGGAACCCCCCAGGGTGAGCCTTATGTGAAGGCTGAATGCTTCGGGAGGTGAGTGGATAGCGGGGCATGGAGTCGGCTAAGAGCCTTACAGCCAGCTCCAGCTGCATCGTAGATGGCTTGCAGTGTTTTGGCATGATCCAAGTAACTGTGCTTCCTTTTTGCGACCTCTTGTGAAATTGTTTTTCCAGCTGGCGTGCCTGTTGGTGGTCCTCCTGTTTGGAGTGCTGCTACCACGTCTTTTGGTGCTGATTCTGCAGTTCCCTCCCCCTCAATGACGCTGTGTGCAGCCCGCCAAGAGGCCATCGGGTGCTTGCGTGGCTCTAGAGGCTATTCGGTGCCCAGCTGGCCCCTCCGCGGCGCCCATTGAGTGAAACCGCAAGCTGCGGAATGTACAAAGATGATGGATGTTATCGGTGAAGTAGCTCGGGGGGAAGGGGGGGGAAAGCCAACGAGCGCGCAACGTGGTTGGCCGCCCGCCTGCAAGGGGGGCCCCCCGAAGACCCAGGCGGGCCCCACTGGGGATGCCATATGGGGCCCTTCATGGATTGAAATCTAGGGGATCTCAAGCGTTTTCGCATGCCATCTCTTGATACACTTTGTTTTCAGCTTCTACACCTGTTTCTACCGAAGACCGTTGCGTGTGACTCGAACACATCGCAGGGACGAGAGCTGGTCGCCGTCGGTAGCGTGTCTCCTGGGAGCTTTCACTTCGTTTAATCGTTTTACGCCAGCATTCAGACTTCGAGGTCTAGGCGCTGTGGCCACTGAACGCATGTGCAATAGCCTGCCACCCTTTCCCCTGCCCCCGCCTTCGCGCCATCGCCTACCCCGTCGGTGCCTCTGTAGTGCAATGCCATTCGGGTATACACTCGGAGGCTAATGGCGCAACCAACCGGGGAAGAGGCCCTGGGGTCCCCTGCACCACCAGAGCCGTCTGAGGCTCTCTGGAGGCAGGTGTTGGCAGCGGCACAACTTGACTGTCAGAAAGCGCGGCAGGAGGCATACGCTGCTCTCGTCTCAACTGCTGTTACTGCCGCCTTCGCGGATACCACGCATGCTGCTTTCCGAACGATCATTCAAATGGGTAGGCTGCTTTCACGCGATGATTTCTGCTGCTCTGGGGGCGGTGCGGCGGTATGCGTATTCCTCCCCCTGCGTCGAGGATCCCCCCTCTTTGTGCGGAAGACCCAAGCCATGAAGCTCTCGTATCTGTGTGCAATATATGTGTGTGTGTTTCAGCTTGCAGCGAGAAGCTGCAGAGTTTCCACAATGGCAGTCACCTGCTGCTGCAAGAGATAGCCGCTTCGGCCCTGCCCCTTCTCTTTGCTGCTGCAGCTCGTGAACAGGAACCTGCAAGAGCAGCAGAAGCAGCCCAGCACACGGCCAGGATGTTTCTCGCCGCGGCGGCTTCTTCCTGCTCTCTCCTCGAAAAAGATGTGTGTTAAGGATTCGGGATTGAGGGATCAAGGGCAGGGTGGACAGAAGGTATAAACGGAGGCGCTGTGGCAACGCGCTTGGCGTTTGCTATTTCTGATGGTGTGGTTGAGGGTTCGGCATGAGAGCTACGAGCGCAGGAGGGGTGTTTGGTGTTTTCCTCGCAGCGCAACAAGATTCGGATGCTGCTAGGAAAATCGCTTTTCAACGGCAAGGTACTGCAGCAACTGCACAAAGAGAGAAACCGCAAGTTCAGCTTTCTGCGATGAAGCTGCGTCAGTATGCGCTTAAGTAGCAGTGGCAGCTTCCACGGGCTTTTGGCCTGCAATTGCTGCTGCTGCCCCCTTCATTCCTCTTCCACTGCTAAATTTTGATGATGATGATGCCGCTACGGGTGCTGCTGCTGCGCAGGCTTACGCAGAGGCGGCGGCCTGCCTAAGCGCGATTCCACTGGAATCCTCCACGTATGTGCGATAATGCTGTTACTGCTGCTTTTCGCTGCTTCTGCTGGTGCCTCTGCTTCCAGTCTCACAGACTACTGAATTTGCCTGTATTGACTATTTAGGGGAGGCAGCCAAATGGAACGCTTAGAGGCGGCGGTGATGGCAGCAGGTAAGCTAAAAAGCTCGAAGCCATAGAATAACGCGTGCTTCTACGAACGGCAATACGTGTGATCGGGCAGTCCGTGGAATCTGAAGGACATCTTCATTCATGTGCAGCAATGTGGAGATGTCTATATATGTATATGTATATTCATGGGTGGATATGTATATAAGCACACATGTCTCGATATGCATAGCCGAAAACACAATGGGGAGGAATGAAGCGATGGTAATGAGGATTGACAGGATGCATGGGCACCGTAAAACACAGAGAAGCAGACAAGCCGCATGGTTTTTCTGCTGTTACTTAAGAAATCTGGGGAAACAAGCAGCAAAGACATCTATTCTGCATGTGTTTCAAGGGCGTTACTGTGCGGGATTTCATTGGATTGATAACAGTGGCAGCAGCCGCGCAAGTCTCTCTAGTGCCTGCCTGTGTGTGTGCGTCTGTGTGTGCCTGTCTGTCTCTGATCATTCCTCTCATAGAAAGAGGAAGGAAGAGGGGTCAATCGTTGTTTCTTGTGACGCCTGCTTTTTCACAGAGGCTTTTCTGAAGAATGACGACGTTCATGCAGCGGAGGCTTTCGTATCGCGTGCGGCAGCTCTATCGACGAAGTGCGGAGACATCCAACTCAAGCATGCGTGTGCCGTGAGCCCCTGCCTCTATTTGCGCGCCTGATGCTGCGGTGCTGTCTTTGAGTCCAACAGACAGCTTCTCGGCTGAATTGTATGATGGGGGGCAGCAGCTGTGTGTGTTCGCTGCCGCTTTGGCTGCAAGGGCTGTTCCAGTCTTCGAACGGCTGTTGCCTTGCGTGTAGCTGCTGCGGCTGCTTTTCCGCATGGCGGTTGTGCTTGTCTTGATGCTTTCGTTGTGCTACTGACCTGCTGCAGCTTCTCCAAGTGAAGATGCTGCAATCTCGCAACAAATGGGGAGAAGCTGCAAGCCGGTGCGCCCTTTTTGTCCTTGCGCGTCTGCTTCTGGAGTTGCTGCTCCGTTTGGTGCTGCTTTTCTGAGCACGGCGCTTGCTGTGTTGTGTAGGTGCACTAAGCGTTGCTGCTGTCGCAAGGTGTGCGTCCCGGAGCATGTGGCAGAGCGAGGGTTGTTGGTGCGATGGCGCTTCTTGCTGCTGCAGCTTGTACGACCTCAGTCAGCAAGAAGGCTACAAGGAGTCCGAACAGGTGAGTACTGAACTGCCGCAATACAGCATCGCCACCACTTTGCCGTTTCTTCTGCATCCTTCGTGGAGTTTTGGTGTCGTGCTGCTTGCACTCTCCTTGTACGCATCCCCCCGTCCCTCGCACTGCTGCGGCTTCGTAGAAAAGTCAGCTGCGCTGGGTTGCTTTGTGCCACTGCCCCTGGGGTGGGTGTGGGGTGGGGAGCTGCCGCGGCATCGCTGCATGTGCTGCATGCCCTTTTTTCGCGCTGCAACTGTCTGCCTCTCCTGCGGATAATGGCTCAGGCAAGGGCCGCGTCGGAGGACAGAGATGAAACCCCGCCCCGTCTGCTGCTGCTGTCTCTTCTGTGCTCTATCCTTGCACCCGAAACGCCACATCAGCAGCTGCTGCAGGAGAACATCCTCCAAGTAGGCCGAATTTGCTGGTTCGCGTTGATGCGCCAGTGGTAGAGGTCGTCGGTGTCTGAACTGCACGAGATGCTTCTTGCCGCGTGCGTGAAAAAAAAGGATTTAGAGTCAGACGTCAGGAGTTGAGGCGTCAGGGGTCAATTGAGTTATGCACGTCGCATGCAGGACGCGCGAATGCGAAAGAGCCGTTGGGCAGCAGTGGCGCTAGGCCTTTCAAGGGGCCGTTTAATCTCTGCCGAGGAGGCAGACATGCTTTTGTGTAAGCTAAGCTGCAAGCCGAAGCCCCCCTTTTCAGCCAGAATCACTGGCTTTGGTATCCCGCCGATTCTGTTGCATGCGAGCTGCACGTAGAGAGCGAAAAAAACCCCCGCATCGTGGCTTTGGGCTTAAGGATCTGAGGCGTAGAATGTGTGTTGCGCCGCAGCCACACTGGCAGAAGAGGGCCAAGTCATCTCGGCTTCAGTCAAACAGGCAATCCTTTCCAAAAGTGGGCAAATTTGTTGCTGTGCTGACGGGGGCTTTTGCTGGTGGCTGCATACGGGCTGTGCCTGCTGCAAGGCCGCCCTTCTGTGGCGTGTGCGACAGCCGAATGCAGCTATATATATAGATATAGGCGCTGCAGGAGCTCCTCTGGGTACGACGGAAGCAGCAAGCCTGGAGCATGCTTCACAGGTTGCATTCGCGGGGAGGCCGTCCGAGGCTTTCTAGGAGCAGTGTAAGCCGCTGCTGTTGCTCCTGATGTTGCAGATTTTTGCACGTTCTGCAGCCTTTACAGTTCGCTGCCTCTGTCACGGCTGGCCAAGGTGCTGCATGTCAACGAAACGGAGGTGGGTATTTCTGCCGGTCCCCAGCCCCTGCCACACCTCTCTCGCTTCCAGACAAACAGATGCTCATCGCTTCAGAAGCCAACCTTTAAAGAGGAAGCCTTATTTCCCTTCCTTTTCCCTCGAATGGATGCACAACAGGCCTTGCAAGCCCTTGAGATTTGGGAATAAAGGGCTCTGTGATTGTGTAGGTAGAGGACCTCGCGGTTGAAATGTTGACTACGGGACGACTGGTAGGCTACCCAAGCGCAGCTGCTGTTGCGCATGCGTTTGCATTATACGCGGGTGTTTTTGAAAGTTGGGATCACTCAGGGTCTGATGCTGTGGAACCTCGCGAATGCGCATGCAGGCCGCGGACTGTCTTGACTCCGCCTGCCCCGCTGCATGCCTGTGGGCGCGCGTGCGTGTCAGCCTTCATGCGTATGCGTGCTGCTTGCTGAAATGTTCGTCTTGAATATTTGCCTTCACCGTTTCCGTGCATGCGCCTCTTCGATGAACCCTTCGTTTCCTAGAAAGAGGCTTGTGCATCTCGTTGCATGAATATCGCTCTGCGTGTGGCTGTTTCAGGAGGGACGGATTGATGGAGAATGCGGCGTGTTGCGCCTCTTTGATGGTATGGGTGGTCGTATCGCTTTCGTTACTGGACTGCAGGGTGTTACGCTTGTGGACATGTGTTTTTGTGTATGTAAATATGTATATGTGTATGTGCATGTATGTGGCACAGGCAAAAGAGGAGCCCGGTTTACACCAAAGACGGAGGCTTTTTGCATTTTTAGGAGCTTACAAAGCCTGGCTGAATCGATTGAGCTCTAAGTCTCACGTCTTCGTCCTTGTCTGCAATATCAGCGGGCGACAGTATCTCGGGTTTGGGAGTTGGAGGGTGACTGGCAGACAATGTGCGTGAGGATCAGGTTTTGTATGTGCACACTTCAACCTTAAACGCTAAGCAGCATCCCGGGGTCTTGTTGGCATTAGTCATGCAACGAGATTCGCGGTAACTCCTGAAGTAGGAGCTTTCTTTTGGGGCCTCTATAATATCGAGCAATTGTGCCCAGCTCGACACTGGCTGGACCCTGTTTGCGGCCCCCGTTTACTTTGTACTCTGTGCAACTCGTCTGGTGGTGGAGGTGGTGCAAGGCTGTGGGGGAGGGGGGGAGAGATGAGAATGTGGGAGGGCTCGCGATAAAGATCGGCACGAATGGCGATTATCAAGTGCATTTGCCCTTCAAACTGAGCTTAGACGCTGAGCCATACTCCTTTAGATCTTTTTAGCTGGCTGCGCTTTGGATCGGGCATAGGGTGTAGAAGATTACCAACTGGCGGGTGGGAGGCAGCCCCCACTCGCACGCATGCAGTGGTCTATCCCTTTGACAGGGAAGCACCGAAAACTTCCAGGGGTAAGCCATCCAAACCTTTGGCGCCAGACCGCGAGGAGTGCGCATCTGAAAGATATTCTTTCAAGACCTCTAGAAGTGCTCTCGCACCTGCCAGTAGGGACGCTGTACTTCAAGATAGCACACGCTATAAAATGCCCCGTGTGCACGTAGTTCTCTCACGGGCAGCAAATGCCCCTAAAACCCATGGGGCAGCCATATACCTACAGAGTCCTCGTGGAGTCTACAGGAGAGCACTTTCAGGAGGAGAAGTTTGGAGTTTCAGCGCCAATGGCTGGCGTGTAAAGACAGGATACAGAGTGCCAGTGGGTTTTACAGTAAGAGGACCTGAATGAGATGGAGCAGCCGCTATCCTCGGGTGTCCCTTGCACAAAGCTTGAGCAGGCAAAGCGGAGTTCAGAAAGCCTTTTCCTACTCATGTGTTTCCCCAGCAGCCCTCTCCCCCACTCTGCCCGCCGAAGAGAGTAGGCTAAAGGAACTCTTCTGAGAATACCATGCCAAGGACCTCGACTTGCAGACACCGAAGGGGAAAGTGCGGATAAACAACGCAAGAGCTATCGTCCCTTAGTGAGCGCAAACTTCATCGAGCGGCGGGTTCTCCGCCGGTCGCCTTCGGGAGACTATGTGGGCATCTAGTAACAGCACAGAGAAAAACCCCATCAAGCGGAGTTATTCAGAACGTTGCTTTCTTGGAATCTCTTGGCTTCTACACATGTATCCAGCCAAACCACACGGCAGCAGCCACAAACAACCGCACTGACCCGGATGCGAACGATTTTCTGACTGAATGTTTCACTACTGCGATACCCACAGGAAGGCATGCACGCACGTGCACCGACCAATAGAGCCACCTTCCCCTCTATATAAATTCGTGCGGGTCAGAATTCAGAAGAGTACAATCTGAAGCTCCAAGGACACTTTATAGGCATAGGGTTTCATGCGACTCGCGTTGAGTGCCTTGAGCCAGCCACAAGAGCGGCGGGCGGCGGGAGGTCTTGAGGCTTATTCATGAATGTTACCCCCAAGATCCACTTGAATTAGTGGTTCTTGTGCAAAGACACCCAATGTACCTGCTGCGCTGCATCCGGCACAACAAGCAGATCGCTAAGGCGCCAGCATTTGAGGCGAGTCCGCCGGCCGAGCAGCAGCTGCATCGCATGCATCGACTGCAGCAATCGCACGCGCCCTAATTCTCCTGTTTCGAAGGCATCACAGGCTCGTTCCTAAGCGGCTGCCCCTCTGCTGCTGCCGCAAGTGGCTTCATGCAGCATCTCCGCTGCAGCGGATGCTACGTGGCCGCCTGCCGTTGATGCGTAGCCGAAAAGGCGCCGTCTTTGATCCCCATGTGCTTGTGTTGGCAGAACAGGTATAACGTCTTGCAGCGCTAGCAACAGAAGAAGTAAGTCGAGAGGCCGTCGGCGTGACTGCGTGTCTTGCCAGTGAAGTATGACGGTGATGCGCTGCAAACCCTGAGGGAGCCTTCTCCAGGTCTGTTGCCTCAGAGCTACTTCTACTGCTGCTCTCTCTCCTACTTTGTATCGGCTGCTCCCGGTATCGCGGTGTACTTCTCGAGTTCGAAGGCACATGCAGCAGCAGCAACAGCAGCTGCAGCTGCAGCCAGACTTCGCTCAGCAGTCCACACCGCAGCACCCACAATATCAGAGGCATTGCAGCATGCGGCCAGCCGAAGACGGCAGAGCGCCGCGCTTCAAGCAGCGGCAGCAACTGCCGTCAGAGGAGTCTGTCCAGCAATGCGACTTGCAGCGTTTGCCGCCGCTGCAGCAGCACGAACTACACAGCCAATCAGTGGACACATATCAACAGCGGCGGCATAATCCACAGCGGCGGCTTAACCAGCGGCATCAGCAGCAGCATCAGAGAGAACCCTCTCAACACCATCAGCAGCAGCATCAGAGAGAACCCTCTCAACACCATCAGCAGCAGCATCAGAGAGAACCCTCTCAACACCACCAGCAGCAGCATCAGAGAGAACCCTCTCAACACTATCAGCAGCAGCATCAGAGAGAACCCTCTCAACACCATCAGCAGCAGCATCAGAGAGAACCCTCTCAACACCATCAGCAGCAGCATCAGAGAGAACCGTCTCAACACTATCAGCAGCAGCATCAGAGAGAACCCTCTCAACACCATCAGCAGCAGCATCAGATAGAACCCTCTCAACAACAGCAGCAGAAGGCGAAGCAAGGAAGAGGCAGAAGAGGCCAGCAAACGGTAATTCCAGCTGCTGCAATCCTTTCTTTTGCGCGATACCGCCCTAAGCAGCAGCAGCCACAGCCGCTGGCGCCGCAGCAGCAGCAGCAGCGGGCAGCAGCAGCGGCACACTGCGATCCTCATGGATTTTTGCTGGCTAAGTGCAGGATTCTCACCAGAGCGGTGCAGCCGCAGCAGCAGCTCCAGCAAGAGGAGCATCCGCTGCCACAGCTGCAGCATCTTACGAGGCTTCGCTATGCAGACAACCTCGGTAGGCCCCTACGGGTAGCAGCCCTTTGAGAGTCGATACAGCCTATTCCACCCCCGGCAGTGTCGGTTTCGGTAGAAACGCATGTGTGGAGTCTTGCGGTGCAAGAAGCTTTCGTTGTGGGTGTGGTGTTTTGAGTGCTGCAGCGTGGGACTGCGTTTCCAGCGCTGTGAGGTTTCATTCGCTTCTCGAAGAGCTCATCTGTCCAATTTGCCTGGAGGAGGCGGCAGCCAGCACCGCCCTCCTCACCTCCAGATGCGGTCATTGTAAGTCTTGTGTATGTGTAGGGGTATCTTGTGTATGTGTAGGGGTATCTTGTGTATGTGTTGGGGTATCTTGTGTATGTGTTGGGGTATCTTGTGTATGTGTAGGGGTATCTTGTGTATGTGTTGGGGTATCTTGTGTATGTGTTGGGGTATCTTGTGTATGTGTTGGGGTATCTTGTGTATGTGTAGGGGTATCTTGTGTATGTGTAGGGGTATCTCTCTGTCTGTGTGTCTGTTTGTGTCTCTGTTTGTGTGTCTGTTTGTCTGTTTATCTCTCTGTCTGTTTGTCTCTCTGTCTGTCTGTCTGTCTCTCTGTCTGTTTGCCTCTGTCTCTCGCTCTCTGTGTGACATAGTATATTTTCTTAGGCGCTCCGTATCGATGGCTTGCTGCTAGAAAGACGGGTCCACGTTTCTCTAGCGGATGCTTCCCCTGCTCGCTGATTTTTTGCGAAAATTTTGGCTTTGTGTTTGTTCAGTGATGTGCGCGCTTTGCGCATGCCGGTTGCTAGAGGGCTCTAGCGGCAGCTGTTGCCCCCTATGCCATCGGCTAGTCATTTCGGCAGATCTGCGGCCTCTTATGTTGCATCAGGTGAGCGCTGATCGCTTCCACGGGAGCCCATGCTGCGATGCATTCGTTGTTAGCCTCCAGCCTTCGCCCTTACACACCCCTAACCGCAGAGTGTGGTTCCATGGGCTCCTCTTTTGCTTCCTTCGATCCGCGATTTCTGCGAACTATAAAAAACAATCGAGGCCTAAGGGTGCCTGCGTTTCGTTCAGTTCGCGCCTGTTGAAGAGGGGGGGACCGCTTCGTTCTGTCTCTTAACACGCTCAACAGCTGGAAGGTCGTGTGTTCTTCTTAGTGATGCCTTCCTTGCTGCCGCCACAGCAGCTACTGCAGCGGCAGTAGCTGCTGCTGACTCCCCTGAAATCCGCGCAGCAGCCGAAGCGCTGGCTGCTGCCGTGGCAGAGGCCACCGCTGTGGCAACGCAACACAAGCAGCACCAAGCAGACGAGGAGCATCCGCAGCAGAGTCTGCTGATTCCAGAAGCCTCGCTCCGTAAGTGTTTGCCGCCTTCTCCCCCGCACATACCCTATGCCTACTAGGCCTCTGCCAGTCCCGGAGCGCTTGCGCCTCCCATAACAACACGCTTTCCAGAGATACATACACCTCTTTCCATGGGGTTCAAATGTGTAGGGGGTACGGTCTCTCCGTGTGTTTGTATCTGTACATTATATGTATATAGATGTATGTATGTATATAGATGTATGTATATGCATATATATAGATGTATGTATGTATGTATATAGATGTATGTAATTAGATGTATGTATATATATGTATGTATTTAGATGTGTATATATATGTATGCATATGTATGTATCTGTGCATGTATGGGTGCATATTTGTGACGCAGATGCCATTTTTAATTCGATTTCTTTCATGGAGGATGCGCAGCAGCCGTGGAGAGAACACCTTCAGGCGCTTGGTACTTGCAAATCCTAAATCTGTTGCTCAGCGGCCCCTTCTACAAGGCTTTGACACTGGCGGCGCGTCCGATGTGGCTTACGGCGGGCTGGCGTAAGGCCGTTTTGCATTTTTCGTGCGAGTTGGGCATGCGGGAATGGTGACGTGCGCGCAGAGCTGAAGCTGCAGGCTTGCCTGGTCAGTCGAACAGCAGACATGGAAGCAGCAGGCGAACTGCAAGCGGTACGTGAGCACCAGCTGCAGAGCGCTCAAACCCTGAACCTGCGCCATCGCACAGACAGCACAAGCTGCACGCTTGAAGCACACGGTTCTGCCGAATCGGGAGGCTGGACTCTAGAGTGCGTTGTTGCGACTGTAGGCCTTGCAGTTCGTGGAGGCGATCTCTGGCGGCGCTGCCGCAGCAGCAAACACCAGCAGCAGTGGCAGCAGCACTGAGCCTCTTAAACCCTTGCATGAACGCATGCAGGTAGGTGCTGCCGGTGGTCCTTCACCTGGACGCGGCGGTTTGGGTACTCGAAGCCCCTGAATCGAGAGCTTCCCGGTTGAGTGTGTGCATGCGTGACGCATTGCAGGATTTCATGAGGCTGCTGCAGCTGATAGACGCGCAGCCAACGACGTTTGGCAAGCAGCGGCAAAAGAAGGAGGATCCCCATGCACGAGAAGCTTCGGGAGCAGTGGGGCTTAACAGCTGTGGAAACGGCAGCTCTCACACAGCCTTTTATCAGGCGGCAGACGGACAGCCCGTCTTTCTTCATCCGTTCTATTACCAGTAGGTTTCTGGGTTCGGGGTGCGCGATTTAGGCTGTTGAAAAAATCCGTGGAGGCTGCAGCCGTTGCGCCTCTATGGTTTTTGCGGCTGCGTGTTCTCAGGCTGCTGCTCCACGAGGCTGGTGGGGAGCTTTCGCGGCTTCCACCCGTGCTGCTGAACGTCCCCCTTCTCTCGTTGCGGGGAGTACAGCAGCAGCATCAGCGGCAGCAGCGCGCGCAGCAAAGGCCCTTGAAACTCGTAGAACATCTTCCTAAAAACACATCTGCCAAACTCGCGGAGGTTAACATAGGTGTGTCCTTCTTAGCGTGTTGCGAGGTTTTTTCTATGCCTAGTGAGTGTTTATTACGCCTTGTGTGGGTTTATTGTGCCTAGTGAGTGTTTTCCACGCATAAGGAGTGTTTATTTATTCCGCCTTGTGAATGCTCTTTCAGACGCTTGGTTGTCTTCGGAGACGCTCCAACATTTTGAGGTATGCGTGAAGCCCCCAACCCAGAATTCTGTGGAAGCCGTCTTTGATTTGGATGGCTGCATGGGCGTAAAGGTCTGCATTCTCCTATGTTGGTGGGGTTGCAGGCGGACTTGCGGCGCAGGGAGCAACAGCGGAAGCAGCAGCGCCAGCGGCAGCAGCAGGGCGAAGCAGCAGCAGCGCGACGCGCGGCAGCAGCAGCAGCAGCAGCAGCACCGCCAGCCGCAATGGCGGAGGAGCAGCAGGCGCCAGAGGACCTCTCGGCTTTTCCATCGCTGCCGGGCGTAACGACGCCCGTAGCAAGAGCAACGGCAGGAGCCACAAGAGGAACAACAACGGCTCCAGAAAACGCAGCCAGTGCAGGGGGAGGGTTGTCTTTTGCTGGAGTTGTCGCGTTCCCCGCAGACTTCAGAGAAGCCACACTTGAGCAGAGACAGCAGTTGCATTTTCCCTCTTTAGCTACTGCTGTGAGTGTTGCCGTAGTAGGTCCCAAACCCCGAAGGGCCAGAGCGGGGGCAGCAGGCGATGGCGGAAACGCCAAAAGCAGCACCAGCAGCAGGAAAAAGTCTGGTGTGTACAAGGTGGCTTCTCTAGGTGAGTTTCTAGGGGCGACGCGAGCCTCACAAAACCCTACATTGTGATTGTTTTGCCGCCGAGGTCGAAACACCGGCTTTTTTAGACGCGGCTGCGAAGCAGGAAGGAAGGGAGACGTGGGCTTGCATGCCGCGATACAAAGGGCTGTGATACTACGTGGGGAGCGGGGGGGGAGCGTACAGAAAGGGCAGACAGACAAAAAGGAGTACGTACAAAGTGCCTATTTTCGCGTATTAGTGGGAGGCTACAACGCTGCCTATAAACACCGAAGCAACGCATTTCATACAGCGCCTCGTCTCTGTTCCAAACGTGCGCGTCTCGTAACCGCGAAAAGATCAAGAATATGGCCGTGGTACGGGGAGCTGTGTATGCTATGCTCGAAAACGCCATGCAGCGTGAGGCCGCCCCAAGGCTCAAAGAAATCGAAGACGCAGCACCGGCGAAAACTCACCGCTCCCCTAGGGTCTAAAGGCGTTATACAATGAGGAGCCTTTTTTTATATGTCTTTGTGGAGGCGCACAAAAAGCAGGGTGCTCGTGTGGGGCCCCACAGACAGCGTGGTCGGTAGCCAGCTGCACGAACAAAGGAGCGCTCCACGCGATTTGTTCTAGCCCGTCCTGGAAGCTCATCTGGCGGCAACCCACTGCAACAGAACCGCAACACACCGTGTTCGCCCTCTATAGCGGAGCTAGCTAGCTAGCCACGACGGGATGCAACCACGCCACCTTCCCGTGTTTTCTGCTCGCTAAACGGGCGTGTTCCCCTGTATTATCCCTGCCCTGTCCAAATTCCATATCCATGCCCAGTTGGCTAGCTAGGCAACATCGAGCCAGCGAGCTCGCATTCTGCCAGCGTGTAGCACTGGGCCTGCATCTCCCGCAGGGTAGCGTAGCGGTTGGGCATCCTATTATTCTAGTTGGCGTGAGGATTTCATTAGTCGCACACCACACATGATGAACATTAGGAGAAACTCGACGCGCATACACCACTATGCAGGGCTCCCCGCCTATCTCCTCACTTTGGCATTGCACCCTCCTACCGACGCACCTCTTGAAAGTCTTTCAGATCCACTACGCCATCTCGGTTGCCGTCAATTTCGTTGAAAAGTTTTATACAATCGCGTTTGGTAATGCATGTAAACTTGCTTGCTCGCAACCACTTGCCGATACCTCCGAGCGAGAGGCTCTTCTGACCAGAGGCATCCGTAGCTACGCACCACATACATACATACACACACGTACATACACATACATACATACATATACATACACACCCATACATACACACAGGTACATACACATACATACGCACCCATACATACACACAGGTACATACACATACATACGCACCCATACATACATACATACACGTACATACACACACATACAACCCTCCCATCCATCCTTCCGCTCTCTGGAAGGGTCTAGTTAGCCGTCATAATTCGCAACAGCGCGCACTCCGGAAGGCAGAGTTTCTAAAAGAAGGTGCTGCATGCACATAAACTCTGAAGGCCTCACTCGCAAACTTTTCAAATTCCAGCTGCACGTCCACTCCACTAAAGCCCTCAAAGCCCTCTTTCAAGATTTCCTTGTCCAGCTGCGCGCAGAAGGCGTGCCCCCCCCTCCCACAAACACACACACACGCGACCGCATTAAAAAGCAGCCATGAGTCGCAGCCTGGTGACACCCACATATTTACCCTCTAGCCTACCTCGTACAGAGCCTCCACAAATTCGCCAAAATCAATCAAGTTGTTCTTGTCTTTATCATATCCTGCGCGCACAGCAGGAGGCGGGTGCAGCTCCAGGAAACCTCGGCACTGGCTTGCCCGCTATTTAAAACGCAGAGAAGTGCCTACCTTAAGGGCGCTCCTGCTACCCCATTTGCTTCTTTTCCTTTTCTCCCAAAGACAGACAACTCCCAAGGCCCCTGCGCATACGTTCAATCTTCTGCACCTTGTCCAGCGAAAACTCTGGTCGCTTTTGCAGATCTGCGCGAGATATCCATCCGTCCGAGTCGAGGTCAAACGAATCAAACACGCGCCTCCACTCCAAGAGATCTGAGCAAACGCACATCCGACAAAGACGCTCAAGGAGGGAAGGGGCTGAGGGGACAGCGACACACCTAGGGGGCCCCGCCGGCGATGAACTGCTCACGAAAAATTGGAATTTACGAGGTGCATGCGCACATGCAAACGAAAGCGCATGCATGCCAACAGAAGCTCTAGGGGATAACGGCACTGGACGTAGCAAGAGCAAGACACAGAGGCAAGCAGGCAGACAGACAGACAAACAGACGAGCAGGCGGATACGAACGTAGGGGAGGCAGAGCAACACACCACCACGACTGCAGGTGTTGCAAGCAAGCCTGTCGCGCCAGTAACATCTCAATTTCCTCTACCCGTTGAGCCGGCAAGGACTGCGGAGGCACCCCTTATTGGCATGCTAAGCAGCGCGGGAAGGCGGCAGCTCGAGCACTTGCCGCAGTTCTTGCTGCCCACCTTCGTCAGTAAACTCTTTGAGGGAGGGAAAAGTTGCCCGCCAACTGGCGATTTGTTCGGTGTCATAAGCCAAGTCTCGCTCCGTCTTCGCCCAGTAAAGGCGCCGCTGACGATGCAGCGGCAGCAGCAGCTGCTGCAGGCACTGGTGGCTCTGTTGCTGCTGTTGGGGCCCCCACGAAACGGAGCTTTCGGTGCGGCAGGGAATACAAGCGTTGCTGCGGCTGCTGCTGCTGCAGATAAGTGCCAACGATGCTGCTGCACGGGATGCCGCTGCTCGAGCTGCTGCGGCAGCAGGCACTTGCGCAGACACGACGCGGTTCAAGGTGCAGCCCAGAATGCCCCTCAGAGGCCTCCCCATGCTGCCTAGCAACATTGTGTGGCGGCAGCACCAGCAGGAGCGAAGAAATCGGCAGGACGATCAGCCAGCGGTTCCGGCACGTGTCGCAGCAGCTGCGGCTGTGCAAGCATCAAGGAATTCAAAGGGCGGCAGTACAAGCAGCAGCTGCAGTGGAGGAAAGCAAACGAAGCGTCTGGTTTCAGCTATTAACATCTCCAAATTGAGGTGTGCCCCATTCAGAATAGAATCGCCATCAGCAGCGCGACGAGCAACAGCGGCGGCAGCAGCCCCGTCAGCAGCAGCAGCATTTGCAGCAGCGACACCATCTGCCGCGACAGCACGGCGAACAGCTGTAATTGCTGAAGAAATGGGTGGGTTCAACGTGAAAATGCGCGCAACACAGCAGGGATCCATCGATCCCCGACATTCCGTGCAGCGGTGGCAGCAGTAGCAGCACTAGCAGCGGTTTGCTGCCGCTACCGCTGCAATTACGCCTGAAATAGCGGCACCAATTGATTGATCTCCAGCCAGGAGAGTGCAGCGGCACCAATGCGAGCGCGTGAGCTCTTCCTCCTGCTGGTCGTCTGGTGCCTGAGTGAGGGGTGTTGCGGCTGGAAGACCTCCTCCCCCCTCGTGAGAGCCTCCCTAGTCGTGCAGCAGCACCACATCAACACCACCGAAGTGCAGCAACGTCGCGGCGCATCTAAGGAAAGACAAGGTTGTGGGAGCTTGTACAGCAGATGCGACAAGGGCCTCGCCAGCAGCTCCAACACTGACTGCAGCGGTAGCAGCGATAGCAGCGAGAGCAGCGAGAGCAGCGAGAGCAGTGACGCGTCAACACCGCAACAAACCCACCCCCAGCCAGTGTTTGACTGGGTACTGATGCTGGCGTACGATGGCTCCGCATTCTGTGGCTGGAAGGACACCCGGCCCCTAGCATCGCGAGACAGCTACAGCAGCAGCAGCAGCAAGAAGAAGAAGCAGCACAGGAGTGTAGAGGCAGTGATACGCGAAGCGCTGGCCAAAGTGTTTGCCGCAGTTGCGACCAACCAGTTGATGCGCGTCCACCGGCAGAAGCAGCGCGTGGCGGAAGAGGAAGAGGAAGAAGAAGACGACAGGCAGCAGCAACATCCCCCCCATAAGCAGGAGGGAGAGGAAGCGGAGACAGAGAAGCACCAAGAGGCGGAAAAGATAGCAAAAAGACAGCAACGCTTGAAGAGGTTCGAAGCCTTTGCTGCCGCACTGAAAATCAGGGGGGCCAGCCGCACAGACAGTGGCGTTCATGCTGCAGGCGCGGTGAGTGGACAGTACAGCAGTAACACAGCAGCAACACAGAAGTAAAACAGCAGTAACACAAGCAGTAACACAAGCAGCAATACAAGCAGCAATACAAATAGCAACAACAACACCTGGAGCCTACTCAGCTACCCCTCAAGCACGTACTGCTGCTGCTGAAGTATATATACATATATGAAATTGCGAGCATCGAGTTTCCATGTTGCTTTTTGCAGCTCTGCGAGGTTGTGTGTCATCGAGCGCCGTACGAGCTGTATGCGCAGCAGCAGCGGCGGGAGCAACAGCAGGCCGTTCTGCCTACGGATTTGCTGCCCCAAGTGCAGCAGCAATTAAATGCTTTGCTGCCTCCAGAAGTTCGCGTATTGCGCATTGCAGACTTGAAAAGCCTGCAGCAACCCTATCGCAATAGGCAGCCGCAGTCCATGGTACAGCAGGAACCGCAGGGAAAGCAGGAGCAGAAGATGCAGCGAGAAGAGCTGCTGCTGCTTCCACAGTTGGTTACGGGGAAACAATATCGATACACAGTGTCACTGCTGCCGCAGACGCACCCGCTGCTGCGCAACAGCAGCTGGCAGGTGCTGCAGGATGTTCGGATTCACGAGATGCTTCGCCGCGTGGCAAGAATGCCAGCAACCGTAGCAGTATCTGGGGAAGCGCTGGCGAGCGACCCTGCAGGAGTTTTGGACGCTGCCACAGGGGAGAAACAGCGGCCTCTGGAGGTGCTGCAGCATCGATTTTGTATGGGATGCATGCGGAGTGCTGCAGCGCTGGCTGAGGGAAGCCATGACTTCAGTGTGAGCTTTTTGTCTGCACGCGGGAGCTGGCGCTGTGGCTGTGGCTGTCACTGCGTGAGGCACCGCTGCTGCTTTTCACCTGCCCCTGCGGCTGCTCGTGCTGCTTCTGCTGCTGCAGCACTTCCGCTTCAAACACCGTGGATTGACTGCCGCGCCTTCCCCGTGGTGCTTTTTGGAACGTGTAGCCGTGCGGCCTCTCCGCTTCATTCCCTGGCCGATTCCATGCGGTAAGAAGCAGCCAAACGGCGGCGGGGAAGGCGGCTGCAGGGTACGCATATGTGGAAATACCCTCCTAGACATATGGGTATACGGGGCATATGTGGTGTGGTAACGCTGCAGAGGAGCAAGTCGAAGGTGCTCTTCCTGAGGGGTGAGCAAGAGCGCCAGCCGCAAGACAGACTGACAGCAGTAACAGGAGGGGGCCCCTGAATCCGCAACAGCTCTCGGTATAGGGAGGCTTGTAGCCTCTAGAGGCAGGCGAAATCGGTGTTCGTTGCTTTAGGTGCGGTGGTCGCCGCACCGTTCACACTCGGCCTCTTGTTCTTTTCTGGTCGTGCGGTCGGTGTGTGTGTGTGTGTTTGTGTTTCCACCATTGCAGTGTTTAATGTTCCCTCTGTGGGTGCTGCTCTAGGCTTGAAGTTCGCTTCGCCGGCGATCGATTTCTGCACAAAATGCTTCGCTACATCGTGGGATCCATGTTTCAAGTGAGTCTCTGCGCACCCAAGTGAGCCAGAGCAAACTTTTATGTCAACACCCATGGGCAGCTGAACACGCGTTGCCGAAATGCATTTCCTGCAGGTCGCCATTGGAGCGACTTCTCTGCTGCACTTCGCCAGCCGTGTCGGACCCCCCGCTGCTGCTGCTGCAGACGCCGGCACATCTGGTAAAGCAGCAAGTGAAGCGGCAGGAGAAGCAGCGCACTCAGCAGCAAGTGAAGCGACGAGTGCAGCGAAGAGCTGTGTTCGCTGCAGAAATGTGAAGGTCACAGACATCTTGGCAGTATGGGAGTCGCAGACGCAGCAGCAGCAGCAGCACAGAGCCAGCAACCGGCCCCTCCTCGCTCCTGCTGCAGGCCTGTTGCTTCAGAAGGTCCATTTGCTGCCAGGTTTGCATGACGCCCTCTTTCCTAGCACGCTGAAATGCAAGGAGGGAGTCTTAGCGGTGGCCGCTTGTGGATCCAAGGGACAGGGAACCACTCGACAACCCTTCAAAGGGCTCAATGAGGAATCGTTAGGCTGCTCCTCCCCAGCTCTAAGGGCGGCGAACGCACAAGGGAATCTCGCGTCCAGTCCAGTACGCATATCTGAAGTTGCCGTAGGCGGCATCTCTAAAGTGTAACGAACCCTTTGTTCATAAACCTTGAAGAAAACGTGAAGGGAAACGAGCCCCATGGCCTACTGCGCCCGTCTGAAAGGCGCTGTAACTACTTTTTTGAAGGCTTTTTCTGTGGAATTTTGGGCATACTGCTTGAGGCAAGCGCGTGGAACCTTTCGAATTCCTGCTGCTCCTGTTTCCACGTGTATGGGTAGACATGCTGCTGCTTTATCAACTCTTGCAATAACAGGAGCAACAGACGCTTGGTTGTACTGCTGCTGCGACTCGGGTGACCTTTGCTGCTAAAGCCGTTCAACGAACCAAACTGCCACCGCTCCCCGCCAGTGCCCTGCTGCCTGCTGTTATTGTTGCGACTGTCTTCCTCCTCCACGATGAGAGATACAGCTGTCTCGCACTCTAGTTGCTGCTGCCCCGGCTGCTGCTGGCTGCCGCACCCTGTTGGTGGCGTCTTTCCGAGAGTCTTCAGCAGCGAGGCCTCCTGGCGGCAGACCAAGGCAAAACATGCCGCAATCGAGCCTCCGCTGAGGCCTTCGGTTGCCTGTATAAGTAAAGCAGCACTCACAAAACTGGGTGGGCGCTTTTTGTGTGCTCTGCAGTGCCTGTCTGTCTGCCTGCCCCTCCGCAGCAAAGGCGTTGAGGTGGGGGCTACGGCTCAGGAGATAGGGCCCGCGATTTATGAGGGTTTTGGGTGTTTAAGCGTTTGCCTCGATAAGCGGCAGGAAATGGCTGAATACGGTCAGGGGCACGTGCAAGTCGCGCTGTCCTAGCAGCGACTGTAGCTGTTTCTGCCGCTGTTGACGGTTTGGCGGCAGTAGAGGCACTCTCAGCTCAAAGAAGTTTAGTAATCGCTTCTGGTCTACTTCAGCTGCGCACACACGTGACATCAGCCGCGTGAAAGTGGCAAAGCGTCTGTTTGGTATAGGTCTGGTGCAGCTAGGGTAGGCATTTTCACAGTCAGTCCACCATTTGCAGCACCGGCTGCAGCAGCTGCTTCCCGCGCAGTGACGTACAACAGACTGCTGCAAACGCCGTAGGAGCGGCTGCAAGAAGGGGAGTTCAGGGCTCTTACGCGCAGTTGGCCGTGTGCTGCAGCCAACAAGCAGAATGTTTTCTTCTGCCGCCTTCACCTGAAATATGTGTACTGCGCATGGAGTCGCTGCTTTTCAGCCGCTGAACAGGGCACAGACTTTTGGCACCACTTCAGTTGGTGCTGCCTTGGCTGCTGCAAGAAGGGAAGGCCTTCTCACCGTGGCTAGATGCCCGAGGAGGGCCTGGACCAGTTGCATGGCTCCTTGAGAACCCCTTGCCGCCTCGGTTTTTCTTTTCGCTTTCGATTTTCCCAAAAAGAGGGTCTCCACCGTATCTACATACATGATAACGGGCCGCTTGTGCGAGCCCCCTTTCTGCGAAGCTCTTGCTGCGGCTAAGGCTTTGTGCACCACAGCAGCGACGCCGAGTTTTGAGCGCGGGGAGACCCGAGAGACTAGCGTGTATGACAGATCGATAAAGATGGCTCCACTCGCAAACACTAGCCAACGGACAAGGGAGCTCTTCCCGCAACCTGAGGCCGCAGGGCATCGTTAAAGGTACTGCTGCTTTGCCCATTGTTTGTGGGTGGGCTCGATTTTTTCAAGGTTTCTGAGGGGCCGCAATGTAACGCCTCGCCTCTAGGATCGAAGATGTATTGGCTGACCGGGGGCTCCGTACAGGAGGACGGTTTTAGGGGTCGTTGAACTACGGAGAGACGGGCAGCACAGCGGCAGTAGTAGCTCGGTGCGGACACACTCCACGGCAGCAGCAAGAGACGGCATGCCACTACTGCTGCTGTTGCTGCTTGTTGCTTCTTCTAGAGTCACAGTTGGCGCTGAGGCCACCGGGTATCGTCCAGGGGTACTGACGGCAGAGCTTGCAGGAGACGAGACAGCAGCTTCTGCAGCCGCAGAAAGAATAGCTCCTGCTGCAGCACAAGGGATGCGGCTGCTGCCATGGTTTGCAGCAACGGCAGCAGCGACACCGCCCTCGAAAAAGACTGAAGCGTCAAATGGCTGCACCTCTCGAATAATTCCTGCCTGAAGCACTCGCAAAACCCTAAGCTCTTGACTTCTCAAGTGACTCTGCCGATATAGCTAGCGCAAAAACATCGGATGCTTCAACAAAGTGCCGGGCGGCAGAGCTTATACTGCAACCCTACTTCAACGAGGTCATCAAAAAAATTTTCTGGTGGACCAAGGATGGCTGCAGTGCACTTGCAGCACTTTGCACTCCCGCTCTTCACTCTCCCTTTGCGAGCCATCCGCTGTTTTCTTGGCTTTATACCGTCCAGCTCGAAGCGCAGCTGCTGCAGTTGCTCCTCCAGCACTGCATCTGCTTTCGCTGCTGCGGCTGCTGCTACAGCGGGCAGCAGCTTAGCGCGCAGCGCTGTTCCCACGGCTGCCCTGCTATTGCTACTGTTTCTCCGGAAGGAACCACTTGCTGCTGCAGTGACGGCTGCGGCTTCCTCTGCTGCGAGCTCAGTCCACCGAGAAGGCCCAGCACTTGCTGTATTTGCAGCTGCCTTGGGTGCAGCAAGCAGCGAGCTACTGTCTGTTGCGTGCTTGCTGATCCCTGGCGTTCCAGCAAATGACGCATACAATGGGTGCTGGGCAGCAATTGCCTGCAGCGGCAGGAGCAGCCGCTGCAGCTCCTCCTTGAACCCCTTTTCGCTGTCGCTGCTGCCACTGCTGCTCGGGTTATCCGGCTTGCTGCCAGTCTTCTCCCCATTATTACTTTTCTTTGAATCTCCCTTTCCTAAGTTAACAGCAACAGAGTCAGTAGCATATGTATAGGCAGCAGGGAATCTCGCTTTCGCAACAAGCGACGCAGCTTCGCTGTTTGTCCTAAAGTCTTGAAAGGAGCCACGTTTCCCATGCCGTAGCCCCTAACCAGCACCTTTTTTTTGCGTAGCCTTCTTGCCGGGGAGTTCAAGCTTCAGAATCTTGCCTTCGGGAACCTCAGGTAGGCCTACGTGCCACTAACACACCCAAGCGTTAGGCCCTGAAAGAGCTCTGTTGGCGGCAGCATGCCAAGAAAAACCAATCTGGGCTGCTTCATTAGGGCATACGGATTTGGATGTGGCTGCACCCCTGAATTCCTTCGATCTGTCTTGCAGACTTTCTGGAAGCGCTCCTACTATGCGTCTGAAGTTTAGCATCCATTCCTTGCCATCTTCTACCATCTGCTCCTGAAAATCCGCAAGCATCCAAGTTTTGTTGCTTAAGGTGTGGAAGTTTAGATTTTTTGGGCTTACAGCTTTCAAGTCTAGGGTTTTACCATGAGCTTGTCTTTGTAACTGCCGTTAAGCTCTTCGTAGACCTCCTGTCGCATCTGATCTATTTCAGCCTCTGCTTCTTGTTGTTGCCGCTGTAGTGACAATTGGCACTTTTGGACATGTAGCATCAGCTCTCGCTGACGCTGCTTCTCCCTGGGGTTGATGTTGTGGTCGAGACCGAGCTGCTGCAGGAGCAGTTGTTGCTGTTGCTGCAGCTGCTCACGGACAACAGCTCCCTTCCAGAATGCAGCAATGCGTGTTGCTGCCGTATTCAGCTTTTCCATCTCCTCTGCTCAAGCACCACTAGGCTATGCCACACGGCATTAGCATTAGGGTTTAGGGCATATGAAGCTTTTGCGCAACCAAAGACCCTTTGTGATCCTTTCCCTCAAGGCAACCCTACCCGTATTTTTACCAAAAGGGCTAGAGAGGTAGCTAGCTTCACTTCCGTTAGGCTTCCACCTCTCAGTCCGGCAGGTTTTTTCTCCCTAGTGTTTCACTATCGAAGGTGGTAAATTCTGGTTTGTGGAGTGGACAATTTAGGATTTAGCAGTGTATCCGGGGGGCACGCACGGGAAAATCAACCCTGTGGTTTCAAACCTGCTAAGTAATTGAACTTCTCTACGCCGTTTTGCTCTTGGCTGCGTGCAGTAACAGATGACTCTTGAGAGCCGGACGCTGCCAACGCGGCTGTCTGTGGTGAATTAGGATCCTCACTATGAAAGCTCGGGGAATCCAGTGCCTTGCACTGGAGCTGGTCCTCCATATGCTGTTGTAACTTTACATCGGCTTGCTGTATGGTTGCGGAGGGAAGGTCATCGAGCACGTGAGGTGGCGTTTGAGTCACTTCTTCAGCATCACCACCAACGACAGCAGCAGTAAAGCGATGTGCTCACGCAAGACTATAGTGCGCAAAGCTACGGCAGCTACATTGGTACCATTATCAGGTGAATCAACAGTCAGTGTGGCAGTACGAGAGCAAAGAAGTGAAGAAGCAACAGTGGCAACAGCAGCAACACAGTCTTCGTACCTCCCTCTTGCGGGGGAGAAACCGACTGGATCGAGCCTTTCTGCAGAAACTTGCAACTGCTGCCATTGTTGCTGCAGCGAAGCTTCACTGGAAGCATGAGCGCAGCAGTGGCCGACCCTTCAGAAAGGAAGCAGCAGCCACCGTTCGCCGCAACAAGTTTCCGCCGCAGCAGCAGGGCTCTTCGTTGCAGCAACAGCAGCAATTCAGACAAGCATTCCCTTAAAAGCGGGCAGACAAGCTCAGCATGCAGCTCTCCCAAGGTCCCTGCTGTCTGACAGAGGTGTGCGTAGGCCATAAGTTGGTTCTCGTATTGTTGTCTGGCAGCAGCAGCTGCAGAAGCAGCAGCAGCTTTTTCTGCATCTGAAGCAGCATTCAATTTGCTTGGCTTTGCAGCTGAGCCCTTTTTAGCTCGAGTAGGGGGAGCAGCAGCGGCAGCTGCAGCTGCTGCCTCGGCTTCTGCTGCTGCCTTCTCTTGCTCTTGCACCTCTTGCTGGTACAACAGATCTAGGTGTTGGAGCGACTGCTGCAGCAGCGAGAAGGTACTGTACGACAGCTCCAGGAGCGACATATTAAAAATCCATCTCGGGTGAAAATATACGCCAACAGTAGCATCAAAAACGGCAGCACCTTCTACGAAGATAATGAAGGAAGGAAGCCAATAAGGCCCTGTATGATGTTTCTCCAAATCATTTATATCCCTCGCTATATCAAGCCAGCCCTAAACATAATTTATGTAGGAGTTTGAAGCTTGGTGAAAGAAATTAGCAGTCAAAGAGTTCCCGGATTTCGGTTGCTCCTGTTTGCAGATCGACAGCCCCGCGGCAACCCCTGCTGCTCGACGCAGGACACAGTGCACGCATTGTAACAGATGGATTATGTACTGAAACCATCTATATATCTAAAAATATTAAATAAGCTGCAGCATTTATGAATCGGAGAGCCGTGGTTTAGACGCCAATGGGGATGCTGTTGGGGCTCCTGCATGAAGTGAGTGACCCGCGAGCACACAAGGCTGGTCCAGATCACTGCCAGAGCAGAAGAGCTCAGCTTTTCCCCAATAGAATGGCCGGCAGGATTATTTGAAAAAGACAAATGCTGGAGCTGAAACTTGTCGATGCTTGGTCTCCGGGGCTTCTAGGTGGTCCTCTCTTTCGGGAATAAAAAATCAAGAGGCCTACCCCCGGAACAAGCCTCCAAGCAATTGCAGGAGGGTTCCCTTACATATGTTAAACGAGCAAGCGTCCCCTTTCTTAGGCTACAGTCGTATCCTGCGCCCAGGCGGAAGAGAGAATGCCGGGCTTTGGAAACCCAAGATCCACTAGAACAACCGGCATGTCGAATCCCAGCCAACAGAATCACGGCGCAGATCGATGCCGCAAAGCGCCAAGCATGACCTCCACTTAACACCTTGTGTGGGCATCCAAATATGCATTCAGCAGAGGTGACTTTTATAATGTACGGGCAGATCTGAAGTAGTCTACAACGGCTCTTTGTTGAGTAACGATCACTTTACCTAGGGGCTAAGGGTTTGAGGCTTGGGGCCATTACGAAGGGGTCGACCCATTATGTTTGCCCGCTACCGCAAACTGGAAGGTGATAAAAGTGGTGCACACGAAACCCACCAGGGAGGGCACACAGCAATAGGAAAACATCTTGGAAGGGGAGCAACACTGTAGCAAGCCACGCTACACTGGGGCACTTTCTGGTAAACCGATCACTGTTAAGAGAAAATTACTCATAAGTTCAGTATTTGGCTTGAATCTCCATATATGATGTTACTTGTAGGGTGGAGTTTCTTCAATTCAATAAGAATGAACAGTTTGTGCCTGGGCACTACTTGCTGTGTACAACGAGCAGTGAATGCTTGGAGTGCGTAGAGGGCTCCCACTGTACGGATCAAATTACACTTTTCAAGATGCATCACATACGGACACACAAAACAAATACTGAATTCTTAACTAGCACGCACCGTTTTCCTTCACGAGGGGTAGCCAACTGACACTACAGCGCACTTCAAGCAGTTTTCTTTGCAGCTGAAGTGTGCTTTAGACAATAGGATGCTAAATTTATGGCGCCTGAGCGCCTAGAGTATACGAGAGCCCGTATCGAATACATGCAGTTAAGTGAAGATGCATAATGGTCCACATCACTAGCGAAGAAGTTTGCGTAACTAAAATGATAATGGGAAGGATAGAGTTCCATACTTTGCCATGCCTGCGCGATACCTCCTCGTTAAGCTCCACAAAGTAAGTTGAGCTTAGCTCGGTCTGGAGCAACTGATGACAAAATATCAAAAGCTCTCTTTTTGCAGGCTCGTTGTGGCTGAAGCAGCACTTAAGCACCCTGAGCCACTGAGGAAACTACTACCTCAAAGCTCTGAATTGGCTTGCACACAACAATGTACTCAGGGGCAATCCTCGAAGGGTAAACATTTTCTATTAATTGATCTACATTAAGTTGGCTTTTCACTGAAGCACTGAATTGTCTCTAACAAGAAAATTTTCTGTTGTTAGTGCTGGAATTTGACCTGCTGGCGTCAGCCGGCTCAAAATGCGTGAAACTGTGAGAAATGAAAATGATCTAATTCGTGAAGCATTCGGTTTGATTTCTTAAACACGACACAACATTTATTCTTTTCCAGTTAGAGCGGACAGCGGGTTTTGGGGGTGGATAGAGTGGCCATCGAGATCATCTCCACATGCGCGCATTCAGCAAGTATAGACGGCTAACGTATACTTAACACCTGCTACACTCTTAATATTCGACTAAGATCAGTAGGAAAATAAGACGCTTGCTTTTATGTTCGCCAATTTTAATTATTGCAGAGATCTGTTAGTTTCATACTAGCAGATGCGGTGTGGTGGGCGTGTGCGCTATATGCTATGTGCAACTACCGGTGCACGGTGAGAGTGCCTACTTGCACGATAGCTGTTCCTCCCGCATCTACAAAACTCTGGGGATCGCGGGCAGAGGATTGTGGGAAATTCGGGGAAAGCAATCAATGACTTTTTTCAATTTGGTATTGAGTGAGTTACAGAGACCTTAGATGAAGCATTAAAGTTAATTGCACTGCAGATGCAAGGCCATCCACTGAGTGGAAAGGCTGTCTGATGTTAGGTTTTCCTACACCAGTCATTTGGTTTTCATAGATTCATTCACAATTCTGTTCTTTAATTTTTGTTGCTAACAGTCTGAAACAGAAGAATAGGGATGGAAATTCACGGTGGCACAGAACGTGTTGGGGTGGTAGTGGTCAGCCCGCAAGCTGCTGTGAACACACTAGCTTCACGGGTGGTAAGAAGACATAATTTCAAAGCCATTATAAGGCTACTGGACGTGCTCCTGAGGTTACGCGGACCAGAAAGGTATGATGGCCGTAAGGATGAGCAAATAGTCGGAGAACTCATCAGCCTACTGGAGTTCTACCTCGCTCTATACCCCCTGAATGAAAGGAAAGAGGTACTCCTAGGGGCTTCTTTAATAAAGGAGGTCGTATTTCGAGAGTACCTTTGTTCTTGTGAAGGAAGCCATTTGCCTGCAGAGATTCTTACACATTAAGCCTGCATACACGCCCTGACGCATCGGTTTGTAGAGAGCCCAACTCAAAAGCAAAATTTGAGATAATGGAAAAGGCTGAATCAGAAAAACCGCGAGCAATAGACCGATGTAGAGATACTAACAATTTTGATTCCTAATACCCATAATGTAGACGAATAGCGGCATTGATATTTATTTATCTATGGCGTACTCCGAGTGTAGCATCAAGAGGTCGTAGGATGAGCAGTGAATCAATGATTCAGTTACCGACCAGTGGGGCTTCCTACAATAATGGACTCACTGAATTTTCTGGAGCAAAATAAACTCAATTCCTGCGTCATCGGCTGCTGAGAAGAGCCAAGCCCAGATGTAGAACCTGTGGGTATCGAGGTTGTCTACCGGTTTTCGCCAGCAGTCTGGTGTAAAGGAAAAAAGAAGGAAAACCAGAAGAAACCCGCAGTGCCAAGCTGCCCGAGACCCCCCAAATACGCACCTCGTACTACTGTGAGAGGCTGCTTTATGTCATCCGGAGCTACATGAAAATGCCAAAATCCATAGAACCTGAACGACTTGAATGTTGTCAGCTGAAGCATGCTAGTTGACGATCAAAGAAGACGCATATGAGCAACGAAAAGGCCCCTTCGCGTGCTCTTGCCCAGTAGAGGGCCAAAGAAAATAAAAAACCTATTGGGGACCCACCAAGGGTCTACTATGAGCTAATACAAGCTCATGCTGACGTTCAAGGAAGCCTTGAATTACTTGACAGGGACTGTGAAGTGGATCCGTTTCCCTAGGAGACGACTCGGAAGTGCATTCTTCCTGTTCACTTGTCAGCGATACCCCAAAGACTCCGTTTCGCTGCGGACCCGCAGAATGCAAGGGCTGTCAAAGCAGCCGAAATCAGATGATACTTCAACGCCGAATCAATTTCCCCAGCATGCTCCGTGACTTGTGCGTTGACCCAAGCACCATGGAGTAATCGTAGGCTTGGCATGTGTGACCCAGTGAAAGGCGTGCGTGCGGCCACAGCTGCCCGCTATGGAGGTTAGTAGGCCAGACAGCTCTAGAAAGAGGCTCATTGTGGTCTTTTAAATAGGGGTCGTTAATCTGTCGTGAGCGAGGGGAAATCGGTAGCTCAACGCGATGAAAGAGAGTATTCATAGGGTAGTACGTCAGTGCGGAGTTAAAGGAGACAGATTCAGGCATGCACCCCATAATAGTGGCTCTACAACTGATTTGCTTCAAGGTGATTCAGTTCAAATTTGTGCTGACGAAGAAAATGGATAGGCAAACACCAAGGGGAAGTTCGCGGTTGTGCTAAACTATGGCGAGGTGCCAGCAGGTGTATTACTGAAAGCTTCCACGGCATGAGATATTAAACGGCGGGCAAAAGATTTGCTACGGCAAAGCAGCGTTGGGGACTGGACCACAGCAGTTGAATATAGCCCGGCTTAGGAAGTGGAAAATGACGGAAGGTGGCGCGTCTGCATGAAGTTGGAGAACCGGAAAGGATTATTGTGAAACCAAAGCTATGATGCCTCATACTGGCGAATTAGCTGACAACTTTCAGATATTAGCAGCGTACTCGGCAGTTGACTCCGCAGAACCTGTTACTTAAGTCTAATTTAGCCTTATGACACTCAATATGGGGTTCTTCGCCCGCCCTTGCAAACTCGTATACCTGTGTGCCAGTCCGACTTCTTAGTGCCAAAAGCTGGAATGTAACGGCAAGTTACTCAAAATTATTTGACCCTATCAAGCATCAGTGGATGCCTGTCTACACGGACGTCGTCATAATGTGCTGCATATAAGTTCACGAGCATTCACAGCACCTACGCGTGCGATGCAACTTTTGCAACACAAGCAGTGGTACGTAGGCATTTCAGGATACAATTGTGTTTATGTTACTCTGTATTTTCGTTGCAGGAACTAGAGCAGATCCGGCTCAAACAAAGGCAATCAAGACGGGTTCTCTACACGTGCGCCCCACAAGAATGTTGCAAGGTTCTATACATTAGGTTGTAATTGCCG